GGATTGCAAACCGCATCTGTGAATAGTAGAAGAGTGAAGTATACTTGTCGAGGCCCTCCTCAGTGTCTGTATGTGAGTAGCCAACAGTGTCAAGGACACATTCAAGTGGGAAGAAGACTTACACACTGGTCCTGAGAAAGCCAATATGCCTTGGCACAACACCAACAGATCTATCTTCGCCGCAGTGCCTTGTATCTTCGTTCGCATCTGCTTCGCCTGCGTGATCTCTGCGCAGATACGATCAACCTCCTTGATAAGGGCCAGGTCGCCTTTGAGAAACTTGAAGCCTCCTGCGGGGCATATTTGCCGACAGTCCGCAATAATCTTCTCCGCTGCGTCCATATTTTGTCCCACGATGTAAACCCTGAGGCCGTCGCCGTCGTCTCCAAAAGTGGCGGCGAGTTGCTGGACTCCACACTCCCCGATACCAGACGTGCCTCCGCCGAAGACTGCAACGAATGGTTTCGTCTTAACAAGCTCTTTGTTGGCAGCACGAACCTCGTCCAGGTGAGTCATTGCTATTGACATGTAGAGTATTTAGACACGTGGTGAGTAAGCGAACATCTTTTGAAAACATACTTCGACGAAACGAGTTACTCAGAACGTCTTATAAGGTATTGGTACTGTTCAGGAGTACGTTGAGGTGGAAACTAGAGGGGTAGGGATCTCGGAGTTAATGACCGCGGGGTTAGAGATCTTGGGTTTAGTGATCTCGGAGTTGGTGACTTCTACGAACATGCAAGTCAATTATCCCCGTATATTCCCAAATGAGACATGCAGATTCCGAGGAAGGATCGTGAGCTCACGTCATGATTAAGCGGTTTCCCGGCCGGTAAGTAACCTATCTCCGGGCTAGTCATTTAGAAATTGTAACCTGCGGTTGACTCAACAGAGGGACGTCGAGCAGCGATAGTGTGAGACGAGGACGGCAGGCATGCTATGCAAGAAAGAACCGGAGGCGTATGCAGATGTGATGGTTGTACAACCAATCCTTGTTAAGACTTGACTAGAACACATCTCTTGAAGTCAAAGTCTGAAGAGCCTAATGACAATTGAGTGTAGTCCCAGTTGTGATTGAAGTTGACGGTCCAGGTGTGACAGCTGATGGGACCCCGCGACGAGCGGCCAATAAATGAAGACCCAGTGTGAATTATTCATGCTCTGAGCATTGAGTACCACACACCTCCTGATGAAGCGTAAATTGCGTCGGATTCTTCGTTAATGCTATAAGTCACAAGCATCGAAGGACTTGAGTCTGGGTCGTTTTGCACCATTTCACAGCTTGCAGTGTTGAAAATGTAACGTAATTGACCAAAGTATTCAGATAAGATATCAATGGGAGCACGGACCAACAGATATGTCGTCATTGGTCGTCCTGAGCACCTACCAACTAATTTTCACTTTACGCGAAAAGACACGATGCTCGACGCGCCGCGCTAAATGCGGCTTCTCCACACCTGCCGCCGCCATTGAGGCTCAGCCCATTTCCAATTTCCAAGTCGCAGGTTCAGTAACCTAGCCTTCTCCTGAATCTGTTTCATTATTTCGTCGTCTTCTCATCAAGGAAATAATCAATTTTGATTTATGCGACAATTGCTTCTCCAGTCTGAACATCACCTCACTACATCCTGGAGAAACAATCATTAGCTGGAGGCTTCGGCGCAACTTCTCAGCTCATCCGTTCAGACGGGCTCCAGCACTCCGGGCCGCAGCAACCGCAACCATCTTCAGGCAAGGGAGCCACTACACGAAGCTTCCAGATTTAATAACTAGTACATCATTCCACTAAAAGACAACATCATACACGTTCATGCAATGTCGGCCCCGAGAACCAAACGTCAATTTGCAGGCGCAGCAAGCGATCCCGCCCAGCGCCAGATAACGTCCTTCTTCACCTCATCCAGCTCCTCCTCCCCCCCATCCTTCGGCACATCAACCCCCACCACACCTCGTTTCTTCGACGCCTCCGAATCAACCATACAATCCAACCTCCTATCAGTAGGCATGCGCGTGCGCAAAGCCGTGCCGGAAGGCTACAAAACAGGATGTTACAGCGCCTTCGCCCTATGGGACGACAACAATACCACCGCCAGTAACAGCACCACGATGCAGAACAACAGCGACGTCGGCCGCTCGCGTGCAAATGCCATCTCGGCGCCACGGGAGCTCACCCCCTTTTGCGGCATTCACCGCATTGGCGGGATGGCCGTACAGCCGCCCCACGACGACGAGACTTTATTGGCCCCGCTTCCGAATATTACCATAGACCATGTGGACAAGAACATGGATTATGTACCGGGCTTGACGCTCAGCCAAGAGTCCGCTGTGTCTACCGACTCGAACCTGTCAGCGAGCAACTCGCGGAAGCGCTTCTTCACTGAGGACGAGGACGAGAATGAGACGGCATCCCAGATGGTTCCTGGGCGGCTGAACTTGAATTTCGCACAACTGCCCAGCTGGGAGGACGGACAGGTAAGTCCGCGGAGTTTAACCCCGACCGGTTGGGCCAACAGCAGGGTGTTTGCTCAACCGCGGAAAAGAGGTGTTCTACAGGGCAAGCCTACAGATGGGGCGCTTGGGCAGGAGAATGTTATGATCGTCGATGAGGACTTCGAGGAGGCTAGCTTCCTGGTGGAGATGCGTGATGCGCAATGAGCGAGTCAAGGAGCCGAAGGGCGTAGCGGTACGATGGAGGTTTGATTTTGAGCGATATTGCACGAGAATGGCGTTCAGGGGTTCTCAATATGGGACGTGTCACAACATGGGATGTGTGGATGACTGGGCTTTCAGGTCAACGGGACCTCTGCTGCGCCCTTGGACCGTACTGTGTGCTATACTTGTGACCGGATTCGCTGCATCCATATTAGTGCTGTATGTTTTGTTCTCTTGCTATACTGGCTAAACCGTCGGTGTACAAATGAATTTATTACTACAAGGTATAGATACGCATCGTGACACCCGGGAGACCCAAATGGTTTCAGTGCATCTTCTTCAATCATCCGACAAAGCAGACGAAAGTATATTACTCGACCATACTTCCAAACGGGTTGCGGAACTCGAGCAGATCTCTTTGTCCGTAGAACTCACCGGCAACCGTGAGGACCATGTTTATTGTGGCTCGCATGTTTGTCTTAGCCCGGCTAGCCTCGTCATCCACCGATACAGACCTCTTGTCAAACGTGTCATCAGGACCAGCGATAGGCAGAACTGTTGCTTCTTCGGAATAACTCATGCCGTCAAGCTGCGCAAGAAGTCTAGCCTTGACAGCTTCAATGTCAGCACACGAGTGTTCCTCTGGTTGTGCGTTATCAGATACTTCCCCGTCCTCTATGTCTGTGTCGTCTTGCATATCTACATCAGATTGTGAGGATGCGCCATTATTGGTAGGTTGCCGGGCTGTATCCGCGTTTTGGCAGTCGGTATTCTCTGTGACTCCCGCATTCGAGCTGTGCGTTGTGTCCGCATAAGGTTTGTGGCCCTTCTGAGCAGCCCCATGTTGTTCAACCGTGTCGTGCATGTCTTCAGCTTCGGGTTGACGGGATTTAAGGTCGAATGCTTTGCCTTTGTCGGCACCGGCATCGGCATCGTTACGCACGTTGGGTTCCAAACCACACAGGTCGTGCTTTGCTTTTGCTGGTTCGTCATTTGAGACTTCGTGCCTGTATGCGTCTGCTTCTTTGGCCGAGACGTCTCGAGTCTCCTGCTCCCTCCCAGCCTGGTGGTTATCGCTACTCGGAAACATGTCATCACTACGTCGAGGCACGTCGTCGAGACCATAACCAGTATTATCGTCCTTAGTGGCATACGGACTGAGCTCCTCGTCGATGGCCTCGTCGACTTCCACCTCTGCCTCATGCTCGCTGCCCGCTTGCAACCCGATGTCATAATCTTGATGCAGGGCCTCTGCTTCTGCCATGCTCAGCATGAGAAGAACAGCTCGCTTACCCAACTCCCGAACCCAACCAATCTCTTGGTAGTCGAGCTCACCTTTGTCAGGCAGCCGTGCCAAAAGGGCCCAGAGCCATCGGCTGGTTCGCTCTCGTACTTCGTGGCCTTTTCGGAAGAATTTGGCTCCAAGAATGACGCGGATTAGGCGGATGACACTGTCTTTGTGCATGACGGCAATCTGTGCTGGTAAAGGTTCATTGTTGCGCACATGGCCCGTCCACACTGGGAAGGTCTGAGAAGTCGGGCCGAACTTGGGCACCTCTGTAGGGTTGGTTGTGGGTAGAGCTGCGATGGCGCTTTCCGGAGGTGCTGTGTGCAGGAGTTGGCGCATGGACTGATACTGATTGATGAGGGCGGTGTAGTAGGCTTCATGGATTTCAGCCGAACTGCTGTTGATGGGACCGACATAGCTCGAGTCTGCACTATCGAGCTCGTAATCATCGTCGCCATTTTCCTCAATCTCCACTTCATACTCGCCTTCTTCGCCTTCCTCGTCATCGTCCTGTTCGCCATGGTAGTCGTCTGGTCGGGAGATGTATGCGCCATCTTGGTAGTAGCCTCTGAAATCGCCTCTTCCGTCTTTGTAAATACTTCGATCAACATATTCGCCGTCATCATTCTCGACCTTTGCTGGTAGCTGCGGCCCAGCTTTCGAAGCGACGAGCACGTGGGGGATCGCGGATGCTTCTTGTCTAGAATACTCACCATATCAGCAGTGGTCCTCCAAAACCGTAACTGATTCTTCCAAAGAATTGACTTTAGCAAAGTTGGGATATATAAAAACATGGAGGTTTGGACTTACCGAACTGTCTTGAGGTATGCTAAAGCATCTGTGTCGTCCTCCCAGTTGAGATCGTCGTCGCTGGGAACAGTTGCATGGTCGAGATTTCCGAATGCACCCCTTTGTCCGTAGGTCGGATCAGTAAGTCGTGACCCACGTGCATTGAATCGATGTCTCTTGGGCTTCTGCTGCACGCTGTCGTCCTCTGCGGGACGTTTTGCCGCCATGATGATTTGAAGATGATGATGATGCACAATGTGCTAATCTGAGAGTCGCGTGTATGATCATTTGATTGCAAGTTTGTTATCTGTAAAGAGATAACGTTTAGATGCATATTACTGATGAGTAGACGACTCTGTTAAGCAACATGTGCCTGTATCAAATTTATCGGAGGCACCTTCAAGTTGTCTATACTTGTTTTATCTTTGAACGGATTGGTGAGACTGGAAATCCGGCAATTTCTCAGAACCTCAGAAGCTCATCTGATAATTAGCCAGCCATGCAAACTTTTCTATCGTTGCTTTAGGCAATTTGTCCTCTGCACAACTGAGCTGATGTAGTCTCTCATGCTGAACATCGTCAGCGGCAGACCTCTGGCAGTTGTTAGACTTAAAGGGCTTCTGACGTAAGGGGGCCCTCTGTTTAAATGATATCAGCGTCTCCAAATCTCCACGTTGCCGCATCCGACCTTCTAGCAACCTCGGGATGTGGAATAGCTTCGAGATTACTTTTTACAGAAGGTGTCAAACTCCAAATTTGATTGGTCGGCCAAGCTTGGTCGATGAGAGTTCGATGTCATACCGCGGTAGTGGGCGACCAGTGGTAGGTGACCAGTACTGCAACTTTCAACAGTTCATCACCTGCCGAAAAGCTGGTATCCCACGGCTTGGAAGCACCACGCCGTTACAATTGAACCATGAGCAAATTTCTCGGGAGGAAACCGGCAACGCGCCCTGCCGTCTTACAGCCCTTCCGCACTCGGCGCTGTGGCCCGACGATGACCTCACTTACAACTACTTAAGCAGAGGCGGTTTATCTTGGTATTCTCCAGCTTGAGCTTTCTCATACAAGGATAGTGGAACACCATCATGGGCGCTTTCTTCGAGACCATCCCCAAATCCCTGATCCAATGGATCCTAGACCAGAGGGTCTTTTGGGTGTCCACAGTCCCCCTATCGGGCGCCGGTCACGTCAACGTCTCCCCCAAGGGCGGCGCCTATTTTGGCGTGGTCAACGACACCACCTTCTGGTACATGGACCTGAGTGGCTCAGGCAATGAAACCATCAGTCATCTGTACGAGCCGGGGAATGGCCGCATCACGGTGCTGTTCAATGCGTTCGAGGGACCACCACGGATTCTCCGCCTCTTCGGGCACGGGAGGGTGCTCGAGAACGCGACAAGGGAGTTTAACGATTTCATCGAGACGCACAATGTCACGACGATTCCCGGGTCGAGAAGCATTGTTGTGGTTGATATCCACCAGGTGGGTACGTCGTGCGGCTACTCGGTGCCGTTCTATGACTTTAAGGAGTTCCGGCCTACTTTGAATGAATTCTTCGAGAAGAAAGCGAAGAAGTTTGCTGAGGGCAATGATAAAGAGAGCATCACAAGGTGGGTATATGCATGTCAGGAAGTAAATGATGCTTTTCCCTGCTGACATGTCGCAGGTTTTGGGCGTTGAATAATGCCTGGAGTGTGGATGGCTTGCCTGGTATGCAGGTTGGTGTCAAGATCATGAAGGAGCAAGGCATTGAGTCCTCGAAGAAGATGAAAGGACCGCACGTTATGACAAACTACAGCCGGCCCCGTGACGGGTTTACGGTCGAGCAGTTGCTGTTGGCTGCTGTCCTCGGTGCACTGATGGCGGTTGTTTTCATACTCTATGGCCTACAGATAGCCCATCTTATGCGGACGGGCTTGGTCGGCGATGCGCAGAGGGCCAAGTGGCGTGTACCAACCATGTCTCACTAAATATTCTAGATGTTATTCAGGTTGCAACTCAAGGTTATTTGGGATATCACTATCAGGTTTCTTTGGACAGAGGGGTCATATATGTATGCCAGACACACGCACTCTTTTGGCTGAGGTTGAGAACTACACCATTTGCTCACAGATTTATTGCAAGGGCGATTGGGATGGAAGTGGTCATTTTTCCTGGGACGATACGACAGATGGATAACGTAGAGATATTGAGGACAGGAGCTTTATCTCATCAACGGTATTAGAGGCATAGATAAGAGCTTCACGCAGCCTGTACAACTTCCTTAACTCTCCACGTCAATACCTGTTATAGCCAAAAGGGCACTGAAATTAACAACAAGCCATGTTAGCTAAAATAGAATACTGGAAGGCGCAAGGATGTAGTTAAGTCATTGTGACGGCTAAAGTCTATAGATCTGCATGCCTGGAATTCCACATTCAAAACCTGGGCTTGGCGCCTTTGTTTCTTTTTCTTTTCCATATTATTTTTCATGATGCCTTTCAACTCTTCATTATGATCATTGAATCTGCACCCTTATTTTGTTCGAAGCTGCAAGTTACACGACATCTCGATGCTATCGGACATGCGAAAATACACCCTTCCGTTCCTACCACCGATGGCCCATCCACGTGATTAATTGACTACAGGATACTCGAGCAGACAGAGACCTGATCCCACGAAGAAGTGCATGTTCCCAACTCAACCCTGGCCATCAAGTAGCTAGATCTCGACCAATGCAGCACTGATGGTGAAGTTCTGCGGCCCAATGTACCGCTGGTCGCGTACGGAGCCATTGTCGTCGACCACGACCTCATCAGCGGTGATAGTGTGAGTGCCGGTGAGATTCTGGCCCTTAGAAGACGCTGTCGTCACAGCCAGTGTGAAGGCGTCCTCACCGACGTCGAAGGAGTACGACACCGTAGGGTCACTGCATCCCGTGAGGGGGATTGTAGGGAGGTAGTCTGGGCCCTGAACGAACGAGCTGCATTCGACGGGGGCGGTGATTGATTCCGAGGTCACGTTGAAGGAGTATCTGGAGGATGGCGGGTTTAGTTAGATTTCCAAATTCTTAGTGTTGTCGTGACTTACGAGCAATAGAGACTGTGGGGGACGCAGCTCGCCTGTGAGGGAGTTAGAACCATACTCGAACTCTTTGGATGGCGACTTGAGGTAAGACTTACGTAGAATTGGACGACGTCAAATCCGCAACCTTCTCTGTTTCGCAGAACAGCACCCAAGCTTGCCGTAGCAAACAGTGTTGCGATGATACTGGATGACTTCATGATGGCGATTTTAGTAAGGTATGAGTGAGATGAAGGATGAACAGAGGTCAAGATGAGTAAGAAGAGCTCTGGCTATGCAAGAAATCCTTCAATTATTTGCTTTCCGAAGTTGCTTCGAACAAACGGGCCCAACCCTTGCTTAAGTACATATGCAAACATGACCCCAAATTTAAGGAGGGAGATGATCTGCAAAATTCCAACACACGCAACCACGCCCACGAATGTGACGGACGATCTCTCGTATCCATCTCAAAATGTCGTCACTGGCCACATCGAAGTGATGTTACCGATGTGACATACTCGATACGAGAACACTCTGTTGGGGAGTTTCCGGAGTTGAGAGGTTATGACGATCCTAAGCCAACGTATCGGCCCGGAATCGGGTAATGATACCGTTATAGCCTAGCGTCTACTATAGGCGCGGCAAACAGCTGCGCATACAAGACAGGATACCGGCATGCGACGGGATGATCTCATAAACTTGAACATCGAAAGCCCTAGCTCATCTAAACGTATATGGCTCATTGCAGACGGTCAACGTCTCGTACCACATCCTGAATCATCCTGGCTTCAGACAATGACATTTAACTGCTGCTGATGAATGGTTGGCTTTGTGAGAGAGATGGTACTGCTATATTTTCAAGCTCATCGGCCGAAATAAAGCCAGGTAAGGGGTGAAGCATTTGTTTTCCTTGACGCAGAAGCGCTATGTGACCCAGCTTGATTTCCTATATTAGATGATGCAATCTTAGTTCTGATATGATCAAGGAAAATGAGCTTGAGTATCATTGTTCCTGTCGACCAAGAATGAAATAGCGCGATGAGTTCATTCAAAGGATATCCCAATACCCTCACAGACCGAGCCCTTATCATACCACTTTAGCCCTGGCAATAACTCGCTCGCCACCCACCTCGCCGTAGTTGTATGCATACTACCCTCACCGAAGGGCTCATCCGCTCTATCTTTCTTCATCCTCCTGCCCCCAATCCGAAGCTTTCCAATAGCCAAATCATCTCCATCTCCATCATCAGCCACCACGCCCACATCCCCATCCACCGGCTCCTCAACACGAGGGAAACTACTCCTCCCCTCCGCCAACACCTGGAACACTACCAACTGATCCTGTAAGTACTCATCCACCACGCCCCGCACGGCAATTTCCCCGTACAAATCCTTAGCCACCTTGCGCGACATCTCCGCGCCAAGCTCAGCAGCGGTCTTGCGCCTGCGCGACGCGTTGTACAGCCAATCCCGTCCCCAGCGGAGACCAGTCCTCGAGTGGGCGACTAAAAAAACATACATGCGGGCATCGTGGCCGCTGTCCTCGACGACGACGAATTGGATATCGATGTCAGGGAATAGAACGTTGAGGTCCTGGGCCAGGGAAGTTTGGAGGGGTTCGTGCATACTGTGGGGAGCTACTATGCTCACGTCGATGTGCTTTCGTTGTAAGTCGGCCGCCGTGGTGGGCTTGTCCCACGGCTCCTTGAGTTTGAGCGATTGGCCTCGTGGAATGGGATGGATCTCGAACCAGACACAGCCCCTTTGCTGGGGTCCCGAACTCCATCCTCGTTTCCTCAGTTGTCTTTCAACTGTAATGCCAAACTTGTCTTTCAAGGTCGGCAAGAGCACCTGGTCTAGATATTCGTACGACAATGAGAAAGAAACGTTAGTCCCGCCGTGTATCTCTAGCTCGATCGGCTCGCCGGCATCATTGCTGGCAAACAGCAAATACGGGAGCACGGCTTGAAAAATCAAGAGAGTCGACGGAGCGCTCGATTCTGAAGCGATCTGAATGTTCCTCTCCTTCAGCGCCGTTGGAGGTGCGGAGGGGCAGAATTCCAGTGTGTGGCTTCCAACTGACAATCCTGCTACCTCAGCACCCGTGGCCTTGGCGAGCCATCGCAGGGAAGACACATGCTGTGCCTTGAGGCCTGTTTGCGGATGTGAATAAGTTACTTTTCCAAATCCTGGACGTACTAACTAACCGCCTCCTCGATGTCCAGCCCGATTACCTCGTACGCGCGTGATGAGAATTGGCTGTGATGTGACTGCGGCAAGAGCAGCGGCTATTCTGACCAGTTGCCCACCGCCTTCTCCTGTCCTGCCGTCTATTTCGATTGGCCTCTGGGATCTCATGGCGCCAAGACTCGCGTGGCTAGATGAAGAAACGACGTCTTAATGCTGTCGCTTGCAGAAAGAAGTGGCGTAAATGACAGTGCCGCAAGGTCCATTGCAAGCAGTCATGCGGCACTTGCTCAATTCACTCGACAGATTGCTTGGAATCAGGGCAAGGAAAGTGTTTTCAATGGTAATTATAGTCTTGGGCGAACCGTTTGACATTGACGTCCAGCTCAATGAGTCACGCCGCTCAGCGACTACAAGTCAAGTTAGTGCTGGGCCGCTAAGCCATCATTTCATATTGGCAGCTGCGGTCACGCACAGTGGGTGTAATACGGTGAATGTTAATTGTGTAGTGAATACGCCAGTTGCATCTGATTGTGCAACATCACCTTCTCAACCTTGACCTGCAGCATAAACCCGAGCCGTTCACCTGGCATACAGAGCACGTATCACCGCAACTTCGTGTTCGTACCAGCACTGTCCTTCTTTTGTCAATGTCCTCGGGAAACGGGTCCATCCTGGCTTGATGATTCTCAATACCCAATATATGACCGCAACCGATCTGAACGTCCCCGATTGACTCTCGTGCTGTCGACTGCTGCGTTCATTTCCTACAATAGTATCAACAGCGCACCGGCGTGCTACGCCATTCCGACATTGCGCCGCCTCCGGTCTCATTTCTAGAATACAAAAGACTCCGCTCGCATGAGATACTTCAGCTTTCGAAGCTGAATGCAGGAAAAGGGGTTTTCTGCATGTCGAGCCGCAGGACCAGCGAGCCTGATGCGCGAGACGTCTTGTCGCAGGTCTCCATACAACAAGCGCGGGACAGATTCAAAGCTGTGCCTGAACATGGTGCTGGCCCCATTTTCTGGTGCATTAGACAGCCATGAACACCGACAGGCCAGTGTGTTTCACCTGGCCGTGCACTATTTTGCCCACTGCTTCCTGCGGACGAAAATGTGTTGGGTACCCATGATTCTCCTATAGATAGCAGAAACAAGCTAGAATAGGCAAGGCGTACGCTGAGAGTAACACGTCCAGCAATTCTAATGAATCATGCTGAACGTATTCATCGTAAATCTAAGCCTTGATGCCCAACGGGCATGATCACCCAGTTCCATATTCTGGTGGAAAGTACAATGATGCAAAGCTTTATTAAACAATCAGACCGAAATATAGCCAAGAGAATCATCTGGATTCATCTGACTTCGATCCAGTGAGTTTTGACCATAAATCGTCAAGCTTGCCTGTCAACCAGTCCCAGGCATGCTTGATAGAGGCAGCCTTCGAGTCGGCATCTCCCTCTTTCTCGTCAGACGGCGGCTGCTGCTCTTTCGGCTTGTAATCCACGGGGTCAACGCCAATAGATGTCGGCGGGCCTTCGCTTGCGTCCGCTGCTGAGCTCGTTTCGACTGGTGAAATTGACATTACACCCGTCACACTTTCCACGGCGGTTGATGTAGGTAGCGCTGATGACGATGACGAAGGCTTATATGCAGATACCGGGTCGTCGAGGTTCTCGAGAACTGTCTCCGAATCATGGAGGCCAATAGGTTTGAGCGGAAGACGGAGAGTTCCGTTATTCGGCTTGGGCTCCATCCCGACGGAGTCACAGAGCATGTTGTAGACCTCGATGTTTTCTGCGAGTGTTAGAACATGAGTTTGCAGGAATCAAGCAAAACGCAAAATGAACTTACGAAATGGTTCGACCCTGCTATTTGGCTGGTGCGGGAAAGCAGGTCCGCGAGCGATGAAAATTGCTCGCATCAGGGGGTGCTCATGGTCGTATCCGTGAAGACCACGGGGGTGATAGACCAAGCCTTTAGCGTTTGCCTCTTCGATATCGAACTCTTCTCTAGTAACGACAGCCCACCCGGTCTTCGGGATGATCCATAGGGGTGCGATACGGTCATTCTTTGAGAAGTGATAACGCTCTGGCATGTTTTCCTTGAGATAGATCTCTATATTCGGGTTATCCTCGCCCTTATCGAGTGCTTGCTGATACAACGTCTGCACGTTGGCTGGGTCTTTCGGCCGGACCCCGACCAATGGCCACCCGTCGAGATGATCGACAAGATTCATATCGATGAAGTCGTCGAGTTGAAGCATGCGGGAGACATCAGTGGTAGCCATACCATGATCAGAAACAATAATGACATTGACGATGTCGGTCAGGTTTCGCACCTCCAAACCGTGGAATATCTGGTCGAGCATCACATCGACTTCGCTGATAGTTGATCGAATCTCGGTACTATTTGGTCCATATTTATGTCCGTCAGCATCAACATTGGGGACGTATGCTGCTATGACTTGTGGCCGCATGTCTTCGATATCGGCTTTGGGGTCTTCCATGCCAGGCTTGTCGAGAAGTTCGAGGATTCTTGCCACTTTGTTTGGCAATTTCTCCTTTCCATTGTAAAGGTCGAGAAAACTGGGCTCCAACTCATCAATATGTGCCTCACTGCCCGGCCACATATGGATAGCACTGCGGATTCCTTGTCGTTCTGCTGTCACCCAGAATGGTTCGCCGCCCCACCACTTGGGATCCATGCTCCGAGAAGGGTCAGTGTAATAAAACTCGGCTTTCAGTGCCGGGTCCCAGAACGTGTTCCCCACCACTCCATGTGCCTCTGGGTACAAACCAGTCGCGAGTGTGTAGTGGTTCTGGTCTTATTAATAGTGTACTTTGGAGTTTTGATCGTATTTAGCTTACCGGAAACGTCACAGATGGGAAGGACGGTAGCATATACAGAGGGGACACGCCCTCCTTAATGAACGCATTGAGTCTTGGTGTAAGACCCCGGTTCAGAAAATCGGCTCGGAATCCGTCAAGGCTGATGATGAGCGTTGTTGGCGCAAACAGGGCCGTACCGTTGCTGACGAGTTGCGGCGTCGCGCGCTTCTTGTCGACAGATAGTTTCCACGCAAGAAGCATCAAGAACGCAAACCCGACGGCTATTAGTGTGTGTAAGAAGACCCATTTTCTCCATTTCTTTCTCTTTTCCGTCTTCTGGTCGGAGTGCATCAACAATCTTTGGCGGTCGAGTTCTTCGCTATCTTCCCTGTCGCTACTTTCGCCGGTTGAGCTTCCCTCCTTCAGGGCGCCTGACTCCATCTCGTACATGAGCGCGCCATCTTCACCATGTCGAGCTTCTTTCAATAGTCGGTCCTTCTTCTCTTTCCTCCGTGTTCGTCGACCTCTTCTTTTGTCCCGGTGGAGATCATCGACGGAGCTATTAATTACGTCTGCGGCGTGGGTTGAATTGGACCGGATCTGGCTTCCAGTTCTAAGTATGCGCAATGGGTTGGGGATGATGATGCCGTTGCCACGCCTTTGCGTCTCTTGCTTTGCTCGGCTCTCTGCGACCAGCTTGTCCATCTCTTCTTCTTCCATGAGAACCAGGCGGTCGCGTGCCCTAAGCTCCCGGCTGTTTCTTGCGCGGGCCATCAGCTTGTCGTCCTCGCTGTCGGTGTCCTGGTCGCTTCTGCTGTGTAGGGAAGAAGCATCTTCGTCGTATGCGACAGGTGACAGCAACCCATGCTTATCGCGGATTGCAGTATTAAGAGGCGTGAGAGACATTTCGAAGAGAAAATATAGGTCTCATATGTATAGTTGGTGTTTCTTTTTGCTGCATACCTGGAGATGGCAGTGCTGGGATACTGAAGAAATGATTGAGATCAGTCGCATTCAATGATCAGGAGACGACTTCGAGAATCACGACGTGACAGGATCAAGTGCCAAGCATTAAAGGGTTCAAGTTGGGGACTCCACCAGAGCATCCGTGCGGCCCCTGTAGCCTTTCAACTCCGCTGTGAACGTTTCTTTCAACCTATATCTTGATCATAGACATGCACTTCCACAGTAACACTCCCCAGCTGCACACGTAGAGAAAAACTGTCAGAAATTATGTGAAAAAATGGCAGAAGTTTGACATTGATCCTGAAGAGCTGGCGTGTATTTACTCGCTCGAGTTTTTCATGGACCTGTCACTTCATTCAATTGCCAAACACCTGCACTCGCAGCATTCATCTAGGTTAGACCAAGCAAGGCCCGTCCTGGGCTTTCTGAGCTTGCTGTACCTTATCAATGAGAATATCCATAGGATTCCATGTCGTCTGAAGTGATATCCTGGCAATCGCTTGTTCGTATCTGGTTTGGATGGCGCATCTGCTTGTACACTAGGTCTATTGTCACTGGACATGTTGAGAAGTAGCATTTCTCTTGTCTCCATTCTTGTACATGTTTTCTTGTTTTCTTCGAAATGGCTTTAGATAGTTTGGCGAGTCTGCTTTTAACACTAGGCAAGCGGTCATCTTCGTACAGAAGCCACATGATACCACTGACAACTGACAACAATTCGAGCAGATACAATCCGAGCTAAGGCCAACTTGGACTGAATGTCGCGAAACTCGAACTGTATTGGTCACTTTTGGTGATCTGCTTCAGGGATGCTGCAGGTCGTAGTGGCCCGGTCGGTCGGATATGGCCCCACAACCCGCTCCAAACTCCGGCCGTTTCACGTCGTACACTGTGATCTGCCAGCTGCTCGTGAAATACTTCAGCCCCAACTCTTCCGTCGCTAGCCCATCAACCAGAGATACGGGTCACTTGCTAACAAATCAAAATTTTGTCTTTAATTGCTTTTTCGTCGTGAGTCGCATCCGAACCCTCCGACTAACCTACGTCTCATTGACACTCTAAGGTCATTTCGTAGTATAATACCCAACCCGGTAGCTGGCCTACGTGCGTCGTGGTGTAGTACCGTATTTGGCCACGGGCATATGTAGTTCGTATATCATAGCCTCACCAGGCACATCTTCCAACGAGTATGCGAAGCTCGTAGAATCCAGCGTAAGTGTACAATCACAATTCTGAATTCTTCAGTTAATATCATCACGCCAGTCCAAATCAAATGCTTCATTGCCTTATCCCTCCTCCTCGTCTCCAGCCATGCTTCCCCAAGCAATTCCCGTGAAGGTTGGAATGGAAAGCAGCTGCAACGGTGCAAAACATCACCCGGGAGCGACAGCAGGCCAAGTTTAATGAGTCAGTTGGGGAGGAAGGCCTATCGGGCATCTCCAGGAGCTGTCTGCCATCCAATACAGCCCTCCTTCGACGCGGACCAATGCCCAGCCGCGTTGGCAAGGTTGAATTTCTTCATGTTACGCTTGAATGTGTGATTGATACTTCAAAATGGGAAGGTCGATGTCCACGAAGAGGTCAACGAAGAGTGCTGTAGTCAGATATCGACTCCATATAGGAGGATCTGTTAGCCCAGCAGCCGGTTTGAAACTGTTTCGACAATTAGAGATGTATTTGCTCTGGATGCTCCTCGCTGATCCAGATATGAGGAGAGGTTGAAAGGCGCCGTTTGGCAGGCAGATAGGAAGCTAACGTTGTCTTCCCCTTGGCAATTTGTAAGCGGGATTCGAGTGATTAAATGGTATATTTTCATGTGGAGAAGTGTTTAGCTTCAACATAGTTATAACATGTTATTAGTGTTCCAGCCTCGAGGACCAGATGCTTCTCAACAGTTTCCATCTGGGATGTTAAGCCTAGCTTCGGAGGAAGTTGCCGCAGATATTTGATTAGTTCATGCTTTCTTGACACTTCGGTTGAGGTGTGTACTGAGTTCTTGTGTGTCGACCTTATGTTTGACCAATCTAAGCAGGTTGGGTTAGACTATTTGTTAATATGGAGTCTCGGAGCCAATGCAATAATTATACGGCTATAGCAAAGGAGATACTAGGGAAAATAGGCTATTAGTCTTCGACAATCCTCGGACCTTCATCATGAGTAGACCCTTCCACAGTTGACTGTATCTGCTATACTGCCCCGTATTTACTGGTACGGTCATCCTCCGGGAGTTCAAATACCGGGAACGACCAGGTTTGGCGGATTTGACACCAATCCAATCCTCCTTAGCTTTCTCAGAAAGCTTGTCGCTGCCTGAGGTAACAATCCAATGACTGAACAATGGCGGTACGGAAGTAATTTACTTCGATTGTATCTGGGACTAGTTGCGTAGAAGAGATGTGCCGCCAAAGTCATGATTTATCAGGTTGAGGCATTATTATGCGAGCGAGAAATGAGAATCGTCAACTGGCACGTACTTGGCCTTTTCTCATGCTATCGTTTATATGCAGTGGTTGGCAAATGATCGTACCATATGGTGTCATGTCTGGTATCCTGCCATATACTCTCTTTATTACTCAATTTCTTAATGATGTCGGTGCAACGTGCGCAGGAACAACGCTGCTGTTTCATGACGTGGGCTCATGCAAGCTTGCCCCATGCCAACGGGTTGATGACACGCTCGGATTTGGACTTGCCAAGTTTTTCTGTAGGCATGAGCCCAGTATAGAACATAACTGGTTCGGAGAAGAAACCACAACAACTCTGAATGGTAGTACTCCTATAAGACTGCCGGGTATTGTACTTTTATACCACCAGAAGAACAATGACAACGCCGACCAATGCAAAACACCGCTGAAGCCGTCCTTGTGAGCCGCCTAGTAAAACAGCAGCTGCAGAGGCTTGTCCCCAGCTGTGTATCTCTCCTTGAATTCCTTGCGTGCCAGCCAACGCGCCACCGGCAACATGGTATCTTTCATGTCGAGCACGCCTCTCTTCTTTTGGTCGATATGTGATGCGTCGACTACAATTCGCTCAAGATTCTCCAACGACAGTGCGCCTAGTCCGGGTGTTAGTTGGTGACGAAATATAAAGACGAACCCGATTGTCATACCATTTTCAACAAGATCATTCAATCTCGTTGGCGTGCCCACCGCAACACCAGTATGGTGCTCTTGAAGGAACTTGGTTGTCTCCTCGATCTTCATGTGCTTGGCAAACTGTGCATGTGTCAGCGATGAGTCGGCGTATCGAGAATCACAGAGCATACCAATTTTGCCACCGAGCATTTCTTGGTCTGGTACTTCCTCACGGCCCTCACAACATCAGCGGCCCTCAAGCCTGCGCCAGTCACGATGATGGTGTGCGGCGAGCCTTTCTGCTTCGGGGCTTTCCCCAGATCCTCTGGCTTCTTTGCGAACTTCTCCAGAAAACCAGGCAGTTTTGTCAGAGTGCGATCCTCCAGCCATGACGTGGTGTCGTGTATTGAGCTTGCTGGTAATGATCAGTCTCTGTCTGATGCATGACCCTGGGAACGCACTCACGTGAGATGTAGAGATCCGCCAATTCGATGGGACTCAGGTCGCTCCCGAATCGTGTGGTCTTCTGAGCCAGGTGGTCGGCCAGAAGTTGAGGGTCCATGAAGGCATAGCCCTTGTTCACTCCCAACTCGGTGTCGAGGAGGCTCTCATCCTGTTCGTAGGCAGATTTTCGTTTCTTCCGGGATCCACCTTCACTGTCTGCAGCAGCTCTCTTTTTGGACTTGGCCTTCGAGGCCATGCTCTCCGATTTGGAAGGCTTCACTTCTTGAGCTTTGCCCTCCGATCTGGGTCGTATTCCTTCTGGAGCCATGATTCCTTCAATTAGCACCCGGGTGTAGAATTGATCAATACTATCACGTTGGGTTTGAAGTTGATGAATTTTGAGATGTACCCAAAAATGGGACCGTAAGTTGCAGTTAAGTGCATTTATTCTTGCGTACTATGGGTTATGCAGTCATGAGATATAATATCCTTATCCCAAATCACCCCACCGGCCCACCCCCACCAACAAAAGTTGCCCCGCGCCATCAGACCGAAAGGGTCACCACAAGGAGATTCTTTTTGTCTGTAATGTTCGAGGACTCTGTCGTTTGCGCACATTTAATTCACCATCAACACATACAACAAAATGTCCGAACCCCCCGAAGCTAAAGCTCAAGTTGAGGCCCCCGCCGAGGGCGAGACTCCCGCTCAATCGAAGAAGGGAGCCAAAAAGGCCGAGGCCAAGGCGAAGAAGGAAGCTGAGAAGGCCAAGCGAGCCGCCGAACGCCTCGCCGCCGAAGCTGCCCAAAAAGCCGCATCTGGCAGCGGCGAGGACGTCGGAAAGGACAACTACGGTGATGCTACCATTGAGGCGAAACACATCAACGCTGAGCGAATCTACTTGAAGAATTTGGGAAAGGACCACGTGGGAAAGACCGTTAAACTGCGAGCATGGATTCAGAACTCACGCATGCAAGGTGCTAAGATGGCATTCTTCGAGCTTCGAGAGGAGGCCAACTGGACCATTCAGGCACTGATGGGCGTTGACGAGCAGAAGGGAGTCAGCAAGCAAATGGTCAAGTGGGCTGGCGCCTTGAACTCAGAGAGCTTCCTGCTCGTTGAGGCACTAGTCAAGGAAGCTCCCGAGCCCATCAAGAGCTGCCGTGTCAAGGACTTCGAATTGCAGATCTCCAAGCTCTACGTCGAGGCGAAGGCTCCTGCAGAACTTGGTCTGACTCTGGCTGCGGCCAACAAGGCCATCTCCAGCTTCGAGGATACCGACCCAGTGCAAGGGATGAAGGACCTCTCCGTCACCGAACAAACTGGTGGTGCACCTTCTGCCAGCCTGGGTACGCACCTCGACAACCCCGTTATGCATAAGCGAGCACCCCTTACGAGAGCCATCGCCAAGGTCCGAATGACCGTACGAAAGCTCTTTGCCGAGTTTCTGGATGCGAACGACTTCGAGCAGTTTGAGGCGCCTTGCTTGATTGGCGCAGCCTCGGAAGGCGGTGCCAACGTCTTTAAGCTGCCATACTTCGAGACTGACGCCTGCCTGGCTCAATCTCCCCAATTCTATAAACAATTCGAGATTGCTGGGGGCGCGAAGCGAGTGTACTGTATCGGCCCCGTCTTCAGAGCAGAGAACTCCAACACCCCGAGACACATGACCGAGTTCACCGGTCTTGATATGGAAATGGAATTTGAGGAGGACTATTCCGAGGTTCGCAACATGATCGAGAGCCTCATGCTTTACATCTTCCGAGGTTTGGAGGAGAAGTGCAGCGAGCAAATTGAGCTCATTCGATCCGTATACCCGTCCGAGAAGTTCCTACTGCCTGAGGCTGGCAAGGAAGTTCGCCTTACATTCGCAGAGGGCCAGAAATTGCTTCGAGAGCATGGCCCTGAGGAATTCCGCAATGTCTCCGACGACGAGGATATGAGCACTCCCCAAGAAAAGGCACTAGGAGCATTAGTCCGAGAGAAGTTCGGCACCGATTTCTACGTGCTCGACAAGTTCCCCGAGAGCGCCCGACCTTTCTACACTATGGAGGACCCTAAGAATCCTAACATCACCAACGCTTACGACTTCATGATGCGTGGCCAGGAAATCCTTTCCGGTGCACAGCGTATCCACATCCCTGAGCTGCTGGAAGCTCGTATGCGCAGGAAGGGCCTTGACCCCGCCAGCCCCGGTCTCAAGGAGTACGTGGACGTCTTCAGATCAGCCGGTGTTCCCAAGCATGGTGGAGGTGGAATTGGCTTAGACAGAGTTGTGGCTTGGTACTTGAACCTGCCGAGTGTGCACTTGGCCTGCGCGTACCCCCGAACTCCCAAGAGACTGTTGCCGTAGATTAGAGTAAAGTACTGATACACAGTGAACCAAAATATACCTCAAAAGCCTCCTAGAGGAATGTCACTTAGAACATTGACGCATGAACCTCGATGAAAAAATTATTGGTTTCAGATGATGATTTCAAAGAACTCGGATCGGAAACAGCAGGTGACCCTGCGAGTTTCAACTAGGCAGAGTTGATTTGCCATATACAATCGGGATAGTCGGTTGGAAGTAGCAACCTTGGGCCTGTCGCAGTAATTTAGCGACAGACGGAGACAGCATTGCTGCTTGATTGACCTGCTCGCATACAGCATGAAACAGTAGTTGCGGCAAACCGGTCCTGATTACTTTGCACAAGACGTATCAGATACTAAGCAGGAATAGAAATTGTAGCAGTACCGCCCAGCAGGCACCTCACTGTATAAGGTAGTACAAGGAAAGAAAAAGAGAGCGAGAACCACTCTGATCATTAACCAGCCTTTAACTTCAGATGACAAAAATATAAATAAAAATAAAAACAAGTTAATCAAACAAAAAAGAGCTGGAAAGGGCCAAATTATTGGGAATAAAGAGAGGCTGGTTCTCCTGGTAATCCAGGAGGCATCAGGAATTGAGCCCAATGCGGGGGTCGAACCCGCAGCCTTGAGATTAAGAGTCTCACGCTCTACCGATTGAGCTAACCGGGCGGGTATTTGTTGAAGTAAGTATTGCTACAAGGGGTCTATATCACCAAAGCTACTTGTATGGTAAGTTTTCGCTTCACCTCAATTCTGCATTGGGGTGGGCCACGAGGCGAAAACGAAATTGTGGTTGTTTGCATAAATGGGGTATGCAGAGCTTCCTATGATTGGGGTAGTATCCTTTTGAGCACACATCAAAACTGGCCGACAGCGCTTGAAGCGGTTGTTATATGACTCGATGGGCACCGGAGAGGAGACTGCTCCCTGATTGTTGGTTCATTTGTTTCAGCCTCCCATGGGCAGTATACCAAGGCCTTGAAGAAGTTATATCGTATTGAAAATCTACCTGCATCATACACAATCGTCCCGGTGCTTTATCCGATCGTCTGCCACCTCATGTTTATCTGCTTCTTTCGAACCTACAAGACATTAGCACAATCCGGACAATTAATTGGGACTTGGACTTACCATAGGGCCCAAAGCCAATACACCAATGCTCAATGCAATAACTGTACCAACGAGTGACACCTTGTTGAATCCCTTGCCTAGAATATCGAATGCGAAACTCGGTGCGACTCTCGTTCCGAATATGTCGATTCCATAAGCGCACACCAGACTCGTGCTCTCCAATATTGCTGGTGCTGTGATTATCTTTTCAACCCCTATCACATCGCGCTGGTGAGTGATCATCATCCTCGAATCCAGTTCGATTACTGGAGAGTATTTGCTCAATCCTTCCTCAAGCTCAGCAGGGGTTGGATCCCGGCCCACGGGGCGACGGGGCTCAATGACTTGTCGCGGGATGCCAACAATAGAATGATCGTTGGGCGCATAAGCCAACAGCTGACGCGTGGTGATGCCCTGTCTGGTCTGGGTGACAGCAAGAGCATTGATCGGACCCGATACAATGAACGTCTTTGAAACGGCCGAAGGCAGAATAGGGCCCGTAGGCGTATCGACGGGGTCAAGAGACGAGAAGACTTGAGGTCCACGGTCGTTTGTGAGATCCGAATCGTACAGATCAGTGATTACGAGCTGGTAACCCTTGAGAGATGATTGTGCTTGCGCATCTCGTATCATGTACTGGCCGAAGAACGAACAAGCGAACCAGTTTTCGTTTATGACACAAGTAACTTCTTTGTTTGGGTCAACTCCTTCATACGTTGCAAAATTCAAGATCTGTCCAGATACCGAGTCCAGGAGATAGACGGATAAAGAAGCCGCTTTCTCGTCAATGGCAGACACCACAATCGTGTTGGGATTGAGATACTTGTACTTCACACTGCGGTCTCCCAACACACGACCTATGGATGCGACGGGGTCATGGGTTGATCGAGTCGCCACATTAACAATGTTTTGACCAGCCGGTGGTGTGAAGCTCCACGCTGGGACTTCGATAGCTTGCTGGTCGTCTTTGGGTTCGAAAGTGACCCCCCACAATTCATTGCTGCCGGATCGTACGACAACGGTTTGTTTGGGAGCCCACTGAAGGGGGATCTCACCAATCTTGCCATTGATACCGATCGGTAGAAGCCACGGTCCGGCGGCACTGTCGACAAGAGCTGCGCTCTGCAGAGGGGGCCACATACCCGCAGGCATGGACTCAACAGTCTTGCCAGTGTCAGATCTGACAATAATGTATTCACCATTGGCTCCGCGAACAGTCACAAAGCCTTTCGTGTCATCAGCATGAATGACCTTGACATCCCAGGGTTTTGTAGAAGGTGTCTCTCGTGCAGTCTTCGACCAGACGATATGGCCCTGGTTGCCGGCATCAAGGCCGTAGAGCTTGCCCCGTCTCGTGGCCAAGACGACCAGTTTGTTGAAACCAAAGCTGTCCCGAGTGAGTGCAGTGTCACTTTTTAGGATATCCGAGCCAACAATGCTGCTCAGAAGACGTCCAGGAATGGACTGTAGGAATGCCGGCAGGTATTGAAGGTCATTGACGTGACGCTTCACACGGTGAATGTATGCCGAGAGAGGGTTGCTATGAGCTTCGGCATCCAAAGTCTTCGCCAGATCTTCAGACTCAGGTATTTCTGCCCAGGTCGCTACAACAGCACCACTCAATCCCTCGAATCGAGTCCATGCCACTTCGCCATTGCGAATAAGAGTCCAGTCATCCGAATCAGTGACAATAGCCGTTCGTACCGCAAAGCTGTCTTCGGATTTCTTGATGACCTCTGAGACACCATGCAGGGCCTCTAGTTTGACATCCCCGGCCAATAAAGGCCAGCGACCCAATATGCCATGCGACATAGATGACGTGATGATGACCTCGTTGGGAGTCACGCGTGTGAAATAGACGTTGGAAGCAGATGAGCTCGTTGAGAACACGCTTTCTCCATCGAGCAGGGGCAAATCATATGCTTTGGTGATTGCTTTGCTCTTAAGGTCAATGTGGAAAACGTCGGCCTTGTTGGCCAGCTTGGTTCGGCTCTGTACGAGGAAATGTGGTTGAGACTGAATAAGGTGAGGAGCGTGGATCTCCACGCTGGTCGTTTCGCCAACAAGGGGAAATTCCTGCTTGTTCTTGGTGCCCAGTACGTTGATCTTGAGTTTGGTGAAGGTATTGTCTGTCCACGCGACGATTGGGGCAGCTGAGTTGGCGCCTACCATAATGACATCCTGCTCGCCCTGGACCTCGCCCTTTGTGCCAATACTAATCTCGTCCAGTTTCTTTCCAGTCAATGTATCCAAAACTGCTACTTTCAGGTTGTACGAGAGAAGTGTGCCATGCAGACTTATGACAAAGACCTTCTCCGCGTTGGTGCTGACCTGAAGAGGGATGTCGCCGGTGACTTCCCTGAACTCCCAAACAACGTGTCCCTCGTTTCCATGTATCCTCCTGGCGACTATACACCCTTGCTCTTCGAAGAGCACCAGGATGTCCTTTTGGCCATGCTCTGTCAGCTCCATGATCTCGAGATCCTTTACCTTGCCATCAAAGTTCAAGGACCAAACATTACGCCCTGTCATAGAATCCCATGTGTTTACGGAGCTACCCAGAGCACTGGCTACCCATGTAGCATCTTCGCCGGCCCTCAAGTGTCCTCCGCCGTTAGTGATGTTGCCATTCAACAGATGACGCCATACTATAGCGCCGGTAGAAGGATTGACGGCTCCGAGTACACCTAGATCGCTCAAAGTATAGAGAAGGCTTGCTTTCTCTTCTCGTCTCGGTCGGTGGAAGAATGTGGTTTCGCGTTGCGGCACGCCGAGCAGCTCGTGGTGGTAATCTATGTGGCCGACCTCATCTTGGAACACCGCGCGCACAGTAGCGGGTAATGCTAGCAAGATAGATACGGAGAGCGCTTGGAGCGACAAATGCATTGTCAAATCGGTGTTCGGCCTGTGTTGGAGGCCGCGATTTATGAAAAGATTAACATGGGAGGATTAGATGTACTCGACAGGTCGGTGTTGCAGCTCCGTCGCCTTACGAATCAAAGATCTGTGTGTGACGTGCAACACCAGTTGACAAGCTCTGACCCCCTGGAGCTTGGGCCCGTGGATCCGCACTTGCACAAAGCCAGCATTCTGCTAGATGCATAGACTATACTGTATAATTGCTGTCGACCAACCAACGACCGTTCAACATTGAACTCGACTTTCATCTTGCCAGCTTAATGTGGCGTGTGTATTACGATGTTTTCTTATAGATGACTCTATATTGAAAAACTACAATTTCGATTTGCTCGGCTTCAGGGCTATCTAAAAGTCGAAGAAAGTGCACTGAACCAGAATTTGCAATTACGCAGGGCCTCCACAAGAGGATGGAAACACAGACGAGATGTCGGCGTTGACCTCGGTCTGACATCTCTTGCGGTCGATACGAGGACCTGGTGCCTGAGCTCAGGCACCAATGACCTGGCAGGAGTTGTAAGTCACCCAGGAAACAACATCAAGCATCGATTTGGCACTGGCTCTTAGCAACTGATTCGACTTCGCTTCTCAAGTACCCAGCAAACCCTTGCGAACTTGCAGAGAACTTGGCCATTGGCAGCACCTACTACTCAAGCCAGGCCATTCTACACCTGATTGACCTACTCAGATCGTGATTGCCGAGATCTATGCTCTCAGAGGTCGTCTGGTCTGGCCTTGGCCGCTATCATTCTGGAATACTCATATTGCAACCATCCCTCCTCATAATTTCCACAATTTAATCAGTTGCGGCCAATTCCAGGTTCAACCAGGCTACAACGCTGCTCGGGAAGACGCCATCTACCCTCGGACTGGTCCATCACTTGCAGTAGGCTCCATGGTGAGGTATTAGATCACGAAAACCGAGATAAGGCGGTCTTCATTGCCAGATGCAGCATCAAGTTGCATACTCTGCTCATTTAACAGGCCAGTAACTCGGTATTGTCAACAAGGACAGACGTTCAACCTCCACATTATATCCCACCCGGCCATATTTCCAACACGTCTCCCTAAAACTCGTATCGGAAGTCCGGGTTCTCCTTATCCGTTAAATCCTCGAACGCGTGTTCGTGAGTAATCTTGTCATCGACATTATTCAAGTCGGACGAAGAGCCCTCCAGGGTAGGTGCTGCAGCCGCCGCAGCACGCTTCACCTTGTTCCTGCGCATGAGGATGATTCGCATAATGACCAGAGTCATATTAAACAGCACGTATATGCAGAAGTGGGCAGTAAACCCCTTCCGATACCGCGGGGCGTCGGAGTCCTGAAAGACCATCGGCGCTGCCATATTGCCAGCGGCCCAGAATAGAAAGGTGGTGGATAGCGTAGTCGACTTTTTGGTCTGGCCGGCGGTGTTGCGGGAGATCAGGGAAAAGATCAGACAACCTGTGCCTAGGAAGAACTGGGTGCAGTAGAAGGCTACCAGGAGCCCAATACGGGTCGATGGCGTCGGTGGAATGCTGTACATGACGGCAGTGCCGATGATGGGTGGACTTTTGCAGCCAAAGTCAGCAAAGGTGAGAGGTTTGGGAGGGCTAGAATCTTACATAGTCCAGACATGCATCACCAGGGTTGTCTGTCTCGTAGACGTTGCCAGCCACGCACCACCAACCATGACCAAGACCACAACAGCTCCCTGGGCAATGTTCAACAGCTGGGTGGTCAAGTAGTCGAAGCCGAACGAGGCGATGATCAGATTGGAGAAGACGCCCAGGCCGCCAATGATCAAAGTCGAGAGGACCTGAAGCATGACATAGCACCAGAGGATGGGGTCGGTGATGGCCTCGATCGCCTGGTAGCGCTTGAATATTTTGTTCTGGATACCCGTCTCATTGGCGCGGACACGCTCAATCAACAACCGCTTCTCATTTTCGTTGTAGCACTTGGCCTTCATGGGTGAGTCGGGGAGATACCAGCTGACCAAGCTGGCCCAGAAGACTGTCGCAATACCAAGGACGAGGAACAGAAGTTGCCATGACTTCATCGGTTTTCTGGGATCCTTGCCATCAATATTATAGTGGGACACTCCCCAAGCTATGATGCCTCCAACCTGGGAACTTCAAGTCAGCTTGTTGAGGCTCAAGTGGTGGGCAGAGCACGTACCATCTGCACTACGCCTTGCATGCAGTACCACAGCGAGGTCAGAATCGCCTGCTCTCTCCTAGTGTACTACTCGACCCATCATGTCAGTATTCGCCGATCCGGATATTTGGACTCAATAAGCCACTTACCCACATGCTCGTCCTAGGTAATCCTCGAGTCAGCGGTTTAACTTCAAGTCTCAAGACCCATTTCGCAAACTTACATGATGATAAAAGCTGGCTGGACACAACTTTCGAACATGCCCAGCAGAAAACGCACGACCATGAGGGTCTTGAAGTCGTGGGTCGCGGCGGAGCACGCCACCACAACGCCCCAGCAGAACATGTTGGCTGCCAGATATTTACCCACAGGTAGCTTTTGAAGGAGGAAATTGGTGGGATACTCCCCGACCAATACCCCCATGTACAGAATCGTCCCAAGCCAGTTATACTCATTCCCGACGAGATTGGCATCCGTCTTGATGCCCATAACGGAGGAGAAGCCCAATGTTCCTTTGTCGAGAGACTGGCAGAAGTAAGTCCCCAACATGCAGACTAACACACGCTTGTTGATGGTCCAGAAGAGCTCCTTATTAGTATTCTCGTCAATGTAGATGGTCTCCTGGCCAGCGTAGGCGGCAGTCTGGTGGATTTGTTAAGAACGAGTCGACGTGGAAACACCAAGAAATCAGAAGAGAACGTACCTCTTTGTCTTGCATATGTTGATGATCCCTGGCCTCTTCCGCATGCACTGAGGAGATATGGTCGTGTTGTTTTTTCATTGCGGCAGGTTGTATCGTGTTCATAGACCGACCAAAGTTCTAACTCAAAAGATCTGAAGTGACCTGGACAACTTCAGACAGTTGCCGGTCTTGATGATGTATGTACTGATGGTCAGCTTTTCTCGGCGTCTTGCTTTCATTACATATTCGAAAAGTCATCGAGTGATCGGAACAGAACTCTCGGGCGCATATCTATTGCAACATACTCCACAAACGAGCCTTGGTTGCCCCATGAGCCCCGGCCGTATCACCCGACATTGTGGGTGCGCCCATGGGGTAGGATGCGACAGGGTGGTTGTCGTACCGTATCCCCACACCGGCTCGGGCCGGGGCCGGGACTTGCTCCGGAGGCCGGAAGTACAACGCACTATTTCTTAGATGCACGTACCAACCCAGGACTAGGATTGTGGACTTCTATATTCAGAAGGCGAGGAATTAAAGGGCTTGGAGGATATGGACCAGCTGAATCTGGGTTATCGGATCCGGGGTTATGACGAGGCTCAGGAGATCAAGCCGACCTGGGGCCCTGATCAATACCAACATGCAAGTCTCATATGCAGACTTTATATCCGGTTCACCATTCCTTTGATCCGAAGCAAGTTTTTCCTCTCGCCTCATGGTTTTACGGAGTTTATAGAAACTTCGTCCCATCACTTCCGTCTTAGTGGAGTGAGCTTCTGAATTGCATGTCTTTATGGGTTGTTATACATACCTGTTGGAAAGCAACGCAAAATACATGCTCTCACTGAAGCCTTAATAATGCAAGTCGAGACCAATGTGTAACTAATTATGTATTTCATACGCTATCATGCAATTACATGTTGAAAGTCTTGAGCTGATATAGCTATTCGAGATACGCCGCCGTCTCCTCATCAGTCAAGTCAAACTTGATCATCTCAATCGTCTGGTCAATCCTCTCTTTCGATCCCAACCAGTCATGGAACAAACCCACTGTTTCAAGCAGCAAGCCAATACCACCGTAGCCATATTCACCCCCTTGCCAATGGACTCCAAGGCAGAATCGCGACTCTCTATCACGACATAGCAGCAACGTTTACGCTCCTCTTCGCGGCAAGAAAGACTATTGCATTTCTGCGTACTGATGAACTTATGAAAACCGTTTCTTGCAGCGATATACTGCAACTTCTTGAACCTCCACGTGGCCATGGAACTCGCTCCCAGATATCTCGCCTGTCCGCTCTCCACAACATCGTTACGTGCCCGTATCAGCTTCACTGGATATGCATTCTGGTCTAGGAGGTGTATCTGCAGAACATCAATATAAGTACCCAGCCTTTCCATGCTCTCGGCTACGGCGGCTAGGACGTGTTTTCGCGAGAGGCAGACGCGGTTGACGACGTGGGGCGGTTTTCGTTGTGTTGGCGGAGAGGGGGGTTTGATTCATGGGTTCGATAGCGTAGTAGATTTGGTGAGGATTACTACTTTCTCCACGCGATGTTGTAGGTATTGAGGGCTTTGCGAACGATTTCTTCGGAGCGGCCATTGGAGTAGGCGTCGGCCTGAGAGGGTGGTTTACTAATGGGCAGAAGGGGTGATAAGAGAAGACCGACGGTATCCCATGTGTTAATTCCCAATTTGAAGGCGTTTTATAGTAGTGGGAGGGCCTCTTCCTCTTGCACCTATTCTTGCTATTTCGAGGAGCTGAAACCGTCACATCCCAGGATGACTTTGAAGACATATAAGCCTGAGTTTCCTATTCTTCAAGAATAGCGGAAGTGACAGTGTCACAGGTATGTATATCAATTTATATGACCTATTGTGTGTGCTCCATTTCTAATCACAAATTCCGTATTTAGTACTCATTGGCAACTATGGTTCGCCAGCAAAACAGACCACTGAGACTCGAAAACAGCATCAAGCAAAGATTGAGAATAGCCTCGTCATCTCTTCATGGAAATTAAGCAGTCATACCATCCGTATGTTCTTTGACCTTTATCGATAAGAATATTGTTCAATGTTTGAGTAAGCAGTATAAGTCTCGCGATCCGGGGCGCGGGGAAAGTACTGGACACCAGCCCGGAGATCTCTCAGCAAATCGTATCCTAGATCGGCTTCATTGAAGTAATCAAGCTTTGACGCGGAAATCATGTCTGAATTTCTTGCCAAACCTATACTTGCTTGTTTTCAGCTGCAGAATACGTGAATATATCACCGGATGACTTGTGCTCGCTCATTTACTCATGCATCTTCACGCAACTCGTTCAAGGTCACCCCTAAAGAGGATGGGATTTCTCAAACTTCCTGGAGGCAGGCAAACATATTGTATTCACTGGAACCTGATATAAATATCTACAAAGTCTCATTTGATGCCAATTGTTTTGCTGTTCATATTATTCCGTGACTGTAGAAAGCAACCAAGTTCCCAAAGGTCTCCAGGACATCAAATAGACGCTGCTTCTATATTCTATAAACTGATATTGAATATGTTCTCGCCATCTAATGTCCCGAACTAGGTATGCTGAGATGCCTTGGCTTTGAATTTCACCGTATGGTAAATTCGAGCTTGACCTGTATCTCATACCACTCTCAGCTAGGTACTCACCTCATTGCGTTTCGCCTTCTGCAGCACATTCTCTACAATCAACTCCCCAACGCCCATCTCAAGCAGCAAATTACCCACCAGCAAGAAGTAGTAATCCGCATACACCAACCCATGATCCGCCCACCTCCTCGGCGCAAACTCATGATTGTTGATAGTCGCACCATTTAATATCGTCTCTCCAAACCCCATATCCACCCCCAAAACACTCGCATCCTGCACAGGCCCATGCTCAACCGTCTGAATCTCTTCCGTCCTCGTTTCGAACCTCGCCGCTTTGTTCATATGGCTCCCACAAACCGCCTCGGTGATCCTCAACGCAGCAAGTAAGTACTCCGACTTCTCCCCCAAAGCCGACATTGCTTTGTGTATGAGCAACATTCCATATGCGGCGATCATAGCCGCGCTTACATCCGGTGGCTCTTTGGATCCTTCCCCGTTCTCCTCCTCAGTAACAGCGTCAAAATCCCACGGCGGAATAAACGAAGGCGGCAGTCTTCTCAGAAAAAGATCAGCACAGCTGCGCGCTGTCGCGAGGAACGACTCATCACGAGTCCAGTGATACGTCTCTGCGAACCCGGCAATGGCCCACGTCTGGCCTCGCGTCCAGCACGACGTATCGGTGTACCCCTGGTTAGTGAGCCGCTGCGTGACGTCTCCAGTGGCTGGGTCAAAGACGACGAGGTGGATGGTCGAGAAGTCGGCGCGGAGATGCGTGCGTTGAGTGGTCCTGGCGTGCTGGACTGCTGCGTCGTACATGCTCTGGTTGCCGGTTTGGGCGGCCATGTAGAAGAGGAGATCGAGGTTCATCATGTTGTCCTGTTGATGTCTTAGAAAAAGAAAATTACCAGATAGGCAAGAGTTGTGCGGGTGATACACTTACGATAACGGTCATGAAATCAACTTCCGGGCTCTGGAAGCTGTACCGTTTCGTTGTGCAAGTGTCCCAAGACCGGATCAGGCCAACTTTGTCACTGAAACGAGAAAGCAACATCTTTGCGGAGCTCTGAAGGGTATCGAAGGCTTTGTAATCTCTGTTCAGCTCCCATGCTAGCTTGGCCCATGGTGCGATCATGAAGCCCAAGTCGTGTGTTGTGCCGAGATGGGCATTTTGGTGGAGGTTCTCTGTCCACCACTTACACGCAAACCTGAAAATACCTTCAGCCGGATTGTTCTAGTTATGTCCTCGAGTCAGGCGAGGTAGGGGGCTTACTCTAGTTGAGTCTCATGAAGGTCTGAGGGGCTTGCACGGACTAATACTCCGTTATACTTGCGTCTCCTCTCGAGTAGAAGATATAGGCTCCCCGGGAAGAACCCGCTGGTCCAAAACTCTAGTTCCCTGTACACATATTCGGTGCCTCCTGGCTTTGTGTACTCTGGATAGAAAAGTGGTGGACTTGGCTTGTCCGGAATCAGCATCTGTCAAACGCGCATCTCAGTATATGTGGCTAGCATACCTTGGCAAGTGCTTTCGACGCAACTCCCCATATCTTGGCCTCTACCAGGCTTGAGTACAGCTTGTTTAGGTTGAAAGATCTCGAATCTAGGAACATGCGTACATTTGGGAACGACCGACCGTTAATGGTACCATTGGATAAAGTTGTAGAGTCGGATTTGGCCGAATCAAGACGAAAGCGTTTCTTCTGGTTCATCATAACTACAGGCGGCCGGACTTAGGTTTCAAATTGGTTGAAAAGTGGACGCACAGGAAGAATAAATAAAGCATGAGTTAAAGATGGGAAGAGGCATCCTCGAGGTAAACAAAATTCCTGACGGAGTGTAATACCAAGGAAGCCTACGTGTAATTACGGGGAATATGGACTTGCATTCGCCATACCGCCGAAATGCTCGTACGGAAGTTTAGTCATACCCAAGTGGTATACGATGCGGCCCACATACGCCGTCGGATGCGCATCCGAACACTTCTGTCCAAGGCGGATAGCCACGAGAGGCAGTGGACTTCCTTCTCTCGACTTAAGAGCACAGACGATCTTACTCCGTCGGCTGGTACCTACTTTACAATCAATGGACAGTATTGGGGCCTATACGGCCGGAGGGTGGAGGAGGTCTCGGGGCTCGCCCCGGCGATATATCACTTGACTATTTCGGGGAAATTAAAGCCGACAACTGTTCCGTGGACCTGATCGATAAAATTAGAAAGCTTGAATATTGCAGATAAAGAGGGACTTGCTTCCAATTGCGGATACCATGGCCATGGGGTATTGGGGAGAGTAGCTCGAAGTTTGGACGATTGACGAGATGATTGTAATTCAACGGCACGATTATTTCCAGGCCAGCACTTGCTTACATGTTCTTGTCTCATATTGATTCAATGTATGAATGTATGATACCATCGTCAATTCTTTGAGGATTCCAAACGCGAACGTAAAGTTGACAAAGATGGAGCAACATGCGAAATAGAAGGGAGGGGAGGGCCGGGGTTCGGGTATTTTCGCTCAGCTTACGGAGTCGTATGATAGGACTTAATTTCAGGCCACTCCACCTCGGCGGCGGAAGTTAATAGACAGAAGTTTGGCGATCGATTTTTGAGCTGACTAAACCATGCAACTCGTGTACTTCGAGTGCTAGACAACTACGATCAAGTAAAAGACCGCCATGAATAGTTCGTCTACCAATTCAGAAAGCATTAATATGCCAATCCAGCGCAATCATCGCCGCACCACAAGTCGCCAACCCAGCAAATGATGGCCGATACCTTATAGCATCATTACCTGACACAACCCAAGGCCTCGAAGCCAATGCAGTCTCCATCACATTGGTAAAGCTCGATTCCGAGCACGAATTAGTAGGCACTAAAGAAATTTCACTTCCGCCTCCATTTCCATAAGGGCCCGGGTCGCCCTCCGCAGACAAAGGCGACACTACTCGAGTAGCCGAGACAACAGCAGTTGTCGTGACATACTGAGTGATCATCGAAATTTGACAAACTCCCTGGCGTCCAGGCCCAGCACTCTTTTGTCTCAGCTTCAGGCCTGACACCTCGGGCAATTCGCGGCTGGCGAGGTATTCAGCTTCGCGGACATCAAGCAGCTTGTCATGTACCTGAGGAGAGGCTTTCATGTAGATGTCGGCACCGGTGGCGACGTAAAGGCCGATAGTGTGAAACAATGCATGACCATAGTCGTATGAATCGCATTGGGAGTTGAGACACTGGTAGAGGGACTGTTGTGCATGGATGTCAGTAGAGGTTGGCATGACAAGCGGGACTATCGATGGTCGAAATACATGTATATACCTTTTGGTAGTGGATTTCTCGGCATAGACATGCCATGTTCTGACACTGCGTGATGAACATGCTGTCGACCATGCATCGGGTTGCGCAACCTGCATCAGTGGCTCGGTGAGTAATTGTAGACATGACTCAGACCATGAGGACAAAGCCTACTTGATGGCTCAATGTTGACTCCATTCAGAGTTGTAGCTAGTAGAAGCAGGTTCGCGAGCGAAAAGGCAACGAAAGTTGTACTCCTCATTTCAGAGAGCGAATGTAATTACGAAAAATCGCAGGTGTTTCAAAGGATGATCACCGAGTAAGAAGATCAGTCCAAAAACGAGTGTGAATGTTGCGGTTGTCCAAAAAAAGGGGGTGAGATGAGGTTGAGGAGAGTGTTGTGATGTAGTCGAGACGAGAGTTGCAGGAGATGATGGGGCGTTGGAGTACGGCTTGCCTCTCTATGTCAGCATCGAGATAACGAGGCAAGTGCGATGGCTGGAGAAAACACTACTGATTCTCTGAAGCTTTGTAAGTGGTGGAAGGCACAATGATTGAATCGTTTAGCAGTTACACCTGAATTCACAGACCTCGATTCGAAGATGAATCATCTGCGCCTGTATCTGAATGGAGTATATGGAAACAACTTAAACACAAAGCACACGGGGGACGACCTCAGATATACTACCTGCTCTGAAGAACTGCAAACGAGCGATGTCAGACGCTCGTTCCAACACAGGACTGGGCAGCGCCCCTTCGACGGCGATGTTGAGAGAAAATGATGCGATTCTCCATACTGACTCAGCCAACATATACATATGGTACATAAAGGCAAGGTTATGGACAGACTTGGTCATGTTACCCATTTTTGACATTGCATAACCTATATAAACTCTTAGGGCGATCATTTAGGATTTGACATAGTGTATTCATGACATAGATCAATGCAAGCAGATCGTATGGATAGTCTAGAGGAAAGGGACAGACGGATGTTCTGCAACTGGGTCGATTCTCTGCTGGTAATTTGGCGGTTGTGTGCCTGGAATGGAAATTCAAATTACCCATTGTATGCAAATTCTTCCAAAGTGGTAGTTTAATGAATTCCTAAAAAAATCTCACAGCGATAGAATGAATTATGAGTGACGTCGCAGTGTTTTTGGCTGCTGAGGCAGATGAATTGGAAAAGGGGGCAGGATTTAGCTGGGTAAAAAGGTAACAGGGTAGCTTGGCAAGGCAGCACCCAAGCTCCACCACCAGAAGTTTCCCAAACGTCATGTGTATGCTCTAGACATCGACACCACAACCCAACTGTTCCGCGGTCTTAAGAGACCGACCAATCTCACGACCGATGAAGTCCCCACGTTGGCTCACGCAGCAATCGCTTGCAAAAAGAGTCGAGGCTGCCATGCAGTCTCAATTCCACACTCAACAAGCCACGAACCCATCCAAATCCACCATATTCCGAACCTCCCAAACAACGACGAGAACAGCTTCTTCCCGATCGCAACACCGCACCTTCTCCCATATCCGTCCCCGCGCCAACCACCCACCCCCGGCTGAAGACCCAAACTTCACCTCCATCCTCGACAACCCCCCGCAACTCGTGCGCGCCGGCCGGCGGCACGGGCCAGGCCTCATAATCCTCGCCATCATCCCCGTAACGGCCTTCCTGTTGGGATCCTGGCAAGTGAAGCGCCTAGGGTGGAAAACCGAATTAATCGCCAAGTTCGAAGATCGCCTCGTGCGGGAACCCTTGCCACTGCCGCCGCGCATAGACCCGGACGCGATCCACGACTTTGATTTCCGGCGGGTGGTGGCGCGGGGCCGGTTCCGACATGATCGGGAGATGCTCGTGGGGCCGCGGATGCACGATGGTGAGGATGGTTATATGGTGATTACGCCACTGGAGCGGGAGGACGACGGGAGCAAGGGGACAACGACGGTTTTGGTGAATCGGGGGTGGGTGAGCAAGAAGCTGCGCGACCGGAAGGACAGGCCGGAGGGGTTGCCTACAGGGGAGGTGGTGGTTGAGGGGTTGTTGAGGGAGCCGTGGAAGAAGAACATGTTCACACCGGACAATAGGCCTGACAAGAGCGAGTTTTACTTCCCGGATGTGAGGCAGATGGCTGCGTTATCTGGTAGTCAGGCTGTGTGGGTTGAGCAGACTATGGGTGAGTTTTAATTCCCTTTGATCCTGCATACTTGAGCAGGGTTGCGTATTCGACTGAATGCCCCCAAAGTAGCAATGTTAACGTAATGCAGAACCGGGTCTGCTTGAGGCTATGGACATGCAAAGCAAGGGCATTCCAATCGGGAGGCCCGCCGAAGTCAACCTTCGGAACAACCATGCTCAGTACATCTTCACATGGTATGCTCTGCCTCTCATACCTTGTATCCTTCCATACTCAAAGCTAACCGTATTCTAGGTATGGCCTCTCATTAGCTACGACCATAATGTTTTACATGGTGGTCAAGAAGCCGCCAACATCCATCACACGTCGCGTTCGTATGAACAAGGAATGGTCATAGCCTCTTTGGTCTTTCAGCTACTCGAAACTCGCACTACCAGCGGCTTTCATGTAACATTCTCTTCCCCGTCCGCGTCGATTTTCCTCGACTTTTTCCTCGGAGACCTCGTCGGGGGTGGAACGGGCATCCGTAATTCTTGTAGCAACTCTCTAGGCAGATGCCGTTGTGCAAGGGCAAAAGGGGTGGTTGTCGAACTGGTTTGACGCTGTCTGTATGTACATATGCAAGTCAGATGATGCAACTGTACATTATGAGGATCATACACCCTCTGTAATACAAGGATGAAAAAGAAACTGCAACATACCTTCGCAGGAGAGTAATCATGTCGCTCTCGTCGATTGTCTTGCGCCCCGCGTGTTTGGAATATGCCGCTAGGTCATCCCCGAGCTGCTCAAAGAACCAGTCACTTGCTTGCATCATGGCCGCCATCGTGTCAGGTCCTATTTTGGCCTTGCCAACTCCAGCTTGCTTGGCAAATATTGTCACAAGCTTTTTCACAACTCCTTGTGGTAGAGAAGAATACTCGATACCATGTTTGGAAATCTTCTTGCCGTTCTTCTTCAGCTGTTTTGGCCGCTTGACTGATATCTCGGCCACGCGTGATGGCATCGTCTCGTCCATGTTTTGATAATCATCATAAATTCCAGACATGGCAGTGGGGCCTTCCTCGTCCTCACTTTCCGGCAGGTCGTTTTCTGCGATACCGTCTAGGCCCATTGAGTTCCGGACTGGTGATTCCACCGGCGCCATGAAAAATGTGCTCTCGTTCCCTGCTTCACCTTCGGGTACCTCAATCAGCCCGAAATCACTTTCCCGTCCCACCGTCTGGCGCCTCATCTCCTCGGAACTCAAACGATCAAATGCGTCGCCTTCATCGTCGTCATCGTAGTCATCCATAGCAGGCGGTGGGAAGAAGCCCGAATCAATACCCACATCATCACTCCTCAGCTCCGGCCCCGCGTAGTCACTAAAGCGTACACTTCCAAGACTACCTCTATCGAGCCTACTTGGTCCTTCACTCCAGGCCCGGCGCGGTAGCTCGATCGACTGCGCGGTGTAGTTGTCGAGATCCTCTAGTCCACTAGACCGGTGAGGCTTCAATTCACTGTCTTCATCGTCGTCGCCGTCCAGGGGTAAGGAGAAGCGCGGTCGCTCGATTGGAAACTCGTCGTCATCATCATCCTCGCCTCCTTCCGCCAACGCACTCAGGGTCGAGTCCGCATTGGGATCGGGGGAAGATGAGGAGTCGATAGCAGTAGACGTTGGTGCAAGCTTGCGACTGAGATTTCGGAGGAGATCCCGAGGCGTCTCACGTTGTTCGCGCAAGCTTTGCCGTCGGGCACGTCCAGGTGTGAACAGTGCGGCACGCCGTTGGTCGCGGGCGCGGATGGCAGCGCGCCCATGCGGTGTTGCGGCTGGATTGCGCCGGGTGGAAACTGACAGTCGACCTGACGGAGGCTCGGCACTCGTTCCACGACGTATGGGTGTTGCAGCTGCGCGAGGCGTGATGAGAGGCACCAGACGATTGTCCCTGACGGCGGAGGGATTGCCGGACGAAGCCATCGCAAGAGCCCCTAGGCGATTTGAAAGTTGGGTACGTGGAGTTTCGCTCATAATCGCCGCTGGTAATTTATCCCCGCCCTTGTTGCAGTCAGCCGCAGCGTGTTTGGAGTATTGGGCAGCTCAACCCCGGCAATTCAGTTGATGCTGCGGTCTAGTCAGTCTGGATATCATCACGGCCAAACGCGACATCAAATTGACATGCATCTGGACGCGTCAGGTCCGCACGTGGCTACCAAATTGATAAGGATAAGGTTTCGGGATGGGGCCGTGGTTTGCGTGGGACGAGCGTCACTGCGTCGAGCATTCGGATTCTAGTGTAGAAGACCCCCCGGTCGTATTTGCTTGCCACTTGCCGCTTGCTTCCCTTGGAAACCCTTGCAATTCGAGATGGAAGTGTTGCACTTTACGACGCCATCAACCCCTTCTTCAACCAGGCATCCAAACTCTCCAGGTCAGTGTTTGAAACACTTTACTCGTTACGTGTTTCGATTGATGATTGCCTCCCTGATTCATGGCCCATATTTGCCACTGAAAGCAGAAGCGACACGTGCAGCTGTGCCCAGGTAGGTTTTCGCCGTCGGCTCTGGCGACTGACCAATGAATTCTTTGAAACTGGAAACATTCAACGATAGAGGTACCGTTGTGGAGGCCAATGTCTACTCGGCTAGATCAAGGTATTCGCTGGCTCTAGTCCTATTGACTATCGAATGTCAACTTTGACATGTCAACCGCCTACCCATGCCACTGTCAGGACAGCCTCCTTGCAGCAAGGGTGATCAATCTGGACAAGCCACAATGTCTAAAAAGAGTCGACGGAACAACACGGAAGGGGCCCTCAATAATATTGGAGCCAGGCCTTCTTTCTCGCAGGTCCTGCAAAGGGTGGCCTTTGGAGGCGACAACACAAACCCGGGGCTATGCTTGGAGGGTAACGACTGGCGAAGCGATTTTCTCGAGTCCGCGGGAACAATTTCGATAGCCGTCCAGAGCTGCCACGGACATTGACAGCCCAGCCGTCTTGTTAGCAGGAGCTGCCCCTCATTGCCAGAGGCCCTGAAACCCCTGACATTGAAAATGGTCCTCAGTGGTGTCGTGTAAGTAGAAACTGAGTTGTGACAAGAGGTGCTTCAAATGGCGCCTGAGCTCAAGCCTGGGCCCAACTTTGCTAGAGAGCCAGAGGTGCTCAGAGGGAGACGAGAAAAACGACTGACTGAGCCTTTTAGATGAGATGGGAGGTCCCGTATCAAGTGTAGCATGCAAGACTGGCCAGTGGTTAAACACTTGGCATCATCAGTTCCATACCGGACAGTATCCGTGACCTTTCGCTGAATCTTGAGTTCCCCAATCAAGTCTTTCCAAAGTTGGCTGCTCGGCATAGGAGAATTCCAGCCCCTCATTGTGAAGCTGATCAATCCATCCTTGTTCATGCTCGGACCACAAGTCGCTCCTAACAAGGACCCGCACAGTCACCAGCGCTAACTGTTATCGTATCATCATTCATGATTTCTTTCCCGTTGATACCAAACAGTCTCGTAGAACCAACTTGACTGGCAACGGCTTTTTTCTGATACCAACCCTACAACCTACTTTCCTTTGAAGCTGACCACTAAGTTCTCCTTCCATCAATCTCGACTTAAGGCGAGCTTATTAACTGTAAGAGTAAGGGTCTACCTTTATTATTTCTTTGATCCCACGCCCTTCCTCTGCCCACTAGTATCATCCCAGAATCCCTGTCTTACATAGCAAAGCTCGTCACCCACCCAGCCAGTCCTTTCTCAAGAGCTTGGCAAAGTCAACTTGCACCTCGAGCTTCCCCATTGTAACAGCTTCACTGTCTTGACCTGTCACCCAAAGGCAAACCACAACACCTGTACTGCTGGACGTTGAGCAAGTGTCCATTCTCCTAGCTGGTCCAAACTTGGAACCTTGGCACACTGACGAGTGTTACGTACTACACCTACTGGTCGCTTTTCCCAATTAGCAGCAAGATAGTGGGTACCTACTTATCGCCCGTCACACCCAAGCAAGCAGTGGACCTCTCATGCTTCCCAGCTCAGTGCACCCACTGCTTGCTTGTACTGCCCGCCCGCCTGCAACTCCTGCGACCTGCGGCACCACACCGTTCCGGTTGTGTCAAAACATTTCTGACCTTCATGCAGCACGGAGCACCTCGAAAGCTACGAACTTCAAACCAGCTTCCCTCCTGTCAACCGACCTCTCTCCAAATCGCAATCGCACTTCAGAGACACAACCATTTCACTCTGATTCTGTTGCCCTACTGCAACCGTCGCCGTATTCCATCCAACCGACTTCGCCTCTTGGTCTCCATTCCCTACCGCCGGAAATAGTCCAACAGCTACCGTAGTCGCTTCAGGTTACACGGTCGCTTACCATGGCTGCTCCTGGTGTTCAGTCCCTCAAGGTATGAATTACAACTGATGATGAATCATCTGCCATCATCCACTTTGAACCAACACCGTGCCTCTGTGCCTCTTGATGCAAGCTGACTCTTCTCAATCTAGTGCGTTGTCACCGGTGATGGTGCTGTCGGCAAGGTTTGTTACCAGCCTCATCTGCGACAGGCTTCGGCCGAGTCGACTACGCTCGATCTACTCTAACACGACGATTTAGACATGTCTTCTCATCTCGTACACGACGAACGCATTCCCCGGCGAATACATCCCTACAGTGTTAGTACTTAACCCAACATAACGCCGACATGAGGTCAATATTGGCCGCCACGTGCATATGCTGATTGCTGGCCGGGACCGTAGGTTCGATAACTATTCGGCAAGCGTGATGGTTGATGGCAAACCCATTAGTCTGGGTCTCTGGGATACTGCTGGACAGGAAGATTACGATCGATTGCGCCCTCTCTCGTACCCTCAGACCGACGTCTTCCTCATCTGCTTTTCCATCGTCAGCCCACCCTCATTCGATAACGTCAAAGCCAAGGTCAGTGACATCGAATCTACCTGATATATGCGACCCTGATGGCTTACATGTATCAAGTGGTACCCCGAGATCGACCATCATGCACCGAATATTCCCATCATCTTGGTAGGCACGAAGCTGGATCTGCGAGAGGATCCTGCCACATTGGAAAGCCTGCGCTCGAAGAGGATGGAGCCTGTTTCCTACGACCAGGCTTTGGTCTGTGCTAAAGAGATTCGTGCTCACAAGTATCTGGAGTGTTCTGCTTTGACGCAGAGAAACTTGAAGAGCGTATTTGACGAGGCTATCCGGTATGTCTGCCCCACCCAATTCAACCACCTCCTGCTTCCATCCGATTTCGCCATCGTGTTACTGACAGAGTGCAGTGCCGTGCTGAACCCCAGGCCCCAACCGTCAAAACCCAAGAAGTCCAAGTGCACCATCCTGTAAAGCATTTAGAAGCTGATCACCATCGGCCGGGAGAAGATGAATTGCATTTGCAGCAAATCGAGTTTGACCAGATGAAACACAGCAGGCCATCAGTGGGTTTTTTGTTGCACACCAATTGCGGCGGCGTTCGAGGTGGACGGACACGTAGGAAACTCGATGGGCATTTCTCCCGAGTGAGAGGTCCAAGCGACGTATTTTCCAGTTCAGGCCAGCCCCTTTTACTATGTTGGCCAACAGCTGGCTATCTCATGTCCTCTCATTTTCATATCTCTACATACCCCTGACCTTTGGATTATCTTTGGCAACTTTACAGGCTCACCTTGGACTCGGATAGGTCTCAAGGACAAATCTTGGCTTTTTAAAGTTTCTGCTTCTAGGCAATTTTTGAGCTGGTTATACGGGCAGGAGCTGTTTCTGTCCTGAGCTTCCATTGTACCTGTTTTGTCGCACTCTTCTGTGGGAGCCCTGGTTCTGTACCGGACTGTGGGAATAGAAACGCCTGGAAATTAGGTGGAGCTCCCCTATGATCGAGCGAGAAGAATATTTAAGGTCACCTTAGCTCACCCCAATTCTGTAGATAGCACTTTGCGATAGAGCATGCGAAACACTGGACGTTCGCAGTACTTGCTCAGTTGAGCCTTGAACCTTCCGTGAACACGTCATCCTGGTCATTTCTAGTGACCAGTTTTTTTCCTTCTCAGCGGCGCTAGACCAGTCCAGTCAAACCCGGTGGGTATCATAAAATCTATGTACTCAACTACCAAAAATACAGACTGGTGATTATTTTTCGTGGGGGATTGAAGATACTCCGTCAGCTCGCGAAGCTTAAGACTTCTAGGAGTCATCCTATGAGATCTTCGCCATGATGGCTTTGCGAGACGGGTGAATCCCATCCTGGCCACCCTTCTTTTCTCCTTCCTTGGTCAGCCTCTCTGTTTCCTTCTTAACCTTGGCCTTCTCCTCCTCTATGGCCCGTCGCTCCCGCTCTCCCTTCAGCTTTTCGTTCTTCTCCTTAATCTTCTCTTTGCGGTGCTGCGTGTTGCCGCCCCCGCCCGCCGTCAGTTCCACGTTGATCTGGCGCTCCTCCTCCTTGGGACGGCCGCGGTGGTCCACCCCCATGCATGTCATGGTCGTGTGGTGCATCTTCTTCAGACATGTCTTCATGGTATCGTAGCCGGCGAACTCGACGAAGGCGATGCCGCGCGATTTGGTAGGGTCGTTTTTCTGGTGTAGAAGTCGGATGGACGTCGGGCGTACTGCGTTGAAGTGTTTCTCGATGTCGGCTACTTTGGCGGAGTAAGGGAGGTTGCCCACGAAGACGATGAAGCGGGTTTTCTTGTTGGACTTGTTTTCCGCAGTGGCGTTGTCTCCGTGCTGTCCCTTAGTTGCCTTGGTGGGTTCATCTGCAGAGGATTCGGCCTTGACGGTGGTTGTTTCTGACTTGGGATCCTTCTTTGTCTTATTCTTCTTGCTTTTCTTCTTCTTGACGGCGGATTGTGCCTCAATGGCGACAGCTTCGTCGTCTGCATTTTTCATGGGCTGGTCTTGACTCGTTTCTTGGGCGGGTTGCACAGCTTCTGCGTCCACCTCTATCTTGACATCCTCCTCGGACTTGGTAGCCTTTTTGGACTTCTTGGCCTTTTTCTCGCTCTTGTCGTTCTTGTCGTTGTTGTCCTTTCTGTCCTTCTTCTTACTCTTCTCCTTATTGATCTTCTTGGCCACCTTAGGGCTCGTGTCCTCGTCGCTCAATCGTTGCCGCTTCTTGGACCCAGCAAGTTCGCTGTCCACTGTGGGGGCGGCGTCGTCATCGCCGGTTTTGCGCTTCATTTTTGCTTGATTTTGTGAGAGAAATGGGTTCACGGGAACGCTGACTACAATGTAGTGGCACTTATATGAAGAGAAGTCAACCGCTGAAGGTAGAGAATGGAAGATGGGCTAACACGGTCGTCAATATGGTCATTTGTAGTGATCAAAAGTTGCAGCTTGGGATGCAGAAAATGATTGAAAATTTAAGTGGAGAAGCTGCAGCTCGTCGACCGATAAGGCGACCAAGTGGGACTCCCGTCGCTGAAGGCCCCTCACTGACCCCGCTATCTGCATAGGCTGGGGTACGATGTACCCGAATACTTGAGGCAGTCACTACCCGTGGACGTCTCCATTTGTTTATCTCCGACGCCTTGTTTCGGTTCCACCTCCAGAGCGTAAGGTTGGTGTTTGTATTGCAAACACCTCGTTGTCATTTTGAGCATCAGTGGATCAATGTACTTAGGTACGACTATGCGCAATACTCGTCGATCGGTCTCGAGGCAATGGACCTGTTCAAACCTCCCCACCCACTATCGCTACCCGCAGCTCGGCCAATGTCCCCATGCATTATGTCGGTGCCTACGGTGACCGTCATAGGTTTCATATTCTCACCTATTTAAGACAGTATATATGTTCGTGTTAACCACGCATTCCTGTTGCTGCAGACTCCTCATCGACAGCTGAACAAGGTATTTATTTATCTATTCGACATCATGGAGGTGTTTCACCGTTTCATCGAGGCCCCCCCCTTTGGAGCTTCGAGGCAATATTTGGGAATTCGCCCTGTTCGAAGAAACCCGAAACAGAGATGCGATTTTTGAGCCACCGGATGTAAAAGGAGGCCAGGAACCAGAAAGCCAATGCGTCCGGAGTCCCCTAACAAGCAATCTCGTCTCACCTCTGCCTTCGACAACCAAGACGAGCCGCTCAGCTACCTTGAGATTCTTCACCTGCAAGCTACGGGTCTAGGCATGTTGGGAACATCTACGACTACCGCGGCCAGGTCTAGCCAGTCAACTAAGTTGCCGTTGGTTTCCTATACCTTCGACCGGATTATGACCTGTTCTTATTATTCAACAAGGTTGACAATGAGATGTACACAAGCCACCTGCAGTCCATCTGCCGATGGCTTAAGAGCACTGCTAATACTGAGGCTTGGCATGCAGCGATCAAGTACCGCAACGAGCTGCTGTGCGATGTCTATTTGAGAATCAAACCTTGCCTCAGGTAAGGGAGAAAAGAGGTGAACTTAATGGCCTTCATGCACGAAAGAGACGGGGAACTGGGTTTGGCGGAAATTGGCCTGACGATTCTGATGTGGACACAGGGCAGGTTCATGATGGTCGATTTTTACGAATACGACCTTGCTACACAATTGGACAAATTACAAAGCTGTACATGGGACGGCCAGGCAAGATGGCTTGAGAGGAACGATCATGGTGGCTGGGCACTCAATGCCACTGAGACTGTTCCCAGCATGTGGCAAAGGATGCTGCGGGAACCATTTCCAGAAGGATCAACAGAAACAACCTTACAAATATTTACAGAGAGCAGTTTGGAATATATGGGTATCCTTACGGTTAGCACGATGTGTGTGATGCCGTCCAGGGCACTACAAAGGGAGGGGGGGATGCGGTACATGCACACACCTAACCATTGGCGCAATCTGTCTATAAACTCCGATCAACACTGGCGTGTGATGTGATCGAGGGTAGTGCAAGAATAGAAACGGGAAGTGGTCAAGATCTTTGTTCGTATATATATATTAAACTGCTCGACTTCCGCTGTCTATGTCTTTTGGTTCGGTTTTTGTCTCGCTCTTCTTGAAAAAAGGACCAATACCAGAATGACATGTTCGTACTCTTCAGTCTAGAGCATAGGTCACCTAGATACGACAAGGCAGGATATATACCCGGTCATCGCGCAGGTATAACCCGCATAGCCAAAATACTGGTGAGATACAATAATATTGTAAACAAAGCTACTAGTCTTCCCGTCATTGAAGTCAAGGCCTCTGGTATGAAAGCCAATATTCAAAAACACTCATAAATTCAATATGTTTAGAAGCTCTATAAGAGATTATCTAAGTGGTCTAGTTACCTAACCTAGTTAACTATGTTGGGTTATATTACAGCTCTGGTTCCCAAGCCCCAGATTCCTGTGGCATACGTCCAAAATCTCTCTAAAGGACTCTTACAAAAAGTATTGAACAAGTAGTTCTAAAGCCGATAAGACGATCTCGCAGAGCCCTCTCAAGGATTCTAACTTGCAAAGTAAATACAGCAAGCTATATTATTGATACACTTCATCTAGGTAGAGAGCGGGGACACGTTCGTATACTCGCTATAATGTGACGCCGGAACCGATTATCAATATAATCGCCCAACATACGCAATCAGAAAACCAGCCAACGCGAAGGGGTTGAAAGCCGCCCTGGACGACGGAGAATTCCCCTTACAATAAGTCAGAGAACCAGCCAGTGCGAAGGAAGGAATTCTGCCCTAGCAGACAGACATAACTCCCGTGCATGCATGTCCATGGATTTGATGATAAATGAGAAACGCTGGATCCACCAATGAATTACTTTTCTTTTGTTTTTCACTCATACTACCTTAACCTCCCCTCAAACGTGCTGAAAGAGACAGTTTCGTGGGTTAGATAAAGGTTGAAGTCTCAAGAAGATGAAGGGAAAAAAAGGAAAAACTCTAAGAGTATTAACGTAAAGGGTCCTTAGAACGGCATTTCCTCAGGTGTTAGGCCGGGCAATATAGTACCTGAGAAAGACTCGAAAGTTGGATGCCGACGAAACAGAACGGTTGGATATCTATCACCAGCGCGATCAAGGCTCCATATGACCTCCGGAAAGTCGGGACCCAGCATATGAGAGAACATATTGTTTGGGATTCCTCGAAAGTAGATAGGCCCATGATTCCGATAGGGATTGCTTCTCCCCACACAGCATTGGTCTCGGTCCCCACAAGCCAGATGGGATGGGATGAGTCTCAGATGTGGCCGGAACCACTATCCCCAAAGCATCGATTGCATATGGGGAACTATCAATGTCATCTCGTAAATCAGGATTCTCCTCGGCAATAATCGTTTGGTGCTTTTCCGCTGCTCCTCTCGAGCGGATGATGGAGAGGCGTTGCGTACTCCCAAGATTGAGATGAGGTGATCATACGACTTGGTGCGAATGCATCGCGATACCTCTGTCGGTCACAGATAGCGGGTTCGTGTCGTTTCCAGTGTCGTAACTAATTGTATTCCCCGTAGGACACAAGTCTAGGGCTAGTAGTCATACTAGATAACTTGTGCGGATCTGGGCCGCACGTCCGAATGCTTGCTCCTTCCGCCTGCAACCTATGATGCAAATTTGAGCTGGGGAGAACAAAGCATGCGAGATATCTGAGACCAGGAGTAGGTTCAAGGCGCACATTCGCTGAAATGCAAAAGCATAATGGGGTTCTAGGGGAGAAAGCAAGCGTGACATGAAAGATCACCTTGGGGTGCGAAGGAAGCAGCTTATTCGGCCACCTTTCGCAAGTATGAAATATATCGACTGTGGAGATGAGATTTCACCAACAGATCTGAATGTCTCAGCTTGGGAAAGTATAGAACGCCGATGTCGACAATAGGCGATCCCACGCGGAACACTGCCAGGTGCTGGACTGATCTAGAGATGACAGCAAGACGGACAGGGGTCGAGATCACTTTCCTGGCTTGCCTGGGTTGCTTTGCATCAGAGTTGCACGGTGAGATTAGACTATCTCTTACAGTGTATGTGTGGTTTATTATACAGTCAAGCATCTTATGGCTCTGAGGGGTGTAGCGCTGACTAAACCCAATATATACCATAGTCACTGCCATCCAAGCAATGGGGTTTCTTTCCTTTCAAGCTGGAAGTCGACTTGAGTCCAGCGCAATGAGGCGATAACTAAACGTACAGGGTCCTCCCTTGCTGAAGAAATGGTCGCAGCGAAGACCCATCGCATACGTGGACCAGCTACTCGCCCTTATGAAAGGGCGGCTTGGTGGCCTTTTCCTTATCTATATCATCTCTCCTCAGCAACACCTTGGCAACCCATTCCTCGACGTCTCGCTCGGCTTCCTCATCTGTCCTTCCTCCCCCTTCTCCGCCAATACTTTTCCGGGCCAATTGCCTCAAGTCCCCAATGTTTGATATGTCGAATGCCCATGCGAGACCGCCTGTGGCCATAATCCCGAAGCTTATGACATTGAGTGTTGCCAGGCCGAGGGCTTCGACGGCGATGAAGGAGCCGTCTGAGTCGATCTTGCTGACGGGTCCGTTGCTCGGTTGGTAGAATCTCGGTATCGTCGCCCTCTGTTTCCGTACAACGGCTCGCCGCGTGACCAGTGTCGCGAGTGAGAGGAAGCCGGCTCCTGCGAAAAACAGGCCCAGTTGCCGTAATGATCGTTGCGATAGGATGGGTGAGCGTGTGTCCGGTCGGATGTTTGTCTGGGGCGGAGCAATTGTGTCTCTAGGCGAGGATGCCCTAGGCTCTCGGTTGGGGTCGCGATCGTTTGCCATAGTCATAGTCGTGCCGAATGACCACATTGGAATAGAAGTGCGACTCGGCAACGGGCTCGCAGCAGGTCGAATAGAAACCACTTTTCGAGGCTGTTTTCAGAATGACATGACTGGTTCCAGATGGTCCCAGGGTGGCTGGCCAGAACCTGTGTGCAGAATGCAAAACTGAGGTCGGTTGCTGCTGGGGTGGAACTCGATGCCCAGGTCTTGATCTCCGCAAGCTGAGAAAAATCCGGGGTACGGGTACTGAGCCGATCCGGTTAAAGCGGCAGCATTAGTGCTCGCTCTAGTGTTTAGATGAATGAAAAGGCTTGGCGACCCACAACTACACTCCTTCAACGGCAAGGGCTCGTGATATCCATCTGTTTCTCATGTCTCCGCTGGTTCAGGACTATGTCACGCGCATGGGGTCGCGCCATTCGTCAAGCAACTTCTATCTTCTAAGGAATGCGCGACTACTGAACAGTCTTTGTCACCGCTTCTCTGCGGTAAGTCCTCGGTGCGTGCATCCTACAGTGGGAAGAGCAATTGTCCACTTCTGCAGCACACTGGTCGAGGTGCCAAGCAATAAAACCGTGTCCGCCGGCCCGCAAGTTTGGCTTGCAACTATTCCCGGATTATGCCCTATGCACTTGTACTGACTGCAACGACGTGGTTTGTCGAGGGCCAGTGCGAACTCTCGCTCTGGTTCCCTACTGGTGTGAACTGCATGTTTCTCCCTCTCTCCACATATGTGCCTACGTTTATATCCGCGAAGGATGCCGGTACGTTATTTGGAATACCACGCATGTATGTCTCGGTTGATCTGGTCTCTAATCTGTCTTCGCCGAATATTACAGCTTCAAGCCCAGTCTCAAGAAGTTCACGAAGAGGCAGCATGAAACAACAATCTGTTTACTAAAGTCATCATAACTCGCATTTGCTGAAATCAGCACCGAACCTCCTGTAGTGTACTAAGCATCATAACAGCAGACAAGGGGCAGCCCCGAAAAGCGTCCCCAGAACCGAGTTACCCACACAAGCTCACTGACAACTTCTCAGTACTCAATTCATGTCGACTGTCTCTGTGCTTGCACAATCTGTTCGAGTGCCTTATGAACCGTGCGACCATCTGACACTTCAGCCTGACTTGGCACGACTTGTCGTCTAGATTCTCCATGCTTGTTAGAGGTACCATTTTACATTAGCTGTATCGGTATCACGATGGTGGTAGGCGAGGACTTGTCTAGATTGACCTTCCTCGACCAATCCTCATTGTCCAGCAACTCCTGGTTGACGTTCCATGTGTCCCTATGATCTGGCATGCCGACGTACATGACTTGGCTCAACAGCAACAGACATGGCCCAACCAAAATAAGGGTGATGTCGCACCAGATAGCCTCAGGCGATATGTGGATATCATCACCGAAGCCGGCAGGTAGGCCTTCTCTCTGAGTTGGAATTTTCTCTGTCGTAGCTCTGAATATCCATCAGGCTTTTCAGTGCCCCTGAATATGACGCAGAGAACCTCGAGGCCTAGAGGTGGTGTGATTATGTCTATGGCTGCGGATAAAGAGGCATCAATGACCTCCTGGCAGAACCTACTGATGAAAAAATGTCGTCGCTCTTCAGACATACTGGGCTATCTGAGAGAGTCTGGAAGGTTCTGGTTGGTTGGGAGAACCTGACGGCTTCGTAATAAATTTGCGAGGGGCTCTCTGAGTGGTCTTTCTCTAGGATACGATTCGCCATCTGCTTGATCAGGAGACTCCGGATACAGGTTCCTCAGCGCTGTGATGACGCGTTCATCTGTAGAAGTCGAGGTATTAGCGACAACTTCTGATAGCCTGTATCGGAATACGTAAGATGCGTCTTGACAAGTTTCAACGGATTTCCATCACTGATCAGACGGAAAGAAACCCGGGAAGAAGGCCACGAGGGTTACTCCCGCTAAGATGTGACTTTACTCGTGGTGGTATATGCATCTAGACTGGCTGGTGGAGAGTACTCAAAGAGTGTACTGGGGCGTAATGAATGAAGCGTTGAAGAATGCAGCCACCCGATCTAGGTGGCTATGGATCTCGAAAAGCCCTTATACCACAGGGGATAGGCCAAAGAGAGGTCCCTAATATTCGCCGTTGGCTTCAGGGAGTATCCCCTTCGGGCTTCATGCATTATAGTAAGCATTAAAAGGATATAACGCTACATGTTTGGGTGGTGTGGACGTTCTCGAAGCAAACTATGCACTGTGCTCGGAAGACCTGGCTTCCATGGAACGCTAATAACTAGGTTGTCATTGGTTTTGCTTGGATTACAGGAGTGGAGGACATGTTCATCAGATCACTAGTTACCTTCTTGGTGTTATGAGACTTTCAAGTATGTCGTACCGTCAAATTAAGAACTAAGATGAAGTAGCCGATATTTTATTACTCGAAGCTAAGAACAATGAGGCTTCCTGTTAAATCATGTCGATTCAGTGAGCTATAAACCCCAGATTTCCTGGCAGTCACGGCGAGGACTAAGTGTTTCAAGTAGCACCTCTTCTGTGCTCACCTAGGGTGGCTGCTTTTATGTCACAAGGGAGAACCAAGCCCCTAGGCCAATAGACAAAAAGATTTAGAATGCCAGTGGATCACTAACATTTGGTCCCACTAACGGCTATATGCAGCACTATGTGGCTCTGTGATCGCCAGCGCTGTGACACAGGGTTTTAAATATGATAAGGCCAATGACCGTAAAGAAGAAACACCAAGTTAGTGTCAGATATTCATGTATCTTGCTGCGTGACCTTGATATAACGGTAATATTACCCCTCCGTGATATAGCTATAACCTTCAGCTGAATTTGCTATGATAGATGTAATTTATTATTGTTCTTATAGTTCTGCTCTACAGAAGGATCTTAGCTAAGTCCTAGTGGCTGGTAATCTTAGTCTGGTTAATCAAGTACCCCCTTAGGCGACTACCCTAGCTAGGAACTGTAGAGCCCCAAGGATATAAGACTTATTATGCCTTGAAGTAGACTTCTATTCAGACTCTTCTCTTGTCATGGGGCTAGACCTATTTTAGGGCAATGAGGCGCTTGGGCTATATCCAATCTAGTAGCTCTAACTACGGGCGCCGTACTATAAGTTACGGCAGCTTCCTATTCTTGGCCTTCCCGAAACATCAGACCATCCTCGCGGCGGAGTAAGTCACATCTCGAGGTAGTCGAACTACGGGCTAATCCCTGTAGTTACTCGCATGCTGCTGCCCCTGCTGAAGCATGCCTTTCCCACCCTTGCAAAAGTTCCAGTACTTCCGCCTAATATGGCAGGGATTGTCGACGCGTGTTTTTCTGCCTCAAATTTCCTGGATAGTGACTGGAAGAACGAAGTCGTCCGCGCCGCCTAAGACTTGGTTGATGTAGTGACGAATCAGTATGTGCGAGCTTGTCTTTACGTCAGGATTCGGGTTAGGTGGCTAGCAGTGGCATGTTCTTCGCTCTTGATAGAGAGCCGATCAAGTCTCTCCTATTCCTAGCAGGCCCGAAATTGAACGGTTTTACGACGTATATCATATTGAAAACCTAGGAACACATTAACCTCGGCCTCCTTGCCATCGCGTATTAAGCGATGGAAAACCTGACTTCAACCTTACGCGGAGATACTTCGACTTTAGGAGAGGCCTATAAGAACCAGGCGTTATGTCTCGACGGTAGGATTTGCCGTTTCGAGGGAAGATTCGCGGAAGTAAGCAAACTTTTATGTCAGTGTGTACAGGTCGAGTATCTGGCCGGAAGGGCTTTTCTGCATCTTGCGGCAGTGTTATGTGAATTAGGATAACACGACTAAGCCATACAGACGCTAGGGCGTGGAACCAACCCGAGATCTACGAGGCGAGTAAGACTAGCCCTTACTAACGCCTACCTAATACACGCCATGGTTGAATACAGGAACAAGCGACAGATTTCCTATCTCGTAACCCCCCACCCAGACTTTGTTCCAGGCCCTTTGGGAGGCCGTATGCCTATACCCATGAGTATCTCGCCGAGTACTGATGCTAGACCGGTTCAGTGTGGTAGCTAGCCTTACTATCCTGTTATATCTAAATAGAGACGTCGAAGTGGCTATCCCGGCCTAGCGACAAGCTATAATTGCCCTGAAAGAGTGTAGATTAGAGATGGGTCACACGGATATAATTATTACCTACCTAACTAGTAAGCTCGAAATTAGGCGTAGTAGCTCACCAGAATCGGTACAATTGGAAAATAAGATAAGACCGTTCTTTACAAGGACCGGTCGCCAATACTACTTTACCGGTTTAGAATCCTTATAGCCTAACGCTGTTAGAGATTAGCTCGAGGCGTATAGGCGTGAGATGATCATTAGCTAGTCCCTCGATGAGAATCTACTAGTGCCCGGTGTATTAGTCAGAACACCTTATTTGTGATTAGTTGTTTTAGAACTAAAGGACGTTAGCTGTGCACGGGGCGTATAACGGGTGATAAAGATGTCAGATAAAGATGATATCTCTAACCTGACCTAACTAGTAAACCTGGTAATATGTCGCGAGTTTCTGGCGGTTGCAGGTTCGTAGCAAGAGCTGGTCTTATCAGGGTCTTTTTGACCCCCCTCTTGCAGAGTATCCTGTCCACCAAGTCTCTCTTCACCTTCTTTTCACTAAGTTAGTCTCATTTGCAACAATTATTAGGCCTGAAGGGTAAAGTCGCCTCGCTACGATAGATTTCTCCCGTGACCTAGTCTTTCGCATACCCACAGCTAATCAATCCTCAGGCGATGAGCAAGCCCACTTATTGTTTGGTCATCAAAGCGAGTTGAAGAGTGAGAAACACATCGACTTGGTGGTGTTATTGTCGGGCGTGGGGGAGGAAGCAAATTGAAATGTTGAGACAGCTGTACTAGGCCCTCCTTGTCGAAATTTGTATAGTTGAATCGGGCATACATAGGCAAATATTCACAAGAAAAGGTTACCTGATGTTTCCAAGTCTTTACTCAAGCTCTCTTGCCTCCTAGTGAGTGCTTGGCCATGTCCTAGCCTAGTGTTACCCGGCCACAGTAAAGAAGAGAGCCTTACCGAGTTCCAAGACAAGCCTTGCACAACTTATTTTACAGGTGCTAACAACCCGACCCATACACAATTACGGCGAAAAAGGCTGTATTGAGAGTTAAAGCCGTTGTCTCTCTTCACTTGAGCCACCTTACAACTTGTGACGGTGCCGGGGTGGGTGTATTCCATACAAGTGAATTTATCATGAAAAAAAGCAAGGGTAAGCCTCTAAAGTGTTAGTAGAGCTTCAATAGTTTCAGGACCTAAGCTATATGTATCTTTCTCGCTTCTACTATATTAAAACCCCGGTAGATCGCTTTTCACAAGAAAAGCTATATTCCGATAGTAATTTCTACTTAAATATCGCAAAGAACTACGACCTACACGATGTAGAGGAGATAGCAAAATAGTCCCTACGATTAACGTATAGGAAGAATCTAGCCCATGACAACATAAAAAGCCGGGATAAGCATATGTCACAGTATTGGCGATTGTATAGCCACATAGTACTCTGTATATCACTTAGTCCGACCAAATGTCAGTGGTCCACTGAAATTTTAGATCTTTTGGTCCATTGGCCAGGGGCTTGGTCCTCCCTCGTGATAGCTTAATAAAATCTTTAATACCTTTCGCGTAATTAACGGGCTCTGGCCAGAAGAAATAATCGGTAACTACGCCTACTACTTTACGCTACACTACGATAAAGAGATATACCATTATTTCACTTTTATATTGACTTAGTGACAGGGCTTTTGGTTGTTGTTTTTGAGTTTTCAGATGAATTATGTAAGCTTGTTTTTGAAGGTATTTAAGGACCTGTGTAGGTAGTTATTCATGGAAAGAAGAAGAAAAAGCAAGCGGCCAAGTCAGTAGTAATTGATTCCTTTCGCCTGTTAAGGCACCAGGTGTTTTGATGACCTGCTGAGGTCTTGTTCTGTTCCTCGTGCCTGTTGACGTACTTTTATTGTTCTAGTCGATCTGTTCCGGCCTGTTGAGGCCCTATTCTCTTTATGTCTAGAGGCAGAGTCGATTGTTCGTACCTGCTGAGGTACTTTTTTATTCCTTCCACCTCCCGGATAGTAAGGTCTTCTTGAGAATCTTGTTGTCCGTTGCCATCATCATCGCACCTTGGGCCTGCGGGCATTTACTGCCCGTCGTCAGTATACTAGGTGTGGTTAGACGTCGTATATACTAATCCTAGCTTGCTCCTCTATTTTGACGCCGACAGGATTAGGTTTCTAGAGGACTTCGCCCCGGCTACTAGCGAGCGGGATCGTACCTTAATCGAGAAAGCTTTTGACCTCGGGCAGATATTTAGCCAGGTATCGGATACGGAGCGGCGCTTAGCGATTAGGGGGAACCTCCTATAGGTTAGTGTTATAATCCCTTCCTTCAGGACTTTTCGGGAGAGTATAAAGTACTTTTCCGTTATTACCCGAATTATAAGGGACCTCATACTACGCTATGATCCTATAGCAACACCCCTCAGGAGCTCGAAGAGTAGGCAGCGTATACCGGCCCGGACTAATCGCTCGCTAATGGCTTATTTTATTATTAGACTAAGCTAGTAAACCCTATCATCGAAATTAGCGAAGGGGGAGTTCTAACCGGTCGTTAGTCCGTTCTCGTGCTATTAAGCGTACCAATTGTTCCTTCTCGTTCCTCTACGGCCGTTTCCCTATCTAAAATACAAGGATACGCTAAGGGTAGACTATAGGGACGAGATTATTTCTGCCGTTCGACCTGGCTATTGAGCCCTAGCTTACAAGCGTGCGAAACTGCTAGATTCCAGAACAATCGAATCGAAGAGGGCGCTGCTCGCCAAGTAGACGAGTCCACCCCGATATACGAGGACATTTCTGCCGAGGGAGTCACATTAGTGGCATAGCATCAATCAAGGAGATCTGTAATATGCTTGCCCTGTCGTAGATCGGATCTGAGCTAGTGATGAGCTAGTGAGAAAAAGGCGGGGAAGGAATCAGCCACTCAACGCTCCTTCTGCAACCATAAATAGACGACGTCTAACAACAACCCAGCCAGGCCCGCTAGTTGACGGTAAACACTACCTTATTTACCAACTCCAACAGAATCGGCACCTCTGAGTTATGGCTAAGGTGAAATACTCCAAGTCAAAAACGACTGCCAAGAAGTTGCAATCTACCTTTACAAATACAACCACAGCTGCGGCGACTCCCCCCAACTGGCCGCCCTTCAAGCCAGCTCTACCCATTGCTGCACTAGATCTCCAGCCGCCAGTCCCAGGCTACGCTGATAAGATACTCGTCGCTCATAACTTCTTCCCCAAATCACTCTGCAGGGACTACGTAACTTTTCTCAACACCCTTCCTCTGATCACCACACCGGGTCGTCCTAAGCGAGGAGAGGCTGTTCGAGTGAACGACCGCTATCAAATCGACGATGCCCGCTTTGCACAACGCCTGTGGCTCGAAACAGGGCTCAAGGGACTCGTATTGGATGATTCCGTCAAGCACCTCTGGTGAGCCAGCCTTATTTACCTTTTCCACCCAACCCACCTTCCCATGATTGTCAAGGCTTCTATTGTAGATGTCCATGTTTCCATGCGTTCCCGCAAGACTGAGAGGAAATTGCTGACTTCTAACAGGGGCGGTGAACCGGTTGGGCTGAACCCAAGCATTCGTATATATCGGTACACCAAAGGTCAATACTTTGATGCCCATTGTAAGTGAAGTCTTTCTCATCATGATATTGTCTTGTCCGGAGTCGAGGTTTATTTGATAAGCGGTCGAGCGCGTGGTGGCCCGGCAAACCATATATTTAATAGCCGGTTCTCGCTATTTCTTATCATCGCCTGTTCTATTTTTGACCTTCCGATCCAACTGGGATTGGGATGCTACAGTATATCGTTGGTTTGGTTATATGTTCCACCTACCGCTGCGCCTATGCCAACAGGACTTGATATTATCACCAACGACTGAAAAAGTACTGGTGCGTTAGAAGCTAACGCAACTCTAGACGATGACTACAACCTGGTCACTTTGCCGTCTACGACCGAGCCTTCGGGTACAAACACCAGGACGGTGTGGACCATTTTGCTGTATCTAACCTCAGCCGCTGAAGGCTGCATAGGTGGAGAAACAGTGTTTTACCCCCATGATCGAAAGGTAGCCAAGGAGGAAATCGCAGTTGGTCTAGAAACCGGGATGCTACTCCTCCACAAACATGGTGAAGACTGTTTATTGGTATGTTTCCAACCTTTCGATCTACAGTTCCTGGATATTATGCACTTTACTGATCAGCTACGTTGTCCAGCATGAGGGTCGCGAGGTATTGGATGGTGAAAAATGGGTACTTCGCACGGATCTGTGCGTGAGGAGGTAGCTGCAAGATTATGCACCTATCTCTGCTTGCATATTGAGACGTGATCGTATTTTACAGGTGTTGGCTGGCAGTCGAGGCTAAGCACTTGTGTTGAAATATTAAGACGACGACGACTGAGAGCACGTTGTACACGTACTTCAGGCCACTGTTGCATATAATATGTTGCATATAATCACACTCGATCTGATATGATCTGTGTTAGGCCTTCGAGTGGTCTCGAGATGCCGAGTCTTATTCGCGATCGTCGGTCGACCTTGGCGTGCATGAGCCCCCATAGGCTGCATTCCTACGCTGATGCGGTGCAGTGGGGCATCGGTGTGATCTTGTTGCATCCGGTGAGTCCAATATCATGCCGGAATAGAGTTATTCAGAGCACGGGGGGATCTCAACGATGCCACTGGCGATGCTAGTCGGGTTTGCCGCTTGTCCACTGACCATGGAGGCTTCGATGGCATATTTCTTTCTATAGGCCTTGCACCTCCATCAGAACCACGAACTCAGGCATCCGAGACAACGAAAACCTCCTCTCCGTGGGTCCGGTCTTGAGCTCTTGCCGCAATGATGTGGGGTATTCTCGGTCTCTCTTTGGGCAAAATTTCGAGACCACAATACAGAAGCGGCAACATTCCTACTAGATCGTCCCAAGAAGACATAGCATGGTGCGGAAATATCGCAGTAAATCCATACTGTCCTGCACCTCTTGCTTCTTGACTGGAAGCCTTTTTCATCGTTGCAGGAGCTTACACAATCTTGACGTCTTGGCAAAATATATTTGGGCGAAGAAAGTATGCATCGTGGGATTTATACAATCATATCGATATCACTCATTGGCCATGCTCGTAAGATCATAATAAACAAATTTTGCTAGTCGAAACTGGGTCTAGAATTGTAGAGCGGCCAGAGTTTCAGCTCTGTCGATACTTCTGGTTTTTGCAAGGAGCGTTAAATTTGTCAACCGTCCGAACTAGCAACTTCTTGGCTACTATATTACTCGGAAAGATCCTCGAATGAGTAGCAGATGAATTCTCCGCATGGCAGCTACGAGTATCGTCGCCGCGAGTTAAATAGATCAGTTTACTGTACCTCCGTGCGTATGTATGTATCTCTTCAGGATGACTAAGATGCCCCTGTTTCGAAGGTATCGTTGATGCAGTCAACACTCCATGGTATTCAACTTGAAGAAAAGAAGGAGAACTTCAAGTCCACTATCCATATGGAATAAGAAATCTCTGCACAAACGTTCAAGGCATCATCTAAGTTTACATCTCGACGTTGACGAACCGTGAGGTATCCAACAACGCCCTCGGGGCGTTTTGAAGCGCTCGTAAACGAGCTCGAGGCCGTGATTTACATATGCATGCAATGAACCAATAGGTGTATTTGAGTTCCGATAGGCTTGGAGTTCGTACTTGATACTGTCCCGCCACTGGAAAATTTAGATGCAAGCAACGACGGTATGATCCGAGGAGATTCGAGGAGAGTCGAGAAAAAGTCAAAATCAGAAACAAGGAGTCGACTCATTGTATATGCTTTGAAATACTCATAGTATCGCATCGATCTCGAATCATGAATATTAAATATTTGTTTTCTTTCCTCATCTCATATTGATTCTTATCTGAGGGTCACACATGTGATTGAATTCAGAGTTTTGCGAACCTGACTTTAGCTAATAGTTAACAACGACAGCTCAGTTATGAATCGACACATATTACTCATCTAGCTAAGCCCTTCGGTGTTTGCAACTTGGCTATTGAATCTACAGGGGAGCAACAGCCATTAACAGATATTTTTCTTGCCAGCGCAATATTCAACTATCCAAAAGCCCATTTTCATCCAGAAGAGTCTCGTCTGGACAGTCAGGGCCATCTCATGGATATCATCAAGTGGCTACTACGCGGCCACTTGGCACCTTGAAAGACGAGAACGAGAATTGGTGCTTCGTGGCAATAACTCGCGACGTAGGTTTCGCAACGGGTTAAGGTAATACACTCGGTCTCACGACTTGACAAATAATATCTTGGTGTCTGTTAGAAAATAGGATGTTTAGCGTTCAAGCCATCCCAACAAGGATGCATGCCATAAGCAGCAACGAGTTTGTGCTACTGACATTTAATCCTGGTTCCACCTGGACTCCTAAACTCCGATCATGCATATCTTGGCCTTACGCGAAAGCAGAATGGGTATCGAGTGTTTCCAGTGTAGTCGGCTTTCATTTGGAGTCCTTCATGGTCTTTTTTGCCTGTTTTCTTTCTTTATTCTCTCTTTTGGGCTTTTTTCCCTTCTTCAATTCCTTGCTCTTTGACTTCTTCGCTGGAGGAGGACTGGTCTTCTCAGCAGAATCCTCGTCAGAGTCGCTCGAAGAATCCGACTCGTCAGCCCTGCGCTTGGCTCCAGCCTGCGATGCCATAAAGGCAGACTTAGCTTTCTCCTTGGCGATCATCTCGGTGAGCTTGGTGTTGACCTCCTTATTGTCGGCAAGGTCAGATCTGATGAATCGGATTGCGGCCTCCTTATTTAGGGAATTCTCGGGCTTGGGCGGAGGGTTTTCGATGTTCTTGATCTTGTCGAAGTACTGGCGCACTCGCGTCAACTCCTTGAAGATTGGATACTCCTTTGCGTTAACGCCATTGAGTCGCAGCACGGCTAGAATTTAACGTTAGAGCGCTTTCGAAATAGAAGAGACTAGACCATCGTACAGAACAACATCGACTCCAAGGCATATGTCACTAGCACGTATAGCTTAGCCTTGTCGAGCAAGGGCAGCTTGGACGATACATTAGGCACGCTCGCAAGTATCGGCTTAAGAATCTCTTCGAGATTGTCGATTTCGCCATCGAGGCGCTCCAATCGCGGCAGGATGTTGGTGACGTCCATCTTGGCTGGCCAGGCTCTTTCATACCGATGAGAAATGGAATGATGTCCAGATGTCGCCGCTCAATGTCGTCGCATTTCCTCGAGATCGTACAAAAGAGGGCGGTCGCATCCGGCAGAAAGGCATTTCCACGAAGTGGGGCCTAGACCGTGTTGAGGCTGGCCAATGATTGTGAACGCATATCTCGTTCTTGACCGGTGGATCGGGTCAATTTAGCAGCAGAAAAATGTCGTCGTCAACGACGAGCCGTCACAAAAGCGATTCCGCAGTCTATGACATTGCAGACCTCCAACATTTAAAACACTAACGACTCTCCTTGGCATTGCCTTAAGCACATACGGCTTGCTGAATCTCGCCTGTTTATTACTCTCGCAAATACCTCGTCTCTATTTCTCCTCCCCCCCCCCCCAAATGATTCAAGTTTTTGCGGTAACTTGATCCCGATTGCGCTAAATCGCACGCGTCTAGCTATCTCGATGCGAGAGCTATGAGACACCACACATAGCCGACAATCATTCAATCTGTCTTCCCATCTTTGCCGAACGCCCCTTTCGCGGGCTTCCGCGCGAATACCCAGCAGAACCACACGATGGAGTCACGATAACATCTTCGTGGGCCGGGGGGCCAGTAAGCGCCTGTCCGCCGTAGCAGTAGCGAGCCATGGAATTTTCCATTTAGATCCTCCCATGTACTCGCCTCCGTCCATGAAGTGGACCAGGAACACGCCAAACACCAGCACAAATATCCCCTTTTACAGACCACCGCCGGTAGTGCTGCCACCCGATATTCGCGAGGAGTCGAGACCGGCAGAGAAGGTCAGAATGACTTTGCCCGCCGAAGGCTCGGAAGAGTACCAAGAAGTCCTGGCTTCTCTCAGGTTGTCAGATAAGATTCATATCATGGGCTTCACCAGAGAAGCCCGCTATATCACATACTGTCTGGCAGGCACTCCCGAGCTGCCACCAGCTCAGCTGTTGGCGCAACATCCAAACATATTGACCAAATGGGGTCGGGAAGGACGGCAATTGACGGTGTATACACCAAAGGGACCCATGCCTTCTCGCGATGTCATTATGCCCAAGTATATAGGACCACCGCGTGGAACCTCGCGAAATGCCACCGAATTCACCAGGCTACAACATATTAGTAACCTGCTAATCAGTACCTTTGATGGTTCAATATACACCACTCTGTTACACATGCGGGATTATATCGATCAAGACACCACAATATGTCTTCTCAATGAAGGACTCGGCGTGGTGGAGCATTTGAATGAGGGTATTTTCACCGACCCAGACACTCGACCGAACTATGTCTTGGGCCACGTGGATTACATGCTAGCAACAAAACGACAGATTGGTGATTTTTCGATGGATCTCAAGGCACCCGGGAAGATGTACCTCACAGCACTGCCGAGAGAATCACCAGGCGAGTCTCTGGTGTCAACTCGGCCTCGCGTCGTCGGCCGTGCGCGAGCACAACATTTGATCAAGCTGTTGTGCCAGACTCCTGGCTTGGACGCAGGTGGCTTTCCAATGTCCTTGTTTCTCCGCCAGAAACTCCCCTCCATGGTTTTTTCGTCACTTACGGACGCAATTTCTGTGGCGTTGGGTTGCCAGTACGACCGCATCAGTACCAGTCCGTACGCTGTGGGGTTGTGGCATGATCTGCTCGACGAAACGGTGACTGTTATTGCTTCCCTCCCCGAGTTTAAGGAGCATCCAGATGCGCTTGAATATTTTACCGGACGACGCTTCAAAGACGACCTTTTCGCAAAACTAAGGAACAAACGAGGCGCCAGCACATGGATCGCTCGGGTTCGGACGGGAATGCAACTGCCAATGCCATATCTAAATGGGTGGTTTGTCAAGAAGGCGAAGGAGAATGGTGTGCCCCATTCAGCTCACAACACGCTCATGTCGATGGTTCGAACGAGACACGAGGCTAGAATGGAAGAGCTCAAGGGCCAGATCCCCATGTACGTGTATAAGACGGACGGTGACCTGACTAACCCCGATGAAGACGGGCAGAACATGGTGCCCATTCGCTATGTATATATAACGAAAAACAAATAGACCAAGGGCTCCTCAATTGTTTAGACGGCGTCATCAAGAGGGGTTTGGAAATACTCAAAACTGCTCACGTACGTTTGTAGAAGATAATGCCTTACTTTTAGCACTTGATTGACTCTGTCTCACTTGTAAAAATAATCATTTCTGATGTGGAATGATTGACCCCCGATCTCATAGGCTTTCAAATTGGTAACATCTCTCCCGATGACCCCACCATAACTTTTCATACCCAGTGCCTGAAGTGTACCTCCAATAACTTGGCAACCCACAACTTCGACACCTTTCGAAGACGACACATCATGGCGGACGCGGAGCTAGACGCAGTAAGCCAACAATCTCGACTATCGCTCCGTTACAATTACTGAAGAGAACGACTCCTAGATCAGAAAAGCGCGCCTTCAACAGCTCAAGGCGCAAGGCGGGGCAGGTAGCCAAGGCGGTGCGGGCGGCGGCCCAGCAGGACAAGGCCAAGGTCAGGAACAACAGAAACAGCAGTAGGCGCATTCACTCTCTCTATCCACGTCTCTAAATTTCTGCTAATCCGGGATTTTACAGACAGGAAGGTATGGTCCAGTTAAACGAATAAAGCAGGCTGGACGGACGAAACGAAAGAATCGAGACTAACACTGACAATCACCACTCCACAGCCGAAGCCCGCCAAAGTATACTAAACCAGATCCTCCACCCCGAAGCGGCGGACCGACTGGGTCGCATCCGGCTCGTCAAGGAGCAGCGCGCGACCGATGTGGAGAACCGACTCATTATGCTGGCACGGACTGGGCAGCTCAGACAGAAGGTCACAGAGGAACAGCTCAAGGAGCTGCTGAATGCCGTGGCGGATACCAAGGAGGAGGAGAAGATTGTGGTCAGTCGACGGAAGGGGTGGGACGATGATGACGATGATCTGTTTGATCTGTAGGGGCAAGATGGCAAGGCAGACGGGCAGAAAAAGTAATATGCGACGCGATGCTTTATCTTGACGTGGAAAAGCACGAAATGGCATGGCATTGACATGACGTTATTCGGAGGAGTCTATTGAGTTGGTTATGCTACACACATTGTACACATCCGTCACCTTACAGCCCACTTGCTCCATTCTCAGATCTGCCACTGCCCTCACGCAACAGCCGGAGCAGCAGGATTCCCATTCGCCCTCTCCTTCGCCCTCCTCTTCTCCTCACGTTCGCGCTTCCGTATATCCCTTAAATCTGGCGGCTGCTCAATCCCCAAGCGATCCCTCAACTCTTGCACATCCGTCTCCATCTCTTCCTCCCAATAAATGTTTATGACCTCCTGGCTCTTCAGCCCATTCTTGACCGCCCACGGCCCATACACATACCAAAACCGCGCCCTCTCGACCGGCTTCATCGTCCCAACGGCCAATAGCGACAGTCCCGTCATAGGCAACAGCGTATTCGCGAACTCAAACGCCTTGAGCGCCACCTCGCCCTCACGCACGATAGGCAGCCCCGTTAGGGCATGGTAGAAGTCGTGCGACTCCCGGTACCGCTGCATGACATATGCGCATTCCTCGTCGTCGATGTAGCGCACGTCGGCGCGGGTATCGGGGGACACGCCCTCGCGATCGAGCCACGCTACGTAAGTCCCGCCCACGGTGTTAGTGGGTAAGCTGCGCAAATAAGGGAGGTTGAGCGACTGCGAGGTGATGCGGGGGCGGTCACGCAGGATACGGCGGCCAGTCAGTGAGGAAAGCATCGCCCGGTGGAGACGGTGAATGAAGTAGGGCGTTGCGGTTGCTTCGCCCAAGGCGGCGATCAGGTCGCCCCGGTGGGGGTCCCGGAGGGACAGGATGCCAGACCCGAGAGCGAGAGCGGCGCGCTCGAGGCGCGTTAAGGGTACGTGGCCTGGGTAGTTGGGGGGTGGGCGGTTGAGGACGGAGAAGGTTGCATTGTGGGAGTGGGATATTGAAGTTGCTATCGTAACTGCGGGCAGGAATTGATATGGATGAGGGATGGGTTTGCGGAGAAGAGTCCGTAGCGGAGTTGTGGGAGCTTTCATGACTGTGGTTTCAGCGAAACTCAAAGCATTCCTTTGCCTCAAAGTAGTCCTTTTTGATAGACCGTGTTGTATGATAGTGAAATTAGAGTAGTTCCATCGCAGTCGTACGAGCTCGTCACATTGAACTTCTGAGCTCCAATCTGATTTCTTATCGTGATCCTGGTAAGTGAATACATCTTCAATGCAAATAACCATGGTGGCATATCCCCCACCCGCTAGTACCGGTTGCTCGGGTCTACGAATCACCGGCGCAGCTGACTTGAAAGTGGCGTATAATTGGCCACTTGCACCTCCTCCCCCAGAAGTTTTTCCAGGGTTCCTTAAAGCCGGGGACATATTCCATCTTTCAACTCTTCTATTACTCCCCACTCATCGACGTCGAGATCTCTTCACTTCTTCGACAAATATCACAACCTCTGTACTCTCTCTCAGTCAACCAACAAACCAAATCACAAACCAAATCACCACACAAATAAATCACTATGGCTCGCAACCGATCCGCAGGCCGCCCCGCGCCTCGCCCTGTCGCCCGTCCCACCGTAGCCCCCAAGGCCGCGCCCACCCAGCAGACCCGACCCGCCGCGACATACGCAGCTCCGACGCAACACGGCCCAGGCGCCGCGGCACCTCCAGCTGCGCAGGGCTCGCAGGGTCCCGGTCTTTTCGGCCAGATGGCCAGCACTGCTGCGTAAGTCCCAGCAGCCTCTTCACTTTCATCCGTTTTACGCCAACGGCCAAAGCAAGTACTAACCCCCCTTCAGCGGTGTAGCAGTCGGATCCTCCATCGGCCACGCAATCGGCGGTTTCTTCGGCGGCGGTTCCTCCGCCCCGGCTGAGGCCGCTGCTCCCGAGCAGACTAACGCGCAATCGCAGAACTCGCAGTGGGGCAACAACTGCGCTGGCGCTACGACGAACTTCACCAAGTGCATGGACGATAACCAGGGAAACATGCAAATTTGCGGATGGTACCTCGAACAGCTCAAGGCTTGCCAGGCTGCTGCTAGCCAGTACTAGATGCTTAATAGAAGGGGAGTGTATGGTGTTGGGCTGCGTAGTGGATGAAGAATGAACGACGTGCATGAACACGTAGTTCGATGTCCTTGGACGAGCAATCTTGCACATTGACGGTATAGGGCCGGTTCAAGAAAAGTGGAACGCATTGTTCACCGAGCACCGAGTAGAGGATTTGGAGGGAGGGTATTACGATTAAAAGAAACTCCTACCAAGTGTACAACATGATCAACCTATCCGTTCCCAGATTGCCACAATAGTTTCTCTTGTCCGTCTATATGCTGTGGAAACGATCCGTCTCATCACGCATTTAGTCAGTCGACTCGTCCTCATCTCTGCGAGGCTCGAAACTCAACTACGAAATGTTAATAATCCATCCTCATTATTCGAGTTGAGCACCCGTGTCATGTGGTATTTTAGTTGTAACTTACCGAATTCCCATTGTAGAACTGCGGGTCGCGTCTCCTATCATTCTGGTTCTGGAACCCCCTAATCCTCTGCCTCGCCGCTCCGCTTCCATCCAAGTTATCTAAGGGCACCTCTTCATACTGCTGTTGCTGCTGTTGCTGGTGCTGGGCCTCCCTTCCTTCCCTACCCCTGAATAACAGTCCAGGAAGCCCAAACAACGTAGCGACCATGGCATACACAAATGCCCACCCACGCCACAGTATGTTCCCGCCCTGCGCCGCGTATGCAGCCGCAAACCGAACCTTGGGGATCAGCACTAGCGTTGCGCTGGGCGCCAGACCCAATGACAGCAGCGTCTGACTCTCCTCAGACGGCTCGATTGCCTTGTTAGGCATTGGCGTCAGGACGACCCGGAACGTGTAGGGGTTATCGCCGTCGGAGCGATTCTCGTCGATCCACTTCCGGACGTCGGACTGAATCGTGCTAACGCTCGGGAACTGGGTGCGAAGCGTTGAGCCGTCTAGCAGACGGACCTGCAAGTTGCAATTGGCTCCGCTACTGCCACGGGTCGAGAGAGGGATGGGCGGTTCAGTTGCGGCAGGACTGGCGCCGGCATCGTCGCCATCCTGCGTCGCGTTCAGGAGGAGTCGTGCCTGTTTTTCCAGCGCCTCGCGCTCCTTGCGTTCGCGTTTGTCGTCCTCGATGCGTCGGAGGATGCGCTGTCGCTCGTCGCGTTCCTCCTGTCGGCGCTTTTTGAGTTGTTTAGCGTAGCTTGATTCTGCGGTCGCGGGAGCCGCAGCGGATTCTGCCTCTCGACGTTCCTTGGCCTTTGCAGCTTTCTCGGCCTTGGCTTCCTTTGCTTGCTTATCTGCTTCGAGGCGCTTCGATCTTTCGTGGAGCATGGCTTGCACTTGCGGATTTTCCGACAGAGATGCCGATGGTAGAGCTGACGCTACGGGCTGGGGAGATGCTGACGAATCATTGCCATACAAGTCGTGACTGTCCTCTTGGATAGGCTGTTGTGTAGCAGAGACAGACGATGGCTGGTTTTGCGCAAGGTTTTGAGGCGCCGGAGCGTGTGACGGTTGGATAGAAGGAGGTTCAAGTGCTGCTCCGAGTCTCCGAATGAATTCCTCCTTTTGTGTCCCGGCTGTAATGTAGTCCCTGAGCTGCCCGTTTCTATACAGTTCTTTAGTTTGCCGTCGAATCAAAAGACTACCATTGCTAATTTCTTAGTATTTGCTGAATGAAATGACATACCGAATCAAGATCAAGGTAGGCTTGCGAGGGACGGGAAACATGGCCTCAAGATAACCTGCCTCCTCTGACCCAGCCTTTAACCGCAAGGCCACGGTTTGGCTTTCAACGTTACCCTTGATGGAGTCGTCTGTCAGAAACTCATCCTCCCATTGCTGGCTCTCATCTCCCTCGTCTGTATGCTGGTTAGCGAGGGGCACAGCAGATCCGGATATGATGGAAAATACCAGTCACGAAACAAAGGACTTGTTTAGTCTGTTGGAGAGCAGTGGCGATACCTTCCTGCAAAGTGCCTTGGAAGAACATGCTGTCTGATGATGTGATTCAGTAGTAGGTGTTGTGAAGTTGAGAGCAGCGCGCTTAATAGCTTGGTGCTACTCAAGCTTTGAAGATGCTGAATTAGTTAGAAGCTTGGGCAAACCCTGTTCCGGATCGACACTTCTCCGATGGGAAAGAAAGAATTTAATTGCAACGAAACTTTAAGTCTTGAAGAGCCAGCATACTACAAATTTCGGAAGATGGAAACCAACTGGTAGTGCAATCTAGAATCCTGCTTACCGTTGAAGTTACTCACGCTCGAACTCTTGTGGAGCCCTTTGACAGCTAGCTATCATGCAATCATGCGATGGTAATCACTTAACCACTATTGCACCTATGCGATTTCAAATGAGCCTAACCTAGTTGTCTATAACCGCGGGGCGCACATCGTAACCTGGGAGTATACATCTCGTCTTGACGCGTATGCAACTTGACACCACCCGCATATTCGGTGGTATGGTGTTAGTGATGTGTTCCAACAATGTAATAGTCTCCTGGCCGGAAAAGAGCGTGACCTACCTCTACAGCAGATACCTGGACTATTGATGGCCTTCCTTACCGTATCGTTATCGCTCCTAGGGAACATATAAATGTGCAAATGTAAATTTAATCGTCTTCGATTTCTCATCCATGTTAAAATAAGGATAAGTTCCGAGGTATGGGACAAAATGTTGGCTTTGATGAAGCTCCCCGCGCCACTTTCGATATATAGCTTCAATCCAAGCACCCCCTCCCTACCTCTCCTCTTGAATATCAGATAAACGCGGCAATCGTGCGGCACTGCGTAGTAATATGATATCTTAACCAACCCCCAAAGCCCCAAAGAATGCTCTAAATAAGTATGCTTGAATGGATGGATATCTACGCCAATATCTTTCAAGCAATATGCACCATCTGCAATTCCTTCTGCAGAATTGCACGTCGCTAAACGCCATTTCACGATTGTTGTATCCATCTCCACGGGCCTAGAGCGGGCGTCTAGTATACAGCTTCCTCAGCACCCACCTCGTCCCCATCAACGCGTTCCCTCATCCTCGCCTCCAAACCCTCGGCCGCCTCCTCGAAACTGCCTCGACGGCCCCAATTCCGGGGCTGCCTCTTCAGAAACGCACCAACGGCACCCAAGTACCCCTCGTGCCTCAGGAAATACGCCTGCTTCTCCCCCTTGCTCCAGAACTTGATGGCGTAGCTGAGTGTATTCATGGTCTGCGGGTGCCCCCGAATAAATGACCCGCCAAAGTAGATATGCGACAGGTTGTGGATCTGGCTCTGCAGATAGGCTATCTGGCCGATGTTATTACTTATAGCGTAGAGTAAAGATCGTGAGACATCGGAGGCGGAAAAGCGCGATTTGATTGCCTCGGAGGTGGATGTGGTCGAAATGATTTGGGCTTGTGGGCTAGAGGAGTGAGAAGTTTGTTCGTGATCATCACGGTTCGACAAGCCGCCACTATCCTCTGCTTCGGATTCAGCTTCGCGCTTCATGCGGAAGACCTTGCCGAAGGAGCTGGCGATGGTGGTGCTTTTCAGACCGATCTTGCCGTAGTCGGTGCCGTAAATATCGCCGACGAGCATGTCGACTTTGGCGTTGTCACCTTGCGCGGCCATGTCGAGCATCTCGTCGAAAGATTCGGCCGGGGTGAGCAGAGACAGGATACCCCAGAGGGTGCCGCCGCCGAGCGACGTGCCCCCGACCCGCTCATACGTCCTTGGGCCCGAGACTTTGAGGATGCTGACTCCTGATCCTATGTTCACGAGCATGTACGGGTATATGTTGTCTTCGGGCTCGGCAAAGTGCATAGGGTCCGTCTCCGAGTATGTGAAGACTTCCCGTGGTATCTCGGTGATGAAGAAATCGAGTCCTGCATCCGGCATGTGTCAGTCTTTGCGCCGGTCGCACGTGTAGAACTTGCTGCCAGCACCGCAAGCACGTACCGATGATCAAGCACTCCATCTCATCCTCACGCAGCACGTCCACTCCGAGCCGCTCCCTAATCTTTTCGTAGAACTTGTATGCGCCGCCACCCGTGGCCATGACGTACAGGGCGCCGGGTTTGGACCCATTCAAGGCCCATTGCTTGTCCTTCAGGTGCCTCATAAACTCGACACAGTCGTCGATGCGATCCGTCTCGAAGCTGAGGAAGTTGAGCCGACCGCCAGGTTCGGTCGAATGGGCTTCGCGCGAGAAATATACGAGCTTGGCCAGGGAGCCTCCGATCTTTTCAGCTTTCGTGTCAGCGAGCTAAAGCTGGGGCAGGAACTGGGAGGGCAAGCCATTCAACAGACAAACAAACACAGAACCTACGTCTACCGCGATGTGACTAACCACCGCCGTGTGATTCGGAAGCCGGATGTCCTTGGTTTCGTGGGCGCTGGACCCAACGGGCGAGCCATTGATGCCCCCCGCCGGCGTACCTGGCCCGGGTGTTGTGTCGACGATGAAGGCGCCCTTGACGTTGATGCGCACCGAGCCGGGATGAGAAATGGTGCTGTCGATCTCGGCCGTGTTGGTTATTGTCCTCGGTCTTCGCGCGCCGCTCTCTATAAACAATTCTCCGTCGTGCTGCTGTACTGGTGCAGTCTCCGTCAAATTGACCGTCGCCGGTGCCTCGGCTTGGTACTCGTCTCCCGGCATGGCGGGGTTAATCGCACTTGGGCACTTGGGACCTTGATAAAATTGATTGCGTAGGCACAGCAAGCTTCTGGCTCAGAAGCCCGAACCTGAGGAAGTCCTGCTTACGGCGGCATGAAGAAATTGGTACGAGCGTATTAAATCGCACGGCGAGATCGGACCTAGGAGTACAAATCTGTTCGCAATCTGTCTTGGGTCTGTATTTAAGTCAGGTTGCTCTTGCGCCAAAAGTGGGATGACTCCGGTCGCAAGGAGAGCCTGGGCGCATTGAAAACCTGGATTGAAAACCCTGGGAAGTACCCGCCTCTCCTCCCCCCTCTCCCCCAAAGTGGACTCATGAATCGGGTTTGCTATTATCGACCAGCTCACTTACAAATGACGCAACAACAATCATCTTCATCCACCCGAGGCTCAACTGTCTGATTGTTCCTGTTGGGCGGCTTTGGAAACTGGACTCCGGGGCCGCATAGCTCAAACTCTATTACCCCTGGGCGTAACGCGGCATTCGCAAACTCTGCCTCCTTCCGAATCAAAGTATAAGAGGTCTTGACTTTCCAATTGAGGCAACTTATACAAGTTGTATTGATGCTTCTCCTTCTGTGTCGCCATGGACGGCTGTGGCTGCCGAACATACGTACGATGGGGCTGCCGCACCCGTTTGACGTGTGACAATTCGCCTGGTTGCCTGGCTTCAAATAGACTGACATCATTTTTAAGGTCACCTGCAATTTGTCATACAGCATTCGTTCCGATAAATTTCGGACCTATGCGGACTTGGTGAAGGGTGAGTACTCTGTAGGTCCACAATGCTCCCTCCAGATATCAATGCACAACTTCTGCAACCTGCAACCCGAACCACTTAGAAGTGTTTGTGCTGTAAGAACGTGCAATGAAGTATGGGTTTAATAAGTTACAACATTCACGGCACGGCATTACCAGAGTCGCGCACATTGCCCCGGCGTGTTTTTTGTGCATCGTTTCACAGAAAGTTCTGAACCGACTCCGAAGGGTATCATGTATTGTAAATTTAAAATGTACACATTGTTTCATTTTCAGGGTAGGAGAAAGTACGCCACAGAAGTACCAAAATGCCCTCGAGTATCTTCGTCAAATCCAAATGCCGCCAAACTGATATGAAGTCGCCGAAAGTGGTGCTGGCCCCTAATCCCGAATTGCTCTGGATCAGCTAATCCTTACCAGGCCCTTCCTATTATGGCCGTAGTAGTAACCATCTAATTTAGAAACCCTGCCATGGAACCGGATGTAGTAAGTCAGACCAACACGTTGTGTATCTCAAATCAAAAGAGACGACCACCTGGAACCGCAACAAAAACAGCCGTCAAGACCCCCGCTCCGAGAAGAGCGCAGATCATAGACTGAATAAAGATAGTATCCTGGATCTGCCTAAGAGCAGGCTCCTGAATCCACACCTCACGATCAAAGACCTTCCGAACAATGTTCCGTTTCTCGTACTTGACAATCCACGGCTCCTCCTCGTAACTGTTGGACGACCCAAAAGAGTCGAAGCTCGTCTTGGCCCGGCTCTCGCCGTCGTCCTCGACGAAGAGCTCCCAAGGCCGGATGTGCCGGTGGTGCAGCCCGTGTAGCACCACGCACATGCCCTTGTACGCCGCGATGAGCGTGGCGATGCCGAGCACCCAGCCGATGGCCGCGAGGGCCCGCCAGCCGCGTCTGACTCGACTGAGGGCGAGGATGACAGCTAGAACGGTGGCGAGAACGATAGTCCCAACGCCGAGGCCACGAGCGAACCAGACGCGAGCGGGATTGCCGTTGCAGATGGACCAGCGTATGAAATTGCGGTGGGCTTGCGTGCGAAGGGTGTTTTCAATGCTTCGGGCAACAGTGCGGAAGGCTGATGGGTGAGTCGTATACGCCAGAGCCTGCAGCACCACCTTTTGCTCGCGGGACGACAAGTTGAGTTGTCGGGGCGCGTCGTCGGCGATGTACGTTGCAACCACTCTGTCAATTTCCTCCCTGAAGGGCTGAATGGAGACTGGGGTGCGGAGCCAAGTCAGCATCAAGAACTTTGATTTCTGTGTCGGCGTCACTTACAAGGCTGGTTGGCACCCGCGGCGTTGAAGGCGTTCTGAGCTTGTGAGCGACAGCTTGTGGCATTAGAGCTGTTGCCCGAGAAGACAGAGGGTGTGTCATTGTCGTGACTTCCTGCAGTGCGCGGTGGGGTTGAGAACGGATCTTTGCTTTCGATGACCGTCTCTACGCGCTTCTCGAAATCGGTGCCCTTGAAAATCTCCGCCGCCTTGGGTTCCTTCTTCCGCTTATCCGCAGCCGCTTTATGCAGTTTAGCAATCACCTCATTTTCCTGTGCTTGGGTCCACTCGGGAGCAAGCAGGATGTCAGAGGTGCTGGCCTCCTTAAAGCGCTGGACGTACTCGCGGTACCATAGGAAGAACTGGAGGTTTTCTGCTGAGTGTTCGATGTAGATGAGGTAGTTCATGAAATCTCGAATTGTCATCGGCTACATAGTCATAATTAGTAAACTGGGTCTCGTACACCAACATTCTCCATTAACCAACCGGGCAGGTACCGCCATTGATGATCTTATCGAAGGCAAGGGCATCAGGAACTCCGGTCGAAGCCCCAGACCGCCCTGATCTAAGAGATAAATCCTCTTTTTCATTGTCCGAGATATAGTCGTCACATCGACGGGATTCTATTGTATCAACGCGCTGTGGGCGTCGGTAACTAAGTGAGAGGACCATTCTGGAAACAATTGATTGAGTCAACGAATGAAAGAGCTGCAAGGCTAGGAGAATAAACGTATGTGTATGGGCAATGTTTTGCAGAAATCATGAGCAAGCTACGGTCCGGTGCCAAAAGCATAGAGAACGGACAGTGATATAAAATAGTAGACTGGAGATCTGCCCACCAGTAGTAGGTATCGGTTACAACGCCATCCGTGAGATGCGCAGCTCAGTGCTCTCGGACTTGAAGCCGGCTCGCTCTAGATTTATAGGGTTATACTTTAAAAGACAAGCTCAGGTTTAGTGCCAAGATGGGAAGCAGCCAAAACAAGAAAGGAGGTCGAGGCGTCCTGAAGCAGTGCTTCGAGAATCGATGCCGCGTGGGTTTTCCACACGCGTTCATCTATGCCCGTGGTCAATTCGACACGATTTTAGACACCTCGACGCCTCATGTGTGACACAGTCGTCGATATCTTCGGTGGGCGCTTCCACATTCAATATAATAATACAGTAAAGAGTAAAGATCAACCCAGCTCTCCAAATTGCTGGCCTGCTTTGAGCTGCTGTATGAAGTGGCAATGCATTGTACGCACGCTCCGGGGACCGAAATGAATTGAGTTGAAAGATTCTACAGCCTAGCATTGGCTCGTAGAAAAGCGAAGCTCTCGTGGTGTGGACGCCCACAGCTTCAAGGATGCCGTAAAATGGCTACACAAGCGATACTAGGCTCAAGCTGAAAACAGTCCCCTGGGTGCGGGTCTCGCAGCCGCCACGGAGCATCTCCTAAAGGTCTCTATTGGCTGTCAGTGGGTGCCGTTTTGATCATGGCAGTTGAGATCGCCGAAACTAGACTTGACCTGGGGATCGACCTACGGATCCAATGCACACGCACGTCGAAGTCTGAGAAGAACACCTGAAGAAACACTGGCAAAGTCGAAGCCATTGCTGAAGGATATCAGCCAAATTTGGGTGATCGTCGCCTGCAAGCGTCGGCACTGTGAAGAACACTACGCGATACAGCAGAAGGAAAAAAGCAAGCAATAGACCGATTGGATTTGAGGAAAAAGCAATTAGTTGAAGACTTGGAGTGTAACAAGGTGACAGACAGAGTGATGAAGGTCTCGTTGGGCAGGTGGGCTGGCCACGCCGCACCTAGGTCGTGCCTTGCTACACAGGCTTACCTTCAAGAAGAATTTCCATTCTATCCCAGTTGCCGAGTTTCTTGTTTTCTTGAGAATAACCCTTTAGCTAGTACCCGCCTCATTACTGACCTCAGTGCCCGAGACTCCGCGATAAGGTTTACAAGTACGCCATGTGTCCATCGTTTCTAACGCAGGTACACGAAGAGCTGAATATCGATAACAAGCACTAGTGGTGTTTCCTCAACTTGTCTCTCCCGCGCTTATAACGGACTGGCTGACGATTAGTGAGGGACTCGGGCGAACGCACGCTAAAATCTTCTTGGTCGAATTCGTCTGTACAACTTGCAGACCATTCAATTATATACATGAGGCTAGGATTTTTGAGCCCATGCGGTCTAGTCTATGACTGGTTGGTCACACAACACTACCATCTATTGCTGACTCCGGGACTGTCCCATACATCCACCTGCTCAATGGTAACTTGGCAAAAAACTCAAGCACGCAAGGGTGGCCAATTTGAGGCGCAGTACACTCTTCAAACCTTCATTATGTGGAACCGAAATCCTCGTGACGACTTGCCATCCATGTGTTACCAAGTGGCTCACGCTCTGGCCATTTCAAGGGGAATATTGCACAAATGGCTCGAATCGAAGATCTGGACCTTTCTGGCCTTGTCCAATAGCTCAAAAAGGGTACTCATGTATACTTCATTAGACGAGTAACTATTCCTGCCACAAACGGCCAAGTTGTCCCGAGCCGTAGTAACGTTTTACCAATGCTTCTCCGAAATATCAACCATGTTTACATCAACTCCGTCCTTGAACCATCGTTCCTCGTCCGGAATCTTCACATCGTTCCCGCTCATCTGACGTTTTCTCATCAATCCGTTCTCAGCAAACGTCCAATCCTCGAGACCGTAAGTCCTGAACCACTGCCCCGACTCGTCATGCCACTCGTACCAGAACTGAACAGCGATCTTGTTCTCCGAAAAAGCGAACAGCTCTTTCCTCAGTCTGTACCCGGTCTCCTTAGACCATTTCGTGGTCAGAAAGTCCGCGATCTCGTCCCGGCCCGTGAGGAACTCGTCCCGGTTTCTCCAGATGGAGTTTTCAGTGTAGGCCATCTTGACCTTGTGGGGTTCCCTGCCGTTGGTGTTAGGTATAAATCCCGAACATTACCTTTTATGAGCGGCGATGAAGTGAATCTTACTTGGTGTTCCAAGCATCTTGGGCCGCTTTCACTTTGATCTTGGCTGTCTCCGCGGTGAACGGCGGATACGGCGGCTTCCCTTCGGTCGACATGCCGAGATTGTCAGTAGGGCAATTGCACGGTAGCTAGGCTCTCTGTCTTCAGCTTAATCTTCTTTCATCAATTTCAGTACTGGAATGTCTAGTTTAGAACGCGACCTTTGACTGTTGAAATCACTGTATCCCCGAGTGGGATTACTCATCCCTTGCGTGTGTTCTTCCCTATTCGGGCTTTGCATGCGGCAAAACGTCGGTGGTCACAGCATTACCGCAATGGGGACTGACCACTTCCGAATCCCAGCTGACGCCTTTTCATTCTACACCCATACATGAATATATCGCTCTCTCTCCGTAGGACTAGAGGGTTTAGCCTCATGGGTTTTCTTGCTGGTAAAACAGATGGGCATGTCAGCAGATACTGACGCCGAAGCAGTGTAGCTCCAGCCGTTTATATGAAGTCCCCGTTAATTTATCAAAATGAGTACAAGTTGAAGTCGAGCTCACATCATGGCAGGATTTATTTTACATATCCTTTAGTACAGGCTACCAATCATGACTTCCCGTCAAACTTTGGCGAACCATAATTTGCTCCCTAGGAAGATCATCCGTTTCATGCAGTCGTCATACGTGTTGAGGTTGGGGATGTACTTCAGCGGCTTCAAATTTTCACATTGAACATAAATACCTACTCCATGAAAAATACAGAAGCTGAAATCCATCTATTCTTTTATCCATATCCTCAGAGATCAAGATCTTACCTGATATCTACCAATATACTCTTAATCAAGCACTTACCATTAACCACAGCGTAGTCTCCATGACGGCAGTAACTTATTTACTTAATCCAAGCAACCCCTCCTTCGCCGGGGTCATGGCCAGCGGAGCCCAATACGTATATCGCTTATCTGCTGGCCGCTTACTCCCCGTATTTGAACCGTTTTGCCTGCTCTGGTGTTTTCCACGACGGCGACTCCGGTAAGGGCTTGCGGGGGCGGAGCGCTGTTCGTTCCGACCATGATTCACTGCGATGAGTATCAGCTGTACGAAGCTTACGGATCTGCTTGCGAACCGCCCCGAAGGTGTATAGGAACCAGACCTTGCAGGGCTTATAGAAGTAGATCATGGTCAGGACGGGTGAGGAGAACCGAGAAAGCCGAGATCACGATAACTACGGCAATGCTGTTCTCAGGAGGGGCCGGCGCCGGAACAGACGCTGGAGTCGTCGGAACGGGTGAGATAGTGATGGCCGATACTTGTTAAGTTGGGTTGGCCATAGCCTGCTGTAGTTTCTCTATCAAAATCGGTGGGGTTGCTGTAAATGGCGCCATGATTGATGGCGGTGGGTAATTCTGCTTGGGATTTGGCTCACCTGTTTTGTCAGTGTCTTGTGTTCTTGAAGTTGGTCAGGTCTCTGTGCCAAATAGGAAATAGGTATGTATTATATGTGCCTCTGATCAAGGAACAATTATTTTCATCAAGGCACTGTTTTCTGATGCTGTTTATTAGGTGGTCTGTCATGTTGCTGTAGCTCGGTATTACCAACCATACACTGCCAGACATGAAAATACCACTTTAAGAGGAAGGGTTAAAAGACAACACAGACCAAAAGGTGTACAGATCTTGCCACGGCACTTCCAGTAAAAATTATTTATCCCTCTTCCACGGCTGATTATAAAATTTGAAGCTCTCATACCCATTGCTAGTTAATAGGGTATTGTCTGACTGCTTAAAGTCCATTCACTTGTACGTATGCCGACTGGTCTTATGGTGTAATAGAGGAAGCCATGGCAAACACCTGGCTACTGCCGCAAGTGATTCCACGATGAGTTCCCAAGCGGCCTACAGAACCTGTTGGAAACAGTTTATAGCATTTTTGGAAATCACCCGTAGTATTTGCTGTCCCGCCATGAATTCGATCATGGCTGTGCGGACTGATGAAGGCTTTAGAGACGAGGGGTCAATAGTATGACATGCAATGCCACGACAGCTGTGACATAATTCAACGCTCATGGAGTGTCTTATCTCGATATCGGGTGTTGGGTAGCACATTGTTGTCATACTTGTTTTAGTAATTTGCAATGCCAAATTTGCTGCACATCGAGGCATGGGGCCAGTAACTCGAAACCAAGCTTGGTCATGACTGGATATATATGCAGCATATGCATTCTATTGGACAAAGGAAACGAATTCATGCAGTGACGTAGGGTGCTACATTTTAGCTGGATGAGGGCAATATTACAGCCATTCGATAAGAATAGGCGCCTTCTCGACTATATCAAATTGCCATGCCGGCGGTTGGCATCAGATCCCAGAAGCCTTGCCTTATTTGTCATTGGATAAGGGTGCATGTCTGCGGCCGCACCAACTTCAGGATCTTCCCGCCTTGGCTAATCATGATAGCAAATCCCCAAGACACCTGAGCTTAGTTGGCTACGCGGCACATGCCGCATTCGCATATCCGCGAATTTATTTGACATGGCAATTCGGACCTTCCGGAGCGAAAAGGCGACTCTGACTAATCTTTCGGGCTCGCTCACTTGCTCCCCGTACAGTGGTTCCAAAGATGGATATGCTGTATCCTTCGTGAACAGATTACGTCCGGGACATCCATGGGTGGTAATTGTCATGCTGAGTAGTGTTGCTTTCGAGCCGTCGACACTGCGAGTCAAGACAGCCAACTGTTTCAGAGAGAAAGTTGCAATGCGGATACCTATGACGGAATAGCTTCAACCCAAACGTTACCCCGCCATAGCCAACATGAGCTCCCCGCCGTAGCGCCGAGTGACAGACCCTCAGGGTACCTGGATACCTAACGAGGTAGGTGACATTTGATGTTCACATCACTTCAGTTAAGTATTTCGAACAGCTCCTTGGCTTCGTCTCGGTTTTTGACACAACTCTTTTGTTTTCTTCCCAACACCACTCCAGGCAAACTGTTGCCTCGTCCAAGCTCAACCAAATCCATCAGACCACTTTATCATTCCATTGACTAGCAGCCATCACCATGTCTGAGCTCAAAGCCGGAGACTCTTTCCCTGAGGGCGTAAGCTTCACATATGTCCCGCCCAGCCCAGACACCAGCGATATCACAGCCTGCGGAATACCCGTCAAGTACAATGCTAGCGAAGGCAAGTCCACCTCCCCCTAACACGACATCTCCCTATGCAATTGCTAGGTGATGAGCTTCGCAAATGACACAATTTCTCGAGCCCCTGCTAATGAGCTATATATAGAAATCAAGGACAAGAAGGTCGTCATCGTCGCCGTCCCCGGCGCCTTCACGCCCACCTGCCAAAACCAGCACATCACGGGCTACATCTCAAAGCTCTCGGAGCTGAAGTCCAAGGGCGTCGACCAGCTCATCGTCATCGCCTTCAACGACGCCTGGGTCATGTCGGCCTGGGGCAAGGCCAACGGCATCAAGGACGACTCCATCCTCTTCATGTCGGACGATGGCAACGCCTTTAGTCAGACTTTGGGCTGGACAAGTACGTCCAACATAGCTTGTACCGGGAGATTCTCGAATATCCCCGTGTCTCTTTGACTTTTTCTAACTGTTCTTGTTAGTGGGTGCCCGTACCGCCCGTTATGCCATAGTCGTCGAGAATGGAAAGGTCGTCTACGCCGAAAAGGAGCCGGCTAAGGGGGTTACTGTCTCGGGCGCTGATGCCGTTCTGGCTAAGCTATGAGCGTACTCGGAGTCACCTTGGAGCAAAGAGGATCCAGGCCCAGGTTGGAAGCCCTTCCAAAGAGGAACTATACGTCATAGAACAATACATGTGGCAACGGCTACGTACAGACCGGTAATAGAAATTAAATAGGCAGACCCGACACTTGAATTCCTCCCTGTCTCCCAAGGCTCGCTCGTTGTAGTCTCCCTAACATGGCAAGGTCCGGTGGGTGTTGCAGCTCGGCCACAACTCACGGCTTGAAGTCACGTTAGTTGCTGGTGGATCAGGAGGGCAAATCTGGTCTTGGCGCCAGTCATGCTTATCATGAATAGCAGAGGCCGCTGGTCGCTGGTCGCTGGTTTGAACATGTTTTCGATGTGGCGATACGTACAGGGACACTAGCATATATGTCGTTATACAGGGGTTCTTCCAACTAGAGTGACAGCCTGAGAGCGCTAAGCTAATCGAGGAATGTGGTTCGGCTCGCAGTTTGAGTAGAATGGTGTTTCCAGAAGCGGGTTTCGTATCAATTTTGGATTCTGTTCACTAGAATCGGACGTAAACGAGTCTTGTGATCTACTATCAGCCAAACCTGTCTACTTCACCTTCGCACACGAACGCCAGCAAGATGTCTAGAAGTCATTCAGACACATCATGACGTTCTCGAAAACACTGGAGTGTAATTTGCTTGGCTATTGTCGGAGCTGTTCATGGTATCATCTAATCCTCGCATCTGCTGTCGATTCCTCTGCCAGCTTGACCTTGCCACGGGCATATGCATATTGCCAGCGCTCGGTGATTCACGTCGGAATGGTAGATCGGCACAGTGCTGGGCGGTATAAGCCGTACGTATAGACCATAAGCAAAGGTCGGCATTAACTGCTACCTATGCGGAAATCTCATAACCCATGAGAGATGCAATCCATCCGCGACCGAGAGATGTAGTGGTTTTTGGCCAAAAAGACGCTCGAGATCCCACCCTGTAGACGCCGCCATGTACATTTCTGACCTCCGTTCCTCAGAATTCACCAAGCAGGACTTTAACGGGTCTTGGCCTGGACCTTCATCTGTGCGCCCTTGGCTCCCTGCTTGCCGACGATGCGGTTGGTCTGTCCCTTGGCTGCGGTGCTTGCGCGCTTGGCCTTCTCCTCCTTCTTGGCGGCGGCGGCAGCAGCCTTCTTCTCCTTGGCCTCCTGGACGGCTGCAGAGCGGGCGGCAGAGCGGGCCTCGGGTCTCATGGTACGGCGCTCCTTAATGACATCAAGAGAAGCACCAACGATAGCTCGCTGGGACTTGACTGTGCGGCGAGTGCGCTTCTTGGCAACTTCCTGCATTGGGCGTTAGCGAGGCTGCTTTGTCTCCATCCTGTAATCCATATCCATCTCAGGTACGGGAACCTCGAGTTGTGTATAGTGGTAGAGTGGGGGTGTGCGGATTCAAACGTACCTCAGAGATACCCTTGCGGTGCTGGCGACGGAAGAGAACAGTCCACGCAATGCGACGGGGGTTCTTGCGCTGGAGGAAGAGGGACTCGGATTTGCCATTCTGGAAACGGAAGATCTTGCTGTCGCCACGGACGTAGAGCTTACCCTACAAAATCAATGGCAGTTAGCAAGACTGTGAGCTATAACAATTTTTGGCATGATCGAATTCTCTAGTCGCGGCCGTGACGGATTTTCCCATGCTGCATCGCCATCCCCGTCGCGTACGCCAATGCCTTCACTTCATAAACGCCCTAGCCCCGACCAGCATTCGATCAACTCAAAGGAAGACTCTTCGTACCTTTCCAGGGTAGATCCTCTGGCCCGAGAAGGTGTCGTCGTAGGTTCTCATTTTGGCGGTGGTCGTGAGAGTGCCTAGGTGTTAGTTGTCGGTCTTGGTGCCTGGTGGTTTGAATTGAATGCCGCAGGTGACGCTTGCCGCGAAATAATTTCGAGGTGCCCGATCTGTGGTTCTGTGGGTTTGACTGACTAAGCTGGATCTTTAGGGTCAAAGTGGTCCGTGCCACTGATTTGCGAGATGGGGGGCAACCTAGGCAAGTGGACCCAGATTCCGGGTAGCGTCTCTCAAACCAGAGCAAACCTGGGTGTATGAAATTCTTTGAGACGAAGACCAAAGACAGGGCTTCCCTGGCACAAATCTCACTATCCATAACGGCTTTTGGTTTGGAATGGCAACTACCTAGTCGGATATTCAGACATATTTACTAGAGAATATTACCCTTTTGAAGCAAGTGAAACCTGCAAGCTACTAGTTTCGACATCAACTTGGTCAGTTGGTGAACGACTACTTCAATGCTCAGGGGGTTTAGCAACATGCCTCAATGACCGTCACACCAGATTCAATCGCAACCTTGGTGCTGCAACAATTTGAGAAGCTACCAGCCAAGAGGAAACCTCTAGTGCGCGACAATGGCATTCACGAATGGGTGCCCCTTAGTGGTATCGTTGCTCAAGGTGTGTCACCTCTTACTTACACCAAAACTCATACGGATCAGTCGTTCATATCAACATAGGCCTCGACAGCAAACTACACTGTATTGCTATCGCGTATGTTCTACTTAATATTTACCTTCTGCATATCACTACTTCAGTCCAATACATCCACGACTAACACAAAAACAGAACAGGCATGAAATGTCTACCCACATCCAAGCTCCCCCTAGCCCAGGGAAACGTCTTACACGACTGGCATGCCGAAGTACTGGCCATCAGGGCATTCAACCGCTTCATACTAGACGAGGCAAAAGCGCTTTCTCAAGGGACAGTCAAGTCATCCGAGTTCCTGCAGCCTCGGGATCACTCCGAGCTCCTCCACCACCAAGACGGCAACGGTAACGGAGATGCTGGCCGGGTATGGCACGGCCAGCCCTTCGCATGGCGAGAAGGAGTAAAGCTGCACATGTACTGCTCCGAAGCACCATGCACGTATCCCACTCCTTATTCCATCTTACGTGCAACTACTAACATCCCTCTCAGGCGGAGACGCAAGCATGGAACTCACCATGGCCGCGCAAACCGACTCCACCCCCTGGGACGTCCCCCCCAGTTGTTCCCTCCACCAATCCAACGTCGGAGGGGAGGGACAACTCCCGGGACGAGCCTACTTCTCACACCTAGGCCTTGTCCGCCGCAAGCCTGCCCGCAGCGATGCGCCCCCCACCCTCTCCAAATCCTGTTCCGACAAGCTCTCCCTCAAACAATGCACCTCGCTCCTGTCCTCTCTAACCTCCCTTTTCGTCTGCCCGGCCAACGTCTACATCGACCGTCTCGTGCTCCCCGCATCACAATATTCTGCCTCAGGGTGCGCGCGGGCCTTCTCGTCCGAAGGGAGGATGGCTGGGCTGACGGGAAGGGACTGGAAGGGGGGTTACGAGTTCCGGCCTTTCGGGGTGGAGACTTCGGATCGGGAGTTTGGGCTTTCTAAGCGGAGTGTGAAAGTGAGGGCGGGGGAAGGTGGCCAAACGGCAGCGAGTAATTTGGCGGTTGCTTGGACGCGAAGTGGGTTGGAGGAGGGTACGTTGGGAGGAATCTTGCAGGGGAGGAAAGCTTTTGATCCCCGGGGCGCGAGTTTTGCATCTAGGAGGAAGATGTGGGCTCTGGCTGTGGAAATTGCTGCCTTATTGGGAATGGGCGTCACCGAGGTACAAAAGGCACTGGCAGCAAATAGCTACGGGGATATCAAGAACTCAAAGCTCTTGGAGGCTCGCCGAAGAGTTAAAGAGGATGCAGTATCTGAGGCCTTGAAGGGATGGGTGAAGAATCGGGGGGATGATGCTTTCAGTCTGGGGCTTAGTCACCAAAGTAGGCAATGATCAAGAATACAGTGCACCTGAAAGTTGCGCGGAGTTGAGGAACGTGGTTTCATTATTTTGTGCGGGCAATGGTACCGATTCCTTGCTACCATGCCCGGGTGGCCAGCAACGCCTGTTCCAGCGCTACCACAAAACAGCCATGTAGACGGCCGTCTCCATGAAGATCAAACTGAAGTCCTGCCAAATCAGCAGGTCCATCAAATGTCTTCACGTACGAGGCCAGCCGACTTCAGATATTGCGTGATTCTGCCCTATAATCGCAGGAGATGGAAACCCTTCCACCACTGTGACCAATGCCATGCCCTACCCATGCAGTGATTTTCCTACCGTTGTCCGGTCTTCGGGGGATATTTTCGGGGGAATTCGGGGGGATGGAGAGGCAGCTTATTCGACCTTGCTCTCAAAGTTCTCACCGGCGACCAAGTCGGGGATATCCTCGTCGTCAGCCTCCTCCTTCTTGGACATGTTCTGGTAGCTCTCGGCAAGCTTGCGGAGCGATGCCAGAGAGTCGGGGCCCAGCTGGTTCAGAATACCGGGCACGAGCTCCGTAAGCTCCTTGTCTTCGCCGGCTCCGTAGATAGCGAAGGTGTTGGAGGGGACGGCGGCGTGGACTAGGACCAAGTTAGTATTACGAGATGCGGCTTCATGCTACTATCGGCTAACAAGTGACGTACCCTTGGGAGCGGAGAAGTGGATGACGTTGCCGTCGCTCTTAAACATGTTGACCTCCTCAATGGCCTGGATGGGCTGGACGTTGAGCTTCTTGAGGGTAGTCTGGAGCTTCTTGTCGTCGTTGGCGCTTCGCGCGACCGTTCGCTTTTGCTTGTGTCGCGGGGTTCCCTTGCCACCTGTGATTCACCCGTCAATCCCTGGTCCGATCCTTTCTCTATACATATGATCCGAGAAACATACCAGTTCGCGAAGGCGCTGCACCGCCGAACTTCTTCTTCAGGATTTCCTGCACGTCGGCCATGATTGCTGTGTCGGTTTTGGCGGGGAAAAACGAAGAGACGAGAGCTTCTAAAAACGTTCCTCGGAGCTGGTCAAAGCGAGTCAGTCATTGCTGCAATGGAAGAAAACGAGATTTGGACCCTGCGCCAACGGCCGACAGGAATTTCGAATTACTCACCCTAAATTCTGCGCAGGTATGTCGTCTCAAAGATGGCACGCAGATCTGAGGCTCCAAGTTGGCTGTCGGCATTGGGCGACGAAAATGTGCGTGCCAAGACTTTTTCGCTTGGTGGAGAAACCCTCGGCCCGCAATAAGGCCAGCTGAGGAGGGGGACCTGGCTGGCAGGACCTTCGTCTTATAAAGTTTGAAAACTGGGGCCCAGTAAAGTTGATGGATAAGGTGCAGGTGAGTTGATGTGCGGCATAATGTTTTCGCACATTTCATGCTTTCATGCTCAAGAAGTAGACGCAGAATCACCGTAGGCCAGATGCAGCTGTCACAAAACTTGCACCAATCTGCTGGTAAAGAGCCTAGGGCTGGTTGTCAGGATGTTAACCTCAAGTCTTCATGGCAAAACGTTGTGATGAGATGGTGTGGATATTTTGTCATTTCAACAGGGTGGGACAAACGAAGTCACACGAACACAATACTCTTGTACACACCTCTTATATCCTTTCTCCTATTGTACAGTACTCTCCTACATCCAACTCCAAATGCAAGCGCAGAGGGCAACAGGCAACGGTAAGTGTGATGGGGAGTCCCGCTAAGGTGCCAGCGTACTGCCAAAGCAACACAGGCTGCTTAACAGTGGAGAGGGTAATCATCGTGGTGGGATGATAAAGGCCTACAGAGCCAGTCGCGCCAGGGCGTCTATCCCGCCCTCGTCTTCCTCCACAGCCTCTTCCTCCACGAACTCCTCCACCGCATCCTTCTCGCCCGAGTCTGCCTCATTCCCTTGGGGTTGGGGTTTGGGCTCCATCTTGGCGTCGGCCGCCTCCTCGAGTTCGTCGCGATTCGGCGGTGAGAAGTCTTCTCCAGAATATGCCTGGTATTCATCACTTGCGACGACCTCGTACTCATTCTCGCCGGTAGTTTCAGGCATTCTAAATAGTTCCGCCCCACGGTGGATGATTTTGCCATGCTCCGTCTCAATTGCTTCATTTCCAGTGGTTGTGATGCGGTCTCCGTTTACAGTCTTGATGACGGTTGGGGCAGGAAAATGATCCAGCTCTAAACCTTCCCCCATACTGTTGCATGCGATACGGCCTAGTTCTTGGCCAAAAAGCCAAGGGAAGCTGATAAGGGGCATGTGCTCCTGTGTCGTCTGTCGCTTCGGGATGAGGTGGCCTTCAATGACCCAGGTCTCTTTACACTCCTGGAGGGCAAGCTGCACCTCCTCCCACGTGATACGGTACATTGCGGCAACGAAAGGGTACAGTTTGGCCTGGTCTCGATTGGGGGCCCCGGCCGCCTCCATGCATGCCTTGATGAAGCGATCCCGAAGACTAACTATAACGAAGCCCATATCTTCTTGTACCTTGTAGTCCGTACCAACTCGAGGCTTGCTCAAGACAAATGTGGACCAAACCTCAAATTCAGTCTTGATTTCCCGCTGGTTCATTATACGCCGCATCGCCATGTCATACTGAGACTTGACGGCTCGGGCTCTACCTAGCAAATCATCCGATAGTCGGTAGCGAAGAAGTACTCGCTTGTCAAACGGGCTGTCGTACTTGGGCGAGAAGTCGATGGATGACACGACATCATAGATTTTACCCAGGACGCGGGAAGACCGATATGTTGATTTAGGATTCTTCTCCATGAAGTGCGGGTATTTCACGGGTAGTAGCTTCGCAGTGATGTGGGCCGGGTTGCCCGTCTTGACATAATCGACGGCGTTTGAGTGCAGACGGGCCAACTTGAGGCATCTCTCGTCTTTTGGGCCTTGCGGCGAGCAATCGGACATCGCTAGGTGAGCATTTGCAATAGTTCCCAGCGAATCATTCTTCATATATTCAACGAAGAACTTGACGATGTCTTTGATCTGGACGTCCCGGTTCAGCTCTTTGGCTCTCGCCGCGTCATGAATCATCGGGGGGTGGTTCCACTCATCAGGTATGAGTTTGGGGTCGAATAGGACGAAGAACTCGTCTCCATCCAGATCACCACCGGAACACATGGACGGGATGTCTTGATCGCCGTGAGAAGGAAAGACCACCACATTGCGAAGATGTCTCAAGGCTTTCACATCAACAGCTTCCACAACCCTGAGATCGCCCGGATGAAGAGATGGGTTTCGTCCAACCACGCACAATCCTTCGACCACTTTGTAGCTGTTGGGTTGATCCAATTCGGGGATTTGCAAGAAAATTTGAGGTAGCTTGGACCGATCCTTGGCTGTATCTGATTCGACCTCTCTTGTGTGGCCCCTGAGAGTGTTGGTTTCGTCCACGCATCCTAGCAGATGAGCGCCATTTTCGACAATAATACGCGCCTTCTCGCGTAGCTGTTTCATAGACCAGGCTCTCCAAAGCTGTAGAGTTGCTTGCATGAACGGTTCTTCGCACGTCATGAAACCATCACGAATCATTTGAGCGATGGTGATCGCCGTACCATTCTCGTCCGCGAACCGCTCAAGGAGTTTTAGAGCCACGTCGGGGTCAGTCATTGCAAGCTCGTAACCGGCCAGTTGATTCTTAGTCATCTCAGTGAACACCTCGTCCGGTACGCCGAGACAGCTAAGGATGTTGATCGTTTGTCTATTGAGAGTGGCCACAGAGAAACGCGAGGGCCGAATGATCTCAATGCTCTTTGACAACGAGTCAAACTTCTTTTGAGACGGCCGTAGGTGTATTTCGTTGAACTTGGCTTCCGGCCAAATAACGACGATGCCTTTGTTTCCGCCGAGGCGAAACTGGAAAGCGGACGGTGTCGTACCTTGTTTGTGCATGTCCAGCTTGCGTGCTATACTCGTAGCAAGGTAATGAGAAATCATTCCGACGCCGTCGCTGAAACACCAATATTCTGTCTCAATTTCAGCTATCTCCTTGATAGTCTGGCCAACAGCTATGCCTTGGGGGGCTCTCGTGGTTGAAAAGCACTGTCCAAGCCTAGCGGCATACTTGGCCACGACCTTGATGTGGCTGAAATCGCCCATCCAGTCACGGATATCATCACATGACTGTGAATCGCTTGGACAGAAGAAGTAGGCACCGTTCTCTCTGAACTGTGAGTTGCCGAAGGCCAGAAATTCGTAACAGCGGTCCCCGATCTGAATGCCGTTCTGCAAGGTCCGATACACTCTTCTGAAGAGAGGATCGTTCCGATCATTGTTTGGCACCGACGACATGCGTCCCTCGATCTTCTCATCCGTGAACTGAACTCTAATGAAACGATTCGCATTGTTGGCGTACTGTCGGAGTACTCTGTTGGTCGTCTCCACGGTTGGGGAGCCGAGGTACACCGTGGAAGGCGTGATGATGACTTTTCTCACCCAATTACAGTATTCTGGCAAACCAATTTGCGGGTAATGCGTCAGAGCAGCCCTGTCCTCGAAGATGCTCATAGGATCGAATATCCTCTTGCCCGTGTCGGTCACATACTCCAGCATGTTCTTGGCCTTGTTGATAAAACGGCTTTGTCCGTTATTCAATTTCTCAAGCTTCTTGAGAAATTCGAGAGTAAGGCTTTGCTCACTGAAGACACCCTGTGAAATTGCCGCTTCAAGCTGATATCTCAACTCGAAAGGGAGGTGAACACTGTCTGAATCATGGAGGAGAGCCAGCTGATCATTGGCACTTGCGGCCACGGGAGCATCGATCATATCCCATAGTGTGGGCGGTCGACCTGGCTGGCATGTAAAACTCTCACCGTTGGTGACCATGACTTTGATGTTGAAGTCAAGCAGGGCATTTTTGATGACTCGCCAATCATCATTGTCAAAAGCTCGGAAAAGAAGTCTGTATGTGGTCCATCTTCCAACATTGATGAACTGATGTGATCTCTTGATGCCCACAGGGTCGTCCTTCGTCAAGTCGCTGTGATATACGATCTCGTCAGTCCGCTGCCATGCGTCGTTTTCCACCCATCTGTTGTTCACGGTACTGTGTGAGTCTTCAATTTTCCTTCTGCGACGGAAGAAAGCCGGAGGACTCTTGAGTGGGATTACTAATGCCCACTGGGTTTGATCGATGTTTACACGGTATACCTTGTCAAGGTGACCGAATTGGATCCTCATTCTGTATTCCGAAGTCTTCGTCTGTGCAATGGGTTCTTGCTGCCGTGGATCCGGAATGGCGCAGGGGAACCTGACGATGAGCTGCTTATATTTCAGGTCAAGTGTCATTTGCAGTTGGTGCCGTGAGCTGGCATCATGTTTGATGGTCTTCATGATATCCATGGAGTTCTCCTGGGAGAGGAACCCGAAATCTAGGCTGACTGGACGCATAGTTTTCTGCTCTGGGTACTCAATACCAGCCCTGATGGGACTTTTTATGGTCGGCACGCCACGAAAGCGCAGGAGATTTATGCGAACCTTCTTGCATTGATTTTGTATATCGATGATGATGGTTTCGCTGTCCCAAAAGGATCTCTCAGGCACAGGTGAGAAACGAACTCTCGCTACGCCAATTGAATTACCCTTGGCCTCACGAATGATTTGAGCGAGGACAATGTCACCGAAGCTGTGGAAATATCGCCACAAGTCGACTGTGCGGGTTTGAGGAGGGATATTCCTCAGCTCAACGGTCAATTCAGGCCATTCTTTCCAAGCTTGTCTCATTCCGATGCTATCACGATTGGGTGGCCGTTGAAGTCCTCCACGGGCGCCATCAGATACATGGCCACATCCGCCGGGGGTTGCGGTATTAATATCCTGTATTTGGTCGCTTGAAGGGCGAGACGACAAAGTGTTAGAAGAGGTCTGCCCCGGGGGGCTCCGTGGAGTGGAGCTACCATTGGTTCGGGCTTGGCCTCGATTATCAGCATTGTTGCAATCCATGGTGGGTTTTTCTTATTGCAGCTTTCCATAAGTTGAGTTACGTGATCTCAATGTGGTCTTTGACCTGTTGCTGCCTGAGCGTGGCTGGAGCAGAGCCTTATTATGTTCCTTTGTATCTTTCCCCCTGTTTTGAGACGATTCTCTACAATAGTGGAGTCAGATTTTGTCAGTGAGTCTATATTGAGTTCATGATGACTTCAAGGTGGTGCTGTATCTATTCCAGAAGCGATATGTGGCGTGCATGGGGAGTATGGTCGGCTGGCAAAGATATAGCTGTGTCACCACCTATATTTCACCAGCTGACAAGAACACTGATTGGTTACGAAAATTTATTAGTATAGGACTTGACATGAAGAGAGGAAAAAAAACGTGACACTGTACCTCGAGGGTGTCTCTTCCACGTGGACTGGAGAGCAGCTTGATGAAGGCAGGCCGCAACTGACCTAAAGACTAGTTTCCGAAGGGGACGGTCTTGCTGTGCAAATTCAACTGGGTGCTTTGTTTGGGGCAAGGCCGATGATGGATTTGTGAAGAGTACAGCTGTAAGGTTTACCGAGAAGGATTTGCTGAGTGTTTATATGCCGGCGTGATGTCCAGGCGAGTTTGGAACGTACTTAGGTAGGTCAGGAAGGTACGTTGCTTGTATTATTGATGGCACTCGTTGCTCAAGGTCACAGTGTAGGTAATGGTCGTTTTTCAAATGGTAAGCACTTGATGATGCCAAATGGGCAGGAACCTGATGTCGCAACTGAAGGCAAAAGCTGATGGGTGCAAACGGCGGGTGCGGCACGTCTCGCACCAGCAGAATCAAACCTAGTACGGAACCTACTGCTAGAAAATGGTGTATTGGCGGGCACACTTGCCTTTAGTGGATATGAGTGGATTGCCCTCCCAAGTGCAGTTCTATGGGTGGTCATACAGGAGAATAGATTTGAAGATTTGGTCAAATCGCAATCTTGCGCAGGACCCCGAGAAAGAGGAGGCAACCTGGAGCGGCCAAACCCCGTGGGTGCGGGTGTTTGCGCACGAACATGTTTGATCTTCTTCTTTTTCTCCTTTTTTCTTGGTCTCCAAGAAGTTCCGGTTACTATCGGCGAATGTCTTTTCATTTACAGCCCAGCTGATGTCACAGATCAAGAGCTTGAGATCTTTGTCCGAATTCAACTTGCGGATGGGTCGTATGAACATTCCAATGCCGTTTGTTGGAATCCTGATTGTGAACTCATTATGTGTTTTGGATGCAAAATATCTGAAAATTAAGAAATTCCATGTACCATATACCAGGGCATGATGATCAGTCATTACTGGATCTGTCTCATCGTGCTTCGTCATACTTACATGATGAATGATAGAGTAGCTAAGGTGCATCGGAAGGATACGTATCTCAGTTCCCAATGCCCCTACTTACTATAAACTCTCTTCCACCTGATCTTATTGATATAAACCCCAACCCTTCGGCAAACGTAGTATATGTACTCTGTGGTACCAAATCCCAGTCAGCATATCTCTCATTCCACAATCGTACCAGCCAACAGCGATCATGACATTCGCCTTGGGATTTCCAAGTTCATCTGAAAGAACAGATGCCATTTTATAGAAGTTGTTCTCCTAGCGGGAACTGTATATCAATTTCCTAGAGTCCATCTAGTGAACTATAAGCAGTGGGAGTAAATGTTTCCGGGGTCCAGTTGTCGACACCCAATCATCCAATGATCCTGATTCGAATAACAGCTCATCAGTTATTTGCATATTCTATTCAGAAGAACCCTTGGTCCTATTGATCACACTGCTCAAGTGTTGAGGTCCATCGATGCCACTGGTTTATCAAGGCATCTCTGGTCCAAGCCTGCCTGCCAACTGTGACTTGAATTTAGGATGCTAAATTTGCCCCCAAACCAGCCCGGGAGTTGTTCAAAATGCATCTAAGGTGACTGTAAATTTACGAAAAAAGTCGATGATCTCGAAAGGTGTCCAACCCTCTGGTACGAGTTCCATTTAAACGAACAACGCTTTTCTGCATCTCGAACATCAAGTATATACCTAGGGAGCAATGTTTTGGAGAGCCCATGTCCCAGTGATGAAAACGGGTTGGCTACGTGATATCCTTCATGATGATTGCTTACTTTGAAAGTGACCATTAAATCGGGGGTGATAGCAGCGGATGCGGCATGGTTCACGCGGTAACTTGCAAGTGAAAACCGTGCCCCTTGATTGACGTACATTCTTACTCTTATCACCACACAACCAGCTAAAGCTGACTGAGCAGCACCTGCAATGCTCTTCAGACTTCTGACTTACAAGCCTCCAAACAAACTTTGCGTTGGGGCCTAGAGGTATCATCACAAAGGTACTTCCCCGTTATTCAGCACCGCCAACCAGGCTTATCACCAGTTCAAACCTAGGCACCCAATAAGCTTGGCCAACAAAATCTACAAAACTCGACGTCATGTTGCCCTGAGATAGTAAAGTTGAGAATATACACACGACTTCCATAGCCTATGAAATCAAATTTCCATCTCTTACCCCTTGATAATTGGTTAAAGGTAGAATACTCCCCGAAACCAGCCGAAGAAATGCTTCCACCCCACCCATGCAATGACCATCCTCTGAAGAATGCGAACACATGATATTTCTAGGGAAATCGACGTGCTGAAATCCGTCCTGTCTCTGTAAATTGATATTTCTATGCTTGGTTGCCCGGTGTTTTTTAATACGCGCGCTGATTCAAAACCGCAAAAGCTGCCAACTTCATCGACAAACAGTCAGAACATGGTCTCCTGACGTGCCCAGTGGTAATTCCCATAAGTGATTGCTCCTCCTCATGCAATCAGTTGTTATTGCATATGGCTGTCCTCGCACATGGAGTGCATGCACCTCAAGGCCATTTGCTCTGTCTTACTTGCCATGGAGCTCGATCTTTCCAGCTTATGGCAAATCCATGATCTTGCCAGGGTTCATGATCCATAACGGATCCAGAGCCTGCTTAATCTGGCGCATGACAGCCAAGGTCTCGGGCCCAACCTCCAAAAGCAGCGACTCCTTCTTCCCCCAGCCGATCGAGTGCTCGCCAGTACATGTGCCTTCCATATCCAGCGCCCGTTTCACCATGTTATCAACGCAAATCTCAACCTTCTTCCGCTCCTCGGGCTTCTGTCGGTTATAGATGATGCTCTCGTGGAAGTTGCCGTCTCCGATATGGCCCAGGATGCTCGCGAATAGACCCAGGTCATCCATCTCCTTCTTGCTGACTTCGATAATGTCTGCAAGACGGCTGAAGGGCACAGCAACATCGGTACTCCCTACATTTCTGGTAAGAGTCTGCACTTTAGGGGTGATCAGAGGCCCAGTGATGACTTACAAACTTCCTCTCCCTCTTTTCTCAGTGCAAGCATTGACCACAAGGATTCCTTCCGAGCAGACCATAAAAGCCTCTGCTCGTTCTGATCCTTGGCAAATTCGAAGGTGCCTCCCTTGTGGCTCTTGGTAATTTTCTGTACGACGCCAATATTCTCCTTCACTCCAGCCTTGGTCCCTGAGAATTTGAAGAACAAAGTGGGCGTTTCTTTCCATACTCGTGGCGCCGTTGCTCCTCCCAAATTCACCACCTTCATCTGAACCTCGTCCATGATCTCCATGGCAGCAACAGGTACGCCGGTTTGCATCACCTCGGCTGCCGCAGAAGCGGCGTCTCGGATGGTGGGAAACGTGACTACGGCGACGGAGAAATCTTCCGGAATGACAGCGAGCTTAAGGGTTGCTTTTTTTCTGTAAGCCTATCCCCGTAACAACTTTTGGATGATGGTCACTCACCTTCGGTAACTAGACCCAAAGTTCCTTCTGAGCCGACAAAAATGCCGTTGAGGTTGTACCCAGCGGAAGATTTTCTGGGCCTCCGACGAGTCTTTATGACGGTGCCGTCTGCCAGCACGACCGTCAGATTGACGACCCAGTCCTTCATCGTTCCATACTTGACTGCATTAGTCCCTGAGCAGTTCGTCCCGATCATGCCACCTATCTTAGCACTCGGGCCTGTTACAGTTTGCGTCAGTCGAAGTCCTAAGCTCGTGGTTGCAAATATATGCATGCTCAAGAGGTAGAACAAGAGGATAGAGTTCATATGACCACCACTAGACCGCTTTCCTACAACAAAATGTCCAATTGCATGCAGGAGAAAATACATACCGGGATCAACGGGAAAGAAGAGCCCACTGCCCATCTTGGACAGGTTCTCATTCAAGTCCTGCCATCCGATGCTGGGCTGGACAATGATGTCCATATCCTCTCTATTGAACTGGATGATCTGGTCCATATAGGCAAAGTCGACGCTGATGCCACCGTACGGTGCTGAGAAATTGCCTTCCAGACTTGAACCACCGGAGTACGGGATAATGGGAACACGATACTTGTGACAGACGCGGGCAATAATGGAGACCTGCTCTGTAGATCGGGGATAGGCCACGGCAACCGGAAGACCGTCCGGGTTTGTCGTCGACCACTCCGAGTACCCATGCGCGTGCAGATCCTCCGGATCAACCGAGATAATGTCCTCATCCATGCCAATCTCGCGTCGGATCTCCCGCAATGCCTGTAGTCTCGATTAGCTTGGTCACCCCGTGATATATGCACAGCATGTCCAACTCACCGCTTCCAGTTCATCCAAAGATGCGTAATTGGGCGACGTGATCTTTGTGTCGAACAGCACGACAGTGCGCTTTGGAGGCCCCTCTAGCCCAGATGCAGCAAGGCCGAATCCCAGAAGGCCAGCCGTTGCCGAGAGGGCAAATACGGAACGGCCGGACCACCTCGGAAGTTGTCGAGCAGCGGTAGCGGCAGCGGAAGCGGAAGCGGTTCGGCCATCACCTCTGTTACTGGCCGTCCTCCTCCACGGCGCCGAAGAGAAGTGGCATCTCCAGACACCATTGAAGGGTCTGGTAAAGTGTTTGGCAGACATGCAGAACAAAGAATACACCCGTCCAATTTGTGCAGTATACCTTGCACGGGATGATGAAAACGGGAAGGGAGATGAAGGTCTAACAGAGTTTGCGAGACCCGAGTATAGATAGCCACGGTTGAGTTGCAAATTTCGAAGTGCTGAGAGTTGGGTACGAAGTACTTGAAATCGCTTTTGCGGCGGATGATAGGTGCCTTATTAGTCGACGGTCCTGCTGCCCAAACCACAAGATGGATCCAGTAAGAGCTCAGAAAGTAGCATGTACAATCCCATGTGTTGGAATGTGTCGGCACTCGGGTTGATGGACCGATCCAACGACAAGAGAGTACGTATATAGCTTTCAGGGAAGCATAGAAAAGCTGACAAAGTGAAGGCCCGAGAGGCGTGGGCAAATAAAGAAGTTGACAAGGACTTTGGTACTTATGACTTGTAAAGAACAAAAACCCTGGGAACGGAAGAGGCGCCGAGTGAAGGTGAGTTGGCAGGATTGTATGCAAACATCTCACGACAGTTATCGCCAACAAGGCCCGCGGGCATAGTCCCGAAAAGCACAATGGGGCAACCTTGGTGTAATAGACACGTCGAGACAGGGAGACCATGTCCTCTTATGGACTCTGACCTTCCCCCCCCTGCCGAGCCAATGCGGGTTGAGAGATGTTTCCATGGGCTCTGTGTGGAACAGAGGACAAAAGTTGAGAGAAATCCAAGTAGGTACTACCAACCGAGCCATGTATACTTGCAAAACAACTAGTACATGTAGGATGAAAATGTAACAGGCGGAGAAGTGGAGAAAAATGGGTTAAGGGGAGAGACGATGCTCGGGGAGGTACATATACGGAGTGGACTCGGTAGCATAGATATGATGGGGTTGGCAACATGACACTATGCCGAGCACCGCGACGATAAGGGGGATGACATATTATCCATGGCGGGATTCCAGACTAGATCAACACATATTGCTAAAGAAAAGAAAAGGGGAACTGGGGTAAGCCTGCGGGTGAGGAGGGGCCGTCGATTTAGTATTGTAACTAAGAAAGACAGTCGTAAAAGCTACCTTTTCTTTGGCAGCTCGGAAAGCTAGTATTCCGATCGGGCTCTTGACACGACTTAGAAATTGGAAAAAAGAGTAGCAAGCGGCTAGCCGAGGGACTCCTATCAGTGTGGTATCGAAATTTATGCATACACAACTTTTTGCATCTTCACACCATTCGTGAGAAGAAGCACGTTGACCGCACTAGCGGCCCCTGTATGTAGTATTTGCATGGTTGCTTGACCGATTGCTCTGGTAGGGGAATAGTGTGCCGTGGTATTTGTGAAACCCGATCCTTGGAGTCGGGGGTCACCAGCCAGCTCGGACTTCTCAGCGAAACAACGCCGTTGGTTTTTGTGATGAGAAAGTTGAGAGTGCTCCAAGTTCTACTAACGGATGTCGGGTCCGATGTATCCTATAGTGGTGGGGATGAGGGGTTGGTTGGTTGAGTGCAAGTGAACGAGCGGTATTGCAGTAAAAAGAGGTCAGTAATTCATTTGCCTCTGGCTATTTGCATGCAAGAGGAGATCACGATGCCTGAATAGCATACGTACCTTGCGTGCCAGCGAATTACAACCCGGATGGTCCTGAAGTACCTTAACCTATGTCAGAAACCGTTGGCTCCCACCCGTCGCCGCCATTGTGATACCTTAGTGGCAGCAGCATACGGTCCACGTTTTGTTAGTTATCATGCATCTTCCCAGAGGATATCTCGTACACGATTCCCTGCCTTTAAAAAGTCCGCCAAACCGACATCCGTAACGTAAATTCCTGAACTTGCCATGGGGTCCCCAATAATGACGGCGCCTTTCAGCCCAGTGGGCTTGGCTGAAGCATTCATCTTGTGCGGACGAAGACGTGGCAACGGTAGTGCTTGGCTGCAAAACCCGGAACTTGTACGTTCCCAGAGTCCTCAATACAGCAACCGGTGTGAGCGTCCTCCTGCATGTCAGAGGAGTACAACATCAATGAAGCCGACGATGCGGGCCGTATGACTTCAATGGGTGCCAAAGTATAACGTAAGACACAAGCAACCTCAAGGCGTAATGTAATCAACGACGTCAACATGGAAGTCAGGTGCGTGAGGTGCTAGAGATGCGGTGCGACCCTGAGTTGAAAAATGCATCAATAGGTGCCTTGCACGACAAACGTCAAGTACTCCAGGAAATATTCTGTCCTCCAATTTCAACTGAAGGGGGGCAGCTGTTGTGCAATGAGAAGCAGTTTGAGGAGCAGCAGCAATTTTTACCGGTGGCGGAAAGCGGCCAAGGCTGATAATAGATTAGCGGATGTGGCGAGACGTTCCGCAAAGCTATTTATCGATATGCTGTCGTCGCAAACGACAACTTCCCAAACGAGAATGAAAATATTTGAAAGCGGTAGACGCCTAGGAGTACCTAAGTAAGGAAGCCGCAATTGAGTGTGGGGAAAATAGTGGACACCAAGACGGCTTCTTTTAGACCTGTTTTATCCAAAACAACCTTGATAATTCCGAGTCGACTGGGACGAGAGAGCTAAGTTTAGTCGAGAACAATAGTATCACATATACATGCCAATGCCGGGAGGGACTTGTCGAGTTGTCCAAGAGAAAATCCACTGCACCTTCAACACCAGCTGGGCATATAGAACTTATGCCTGGCAATGAGTGTAGAACCGCCTCATGTATGACCAACTATTACTACTTGGTTTAAGATATTGTGAACATGTGTGGGGTATTATTTTGCACAACCCGATCCTTTGCCCCGATACCAAACTGAAGTGGCCCACCCCGTTTCTTCAGCATCTTTTCTATTACCGACCGACAATTGGCCTGCTGAACTGCATAGATGTATATGTACGACATTGGGATAGGGAACATCTCTTCCGTCAGCTGCCATTGATGTAATGGGCCCTGCAGATATGGCAGACATTGGGATAGGGAACATCTCTTCCGTCAGCTGCCATTGATGTAATGGGCCCTGCAGATATGGCAGAAGGCAAGCTCTCGGATATGTTGACAGCAACCCACGTGCTCCATTTGCTTTTGCAGGGCAATACTACATGAGGCTCTGAACAAGTCGAAAACGCACAAGTGTATCGTCAACCTTGTCGTTGGGGGGATAAAAAGCAACAAAATCCCGGCATCAAAGTGCCAAAAACAAGGAAGAGATGAGGCTTGCACAAGTTGGGTAAGAATCGGGTTTGCCGCTCCCAGCTACCTCATTAACTCGACAAGCAGTCAGAGCTACACTAGCTTAATCTATAAGTAGGTACATTGTAAGTAGGTACATTTACACTAACAAAGCTCACCTGACATATAAATTTGCCAACATTGAGACAAATTGCAAAAGTGGCATGACCGGATATAGAAACCAGTAGGCAAGAGACAGCGAGATAGGCCGAGGAAGATCATGTGCCGTTAGCATAGCCTATTTAATTGGGTAGCCAACATTTAATGCGCCTTTAAGGTCGGTAGCTATGTTAGCTACTTGCTCATTTATCATGATCTTCCACACCACACCTAGGACATTAGGCACGCCCACCTCTGCCTCAACAAGGTCAAGGCAAGGAGACGTTGCATTGTCCCTCACATCAGCAATAGGTCACGAGATCCCCTCTGATTGCTCCAGATACACCGAAGAAATCATTCTCTTGCTTGGCTTCAGAAGTACCTTCACAGTGTCATTGAGACTTGGTCGGACGTACATGTTGTTTGCCTTCATTGTCCAGGTGGTCTTACCGCTCTGCCAGGCTTCTCTGCCACATTCGACTAGATACGACCCTTCTGCTTGCGTGTATCAAATCAAAAATGTGCTTTCAGACAATCGTAATATCGGGGCCCCACTGCTTGCCGCATTGTAAGCTTGGTCGTTGCCTTTTCCCCGTTGCTCGCGGCAGACTACAGAAACAGGACACACATGAAGGGCAATTTGCAATTTGCAGCGTATTTAGTTTGCGATGGGTCAGCACTTCTGACTTCTTCAGCAGCAGCGGCTCAACGCGGCAAATATCTCTGGCGCAGCGGAATACCGGTACCATAGGATTTCTTCTCCAAAGTCACTGAATCATTTTAGTCGTATTACTGCTGTTAGGGTACAACGCTAATAATCGCCCATTTCAGCCAATGGAGGAGTCGGTGATGATACGAGTTGCGACATACTTGAACATGGATCACATATTGGAGACTGCATGCGCCGTTGGGTGTTCTAGAAAAAGCTGTAACTGCAGTGCATGCAACCCGGCGTGAGTTGAAACGCGCAAGGGCAGCTCACCGCTTGGAAGTTAGCCTTCACAATGTGTACCTTGCCGCTGAGCAGGATAGATCGATTACATGTTCCCCGGCGCACCGCAAGCTCGATAAAAATAATTCCTGAAGCTAACTTCGCAGATGCGAGGCATGTTGGGGCTGAATGGAGGTCATTGTCATTGTCAGTTGCTTCTCATTGAGCTTTCTCATTACCCTAGAGCTATCTCATGGCACGCACAAACTAAGTATCAGCCTTGACTCCAGCCCCATGCGTAAAACGAACCATTGCCAAATCCCTTTTTTATTCCAGTCCATAGCGCTTAGTGGCCGGCCAGGGTGTGGGCACGGCGGCGGTCACGCTCCTCAGCAATAGTAAGCTTAACGCCCTTGCCCTTGGGTAGGGAGATCCAAGGCTTCTCAGAGCCGATGACAAAGACGTTGCTCTCACGGGTGGCGAAGGTGTTGTCAATGGCGTCCTTGATGTGGACGATGTTGAAACCACCATCGTGGCGCTCACGGTGAGTGATGACACCAACACGACCCATGTTACGGCCACCGGTCACCATGGCGATAACACCAGTGTCAAACTTGACGTAGTCGGTGATTTTGCCAGTGGCGACCTCGATCTTAACAGTATCGTTGACCTTGATCAGAGGGTCAGGGTAGCGAATGCTGTTTTGCACATGTCAGCGTTGTGTCGGGAAGGGAGAACATACAGCCATCGTCTCAAAGCTCGTCATCAACACACAAATCCCCATGATAGCCAAAAATCATCCTTGACAGCGAATATCATGTGGTTTCGGCATTGACTTCGGGTGGTTCAACCAAAGCTTGATCCAACGGCTGAATGATGTCTGACAGAACTTACGTCCTCGCATCGTGCGTGACCAAGAATGGGATTCCGCCCTTGCCAAGCTGCACTCTCTTGACCTTGCCCAGCTTGTACTCAGCCTCCTCGGCCTGAATGCGGTGGACGGTGAAGCGGCCCTTGGTGTCGTAGATGAGGCGGAAGTGCTCGCCAGTCTTCTCGATGGTGATGACGTCCATGAAGCCGGCGGGGAAGGTCATGTCGGTGCGGACCTTGCCGTCAACCTTGATGAGGCGTTGCATCAGGATCGACTTGGTCTCGCGATAGTTGAGCGCATACTTCAGGCGGTTGCGCAGGAAGATGATGAGAGGAAGGCACTCTCGCTGCTTGTGGGGACCGGCAGAGGGCTTGGGGGCGTAGACACCGGACAGCTTGTCAAGCAGCCAGTGCGAGGGGGCGCTCAAGCGCTTCTGGTGCTTCTTTCTACGCAAGTGAAAGCATTAGCATCGTGTCTAATATTTTACATCACGGTGGTTTGATGCTCGGAGTGTCCTTCTCAACCGTTGTTGTTGGTACTAGAGAAAAATATGCCTCGGAGCCCAATGGAAAGAATCAATCGCATCAAGTAGTTACTTACGGTCCGCGGCCCATTTTGACTGTCTGTTAATGTCGTGAAGGTTGTCGGGTTGGGAATTATCTTGAAGTCACAACGTCAAGGTCAATTTCTGGCGGCGCAAAAAAGCCGTGAAATGGGTCGTGGAGAAATAAATTCTTAGCCCTAGTGATCCGTGCGCCTTCCTGAAGTCCTCAACGCTGTGTGGGGCAGCAGTGGTTGGCAACTGGCAAAGTGAGTGGGGGCGCGGACCAGCTAAGGTTAGAGGACTTCTAAAGTTTGAGCTAAATGGCACCCTCCTTCACCCGCAACGTCAACTCCATTTTATGAGGACTTGTACGAACAAAGTACGGGACTTTAGAAGATGTGGATTTCGAGAACGCTGCGTCTTTCTCGTAGAGACCAAATCCTACCTTTTGATGCAGTTACAAGATGTAAATCGGTTTGTTCACGTAGACAGACTTGAGCATAAACGAATGGCAATGCAATACTGGTTCAATGCTATGCTTCATTGGCTTCTGACCTGGTATCCAAGAGAATCACCAGCCTCCATCCACTTCGTGCTCTCCAGCAGTTCGCGTTCAGTCATTACGTCCCAGTCCCAACATCACACGCACACGAATTCGCTCTAATTCGGTAAGGACAGGAGCTCTAGTAGCAGCCGCAGTGACCCAAGATCCCACATCCTTGTCTGTCAGAGCATTTTCTCATCTCCTCACAATGAGTACTGACGTTGTCATCGAGTCCGTTCGTCTGGTTGACCACTCTGCTCTTACTCTGTCTGGTCTTGGGTCGGAACAGATCACTTAGTCAGCTGTATGTACAATGCGACCTTTACGGTACTCGGTCCGCCCATATCTATCGCTCTTATCTTTACCTGCTCTGATTGCCGACCCTTGGTTGGGTTTTGTTGATATTGCACTAATGCGCAACTCGCTGTGATGTGGTTCATCCCAGACCCCTTTTGTCCGCCAAAGAATGTTCATTGGCAATTTGCGTGTCATCGAGGAGCAGCCGTGAAATGTCCATCTCGCCAATACCCCCTGAAGCAAATCCCGTTACTATGGATTCGCCCCAGAACAAACTGGACGGAGGTTGCGAAGACTCGGCCGGATCCATCAGATTGGGTATCGGCCATTTTGGCATATCCTCCTTTGAGTTTGTGCGATTAAGCTGAGGTTCAAGAAGGGCTGTCTTGGATCTCGACTTGTTGAGGGCATTGTCAATATTCATATCCACCGAAGGCTCCAAGAGATTTTTGCTACGGCTCGGCTCCTTGACTTGCATTGTTGCCCTCTCGGCGCCAGCAAATTTTTCGGGATATTTGTTTCGTAATCTATCCCTTAAATCGGTCGGTTGTCTGGTCGACAGATTGAATTTTGGGTCCCTCTGAATCTTGGTCCATTGTGGACCGTAAAGCTCGAATCCTTCCAATATCTCTCTATCGTCTTGTTCCGAGAATGGTCGACGCCCTCGTCGTTGTGACTTCTTGAACGGCCCTTTAATGCCAAGTTCGGCCAGATCCTCTAGCTTTTTGCGATGGGCACGACTCTTCCGCTGCTTCAGAGTCGAGTCCGAATCATTGTGGACAGACTGGGCTCTGTCCGACTCTGTAGCTTCCTCTGGCTCGTTCAGAATGTTCTCTGACATCAATCCCTTCTTGGGCTTTGGCTCGACAGGTGGTATTACAGTCGGGTTTGGCTTTGGCTTTTGCACGCCGTGTTTGTCTTTCGATTTGCCTCGGAGTTCATCCGGGCAACATGTGCGAAATCGGTCTTTCAGATCTCCTGCCGAACGCTCATTGAACTTGTACTCGGGGTCATCCAAGATATCTGTCCATCTCCCAACGCCGTGTTTGCTCACACCGAGTAGCAGGTGGTTCGTCTCTTCTTCAGACCATTTTCGTCGTGGTTTAGCAGCACGTCGCTTGACCTTTCCCGTCGGAGTTCGCTCGGCATCGGGAGGGGAGCTCGAGATGCTCTTGTCTTCTGTCAAGATCTTGAGATCTGCGGGCTTGTTGAGGCTCAAATTTTGCGGGGGCTCGGCGGAGTGTGGTCGGGTGTTAAATGTCCCAGATGATATGGGAGGGAACAGGGCCGAGTTGGCGTTGAGGGGTGGTGGCTCGAGTAACCCTACAATAATGGGCGGGAATACATGTTCTTGAGAGGCGGCCTTCTGCTTCTTGAGGGGTTGCGGCAGCTGGACAAAGTCTTCTTTCACTGGTCTTTTCTTGGTTGATAGGTCTTCGGTGTCAGGTGTATCATCCAATATCATTCGAAGGTCCTGTGACGAGATGTGGTGCATCAGGTTTCTGTCAGTTCCGTAATTCACTTCCTTCCTCGGACCATTGTTCGCAGAGGTATCGTCAGTGACGGAGAACAGTGACGGTATAGTTTGGGATGCCAATTGGCTTCCATTATTAGCTTCTTGTCCGTCGCTTCTTTGGTTGGCATCGGGTTCGATTGGAAGGAGGTGTGGACGGCCGTTGGAGTTGGGGTTCGGGAGGCTGAGGCCCTTAATCGGAGGTAGCTCAGCATGGTGCGGCCTTGGCGTGGCCGACGACTCGTTCAACAGGTGAATAAGTCGCGGCTCGATGGTGGCCATCGTGTGTCTGCGGGAGTGGGCAAGAGGAGGGCATTGGGAGAGAGGAGGAGAGTGACCAAGTAGGACCAGTCGAGTACAAGAAGATTAGAACGAGCGTGAGTGTAAAAGCACCGCCCAGCCTAGGGAATCATGGCAGTTGGCAGGATACAACGGGTGTATTCGACGGTTCGATTGCGGGACAGCTAGGTTATGGTATATCTAGGAGAGCCTGGTGCTGGGCCTGCTGTGCCAATTTGTATTTGCTTCACATGAAAAGTACCGGCATTGGACATGGGCACCTGGGGCATTGGCCTTCGTGGGCGCGGTAACACAGACCGGAGACAAGTCAAGAGCGGAGGTGGAGGCAAGATGGGACGACACCAAACGCGATCCAAAGTGGCCAGGACGAGCCGGCAAACGCCGAGTGCTGTAGAGTGTTCAACCCATTACCTGAAAAGCAAGCCGACGAAACGCGTTCCAGCGTTGGTCTGAATTTATGGTTTCTGGGTTCTTGGGCAGCGGTTAATGCACTCGTAACTGCAAGTGTGCACGCAAATGCGTTTGATGAGAGATGAGGAAGGAAGGAAGGACGAATGATGAACGGTGTTGAGGAATGAGAGGGGCGGATAGGTTGCGTCTCGAGTGCCGGATAGTTGGAACCAGAACTTGGGGGACGGAAGAAGATCCTGGTTTTCGCCCCTTCCTCCCCGTGTGAGATGCTTGGAATATTGACTTGATGCCTGCTTGCGCTTGCCAATTACTAGCAGAATCATTTGACAACTTTTTCATGCAATTCTCATGCACCAGACGCGGCGAGGCCTAGGCCTGAAGATCGACAGCAGAATTCAGATTGGGTGGCAGTAGATCGGCTCGAGACTGTGCCACTCCGATCGCTCAAATTTGAAAATCATCAGGTTTAGAAGTCATGCAAGCTTTTCACAAAATGAATGGCGACACCCTGGTGGAATGATTGGGTTATACCTGGTCTACACACTAGAACGCTGAGCCATCTCGCACTATACCTATTGTGCCGTTTACATTGTCACCCACTCGTCACTGCTCTCAGTCTCAGTAGACTACCCGGTGCCAGCATCATTTGAAACCCCAGGTTTTTTTATGTACAATTGTAGAACTTCGAGGTTTCATTAATTGCAGCAGAACCCCTCTTTTGCCAAGCCTCGCACGTTGAAGTTCAAGACTCCGGTTACACGGCCTAAACAACGACAACAACCAACAACTCATTGCAGCAGTCCAACCTCTAAGTGTTAAAACGCGAGCATGGCTTCCGAACTGCCCACATTTCCTCGAGTGGTCTTCACCCTGCTGGAGCCCATCTCCCTGTAAGTTGCCTCCACCCGGCTGTTGGGAGACAACCATTCACATGGCAATACAGAGTTGCGGGCTGCATAGGCGCATTCATCGATCCGGATTGGTTCATAGCAGAGCAAATTGCTTCGCCAATCCCACTCAAGCATACGGATAATGCTCGCCTAGTGGCCCTCCAGCTAGGCAACCTCTACGGTCTCATATTCATGATTGGGGTTGCAGTCTTGTACACGACTAGCGAGATCAAGGTAGTCCGTAACTACCTTTGGGCCTGCTGGGTTGCAGACTTGAGTCACATAGGCCTCACACTTTATTTGCTCGGATATGACAGATCTATGGCCGTATCGCAATGGAACGCGATGGCATGGGGCAATATTGGTGCAACGGTATGGGCGACCCAGTGAATGGCATTATCCCATTTACCAGACAGGCTAACATCACACAGGCATTTTTCTGTTTGACAAGGACAGCCTATCTTTTGGGACTCTTTGGAAAGAGCGGAAAGGCACGTCCGAAGTCTGCATAGCGTTCCTCCAAGTTGCAAGACCATAGTATCATCTCCTCGTACCCAGCCTCAACTCTCAAATATTTACTTGTAGGTAAAGAATCCTACTTTTTCGCCCGGTGCATCTCCCAGCTTGACCACAGCGTCTCTCAACATTCTTACCCTCTCGGTAGCCTTGATTGGACTGGCGGGTTTTAATTCCAGGTCACCATACGTGAGCGCCATGACGGAATCGAAGATATCTGGAGCTCTAATACACCAATCCAGGCACATGCCGGTGATGCCAATGATAATTAGCGTACTAGAGATAGTAATGAGAGCAACCACCCAACCCTAGACGGGTTTGTACATCTCGGCCACGTACGTCATGCGCACCGGCGTGGAGCCCCAAATAACGGACTCGTCCCAAGCGGATCTCCAAGCATGTAGCAAAGATTGACTGCTGAAGTGTTGCGCTGCACTGCCTCGCTTAGAGTTCCCGTTAGGCAGCTAAGTGCCCACTCTATAAACTTACCGGGTATGTGTTCGGGGCCATACAACGACCGGTTCGCTGACGGCCGCGCGAGTTATAGAACTGTATATACAAGTTCAGTATCATGGCTAGACACTCGCTCAACAGCTACGACGGGACGTTGAAGAGGTTGATAGATTTGTCCACGCGTTATCCGGCCCAAAGACTGGTAACATGCTGGTGTCGTTGGCGAAGAATTCGGTGAAGTTGGAGCCGATGCTTCAAAGCGGTAACTGCTGGAACTGATATATCGACAATCTGCTCGAGCACGCAAAAGCCCCAGTTATCGATTACGGTGAAGTTGGGACCGCGCTTTTCGGTTTGCGAGTATCTCATAGCTGTCGCGCCGCAGACACCACAGACACCACTTTCGCAAGCGATTTAAGTCTCTACGAGGGGCTGTGACTGTGGGTAAGTTTTTGTAGGGTGTGTCAATGTTGTTGTTGATTTGTGTTAGTTCCATTCCCGAGGTCAATGTGAGGTGACGAGGGCTTGCCAAGATATCATCGGTTTTCTTAGTGTCGTTCATGTCCAGGAAGCCGAGAAAGATCTGATTGTGACTTGTTCCGCAACCATTTTCATCGCAGTAGCCATCACAGGTGGCTACAAGACCTTGTAACGTAACATGGTGCCGTTTTGGTTAAGGACCGCTGCAAGAGACACGTAAGATTTCTCCGTCGCAAACTCTACCACGCCTTCCCCCAGCAGGCCGACGGTGAGGACTCCCATTGGTGATGAGAAGTTCTCAAAGGTCGAATCTATATCCTTCACAGCATCCACCCACCCTCGCTAGCAGTTAAATCATCCAGGCGTTTGATTCGTGGTATCTTGACGTTACCCCAGTCCGCACGAGGCCCCCGCTTGATGCCATAGCTTTATTGCAGTGACAATTCGGAAGCATATTCCCACGGTAAAGGAAACCTCACATCGATGAAGTTAATGTTATATAGAAATTCACGACTTTGCTGGCTCCAGATCCAGTGTCGACGTGCCATAGGAGTGGATTCAGTTGATGTTTTATCATATGGGTAAACCAAGCGAAAGACAGCTTGGTCCCCTAAAGGCAATAATAACCACAGCAAAATAATAATATTATTATTATTATTATTAAATACGCCGTAGGCTCGAAGCCCCCGGTACCTCTACTAGTACTCCCGTATGTCAAACCGTGCCCTAATGGCTGGACTAAATACATACGCTGCGTCGTCGGTTCGCCCTATTGGCGACTGCGTTACGTCCACTACCATACTACGTTGGTTCTCAACCTACCAACAAAGTCCCCCCTGAGAAGATCGATGCTATCTGGGCCTTGAAGCTGTCCGACCCGTCCCTAGCAGCCACCTTACAATAGTCCCACTAACTACTGGTTCTCTTGTTGCCGTTGCGAGGTCTCTGCGAGAGTATAGTGGCCGTGGTGCGATGGCGGCCCGTAATCGTTCCCTCGGTCCTTCCAACAGCCCGCAAAAGAGGATTACGTGCTCTGCCGTCTCAGGGGCATCGCCACAGCGGCATAGCGGCGAGTACACGCCAAAAGCCCCTGTCTTGAATAAGAAGGCTGCTAGTCCTATTTTTTCCGTCCTGATCTGGCACAGCGTAGACGCCTCCAGTCGGTTCAGGCCGAAATACTTGCCCCCTTTCGGTATCTGCATCGAAGGGCCCTCCGGTTCCTCAGCGATAGCGCGTCGCTGGCGATCGTGATGCTCTGCTCCGGTGAGCCATCTCTTCCTCCAGTGGCCGAGGAGGGCACAAAATAATAAGGATTGACACCAGAATGAAGTCACACAGCTTTAAAGGGTTCAAATCGCCTTGAATGTGATGTGGACGTTCCTGAGGTGCCAGGGGATCTCACTCCAACCAGCTACATCCCTTGTAAAGCAGAGTTGAAGCACTTACACCAAGCTTTGCTAGCGTAGCGGCCCGGGCTTTTCAGCTTACGGCTAACAAGCCGACGAAGAGAATTGGAACCAATGTAGGGCCTTCATATTTATATGTTATGGCTTCAATCTGCCACGGCACAGGATAATCGTACTTACAAGTCCCATCCCATCCTCAAACATATTCCCCAGTCTGTTCGGAGCTGGTTTATCTCTGAGTTTATAGCTTTGACGGACAAGACTGCTCACAAAGTCAGCTTTTGGTGCAATCAGACGCGAGACATGCCTCCTAAACCCACCCAGAAACGCCAGCGTCGACAAGATCAAAACAAGGTAACCAGGAAATTAGAGACAAACCCAAATTTGGACGATACTAGACGGTAGGATGACTTGGACGAATATCGAGAATGCCGCGGTTCCATACCCACACGGGTATGTCTGAGCTTATTGCCGACGAGACGTGGGCTCTGAGGGCGAGACTTTAGGGCGGCAGTCATATTTAGCTGTGCGACGCTCCAATACACGGCGATAAGGCGTTTTTTCTCTTCATTCTCGCGTGGAAGCTTCTCTGCCCTGAAAGCCTTACGCCTTGGTGGGTCAGCCGGGCATGGTGTCGAGCGTCTCCCCGGTTGATGACATTGTCTTTCAGTTGGACCGGAATCAAATGAACAGTGAAATATTTTCGATGAGTTACCCTTTTTTCAGCGTCGAGAGAACGTCACTGGGAGGAGAGACAACGGAGTATGCTTCGATTGAGGTTGACATAGCAGCAACACGGACTTCGTCATGTGGTAATGAAGCGAAATGTGACGGAACTCGTCAACAGCGGCCTAATTGATATGGTTGGTTCACTTAAAGCTTTCGAAGTGATCGAGCATCAAGAGCCCTCGCATTAATGCACCACATATTATCGAAGTGACAGTTCAGGTGTTGATGTTTCTCTTCATTTATGATAGACGGTGGAACAAAGAATGGAAGTTGCAGACAGCATTGTCCACTCAGCAAAGAATTCAGTAGTGGCTGAAAATGATATACAAGAGCTACCAAATGTTGCCCACAAAGGGTTCCACATGGATTCCCAACAACAATACTGCTAGCCAGAAAATACAATTCCACTAAAAAAGATGGAGAAAAAGCTGAAACGGAGTCACAAGCGGATTCGAGGGCTTTGTTTTCTCAGTAATCACGCGTGGATAGAGCACAGCAACAATATCGCCGATTGAGAGGATTAAGAGGGTGTTGTGGAAACTTATTTCAGAGTAATAGCTCAAGCCTCATAAAAAGGACTTTTATACCATTAGCCACGTTACTGGCGGTCTTTCAAACCTACACGTTGCATCTAGACACCTCTCCCTGCAGGTCTTTTTGCCAGACTCGTCATCCCGGATGGATCATTTGGCACACCGTGCCTACGGCGTGGAGAAGGTCTTTAGCAGAATGCGTCTTGAGACGAGTTCTAGATAAGGATCCCCTTGCAAGCGAGCCTAGGATGATATTTTGAATTATCTTCGAAGCGTAGGTCCTGGAATGATGTTAGCAAATAGAAGCGATGATGAAACTTTTCTGTTCTATTCGGCCACGACGCTATTCCAATTGTTGGGCGTTTTGTGGGCGTTTTGTGGGTGTTTGTTCCTAAGATACCAGGGGTTTTGTATGATGGATGCGTGTTCCTGCAAGCAATGTTAACAGGAGAAAGTTGCGATCCATCTCGTTACAATTCTATCCAGGAATCGTACTACGTTGATGGTACTAGAGTTTGAAATATCTTCTACAACTACCAACATGCATATAAAGTGCTACAAGTTGATTCCAGCGAAGCATTCAGAAGGCTTCCCCTATGAGTGGGAAACTGAGCGGCATCCCACGACAGAGGTTATCACTTAAGTCAGCACTTCACCACAGGAAAAAAAACAAGCAAAGGTCGAAATTCGATGAAACACCGTATCTTTCGAGGGTGCCCAGGCCATGGTACCCACTGAAAAAGCATCGTAATTTTATGATATAACTCTGGCCCAGCAACTGAGCCTTTGCCTCGCTCAGAAAAACTATGAGTTCAGGAATCCCTCCGCTGGGAGTATCTCAACAAGTGAGTTATGATCGATGTTATGGATGAAAATTTATTCTAGTTTTTTAATGTGCATTTCCTAGTATATAATCATACCGTGACAGATCAGGGCGGACTCCAAGGATTGACTTCAAATCGGCGGAAGCTACCCGGAAGGGGGGAAAAGGAGAAGATTGCACACACCTTATCTTGCAACGACGCCACCAAACGCTCGGTGGGTCGCGTGGTCCACCGCAATAGAGAGAGCTAGCCGGCACAAGGCAACGGTTGGGCAATGGAATCTAGAACAGATCAAGATTCGCTGCATAGAAAACTTGGGTGTCCTCAAACTCAGATGCCAACGAAGATACGGCCTTCCGCCATTCCTAAGTATCCTCATTTGCTTCCTCCCGGAATGTGCCGTCGAACCCCTCTGATGAACTCGACTTCCACCTAAAACGAACTCCTCCATCGCCAAAGTAAACAAATCCCACTCGTACAGCTTGCATCGACCATGACCTCACGAGCGGACCGGCCGCCTTCGCCCTCTCCATCACATCTCCCGCCGATTCCAGATTCTCCAACCTGCTCCTATGCCTCGACAGCAAATCACCTCTCGTCGTACAACCTCCCGCTCCCCCCACCCCCGCGTCCGCCCCACGCCGTCCTGACCAAAGCCGACCTCGAGGCGTCACAGACCGCGTACTCGGACCTTCTTGCAACCGCCAAAACCTACCGCCAAGCCCTAGCCGCTCTCTCCTCTTCCGCATCCGCCTTTGGCTCCTCACTCGAAGCATGCGCCCGCCTAAAGGAATCGCGCGCCGACACCCTGGGCCCACCAGGAGGCGCAAGTCTATCCAACAGCTTCACAACAAATGGCACTTGCACAGCGGACCTGCTCCTCGCGGCTAGCGGCGTACACCACCTCGTCGCAAACCACCAACAAATCCTGTCAGAGACGGTATACCGCTCCTTCGAAGTGCCGTTGCTGCACGAGCTAGACAAATGGCGGGGCTCCATCGACGACGAAGACGAGAGCTATCACCGGGAGGTCAAAGTGCGGAGCCGGGAGATCCGGCGTATGGAAAAAGAAGGGCTGAAGCTGCACAAGCAGCGGCGTCGGGACGTGGGCAAGTTCCGCGAGCACCTGGTAGAACTAACAGGCAAGCTGGACGGGCTGACGACGTTGCACGGCGAGCACGCCCGCGCGCTTCTGCGTGAGAGCCAGGAGACGAGCGTCAAGATCGTCGATGCAAGCTGCAGTCTCGTCCGCGCCGAGGTGGACATCTTCGAGAGCCTGGCCCGGAAAGGCTGGAGTGGTGGGGGGCTGGACGAACTGCTCGAAAAGGGTAGGGACTTGTTTGCCAGTGATGACGATGTGCTGGTTGTTGCTGGTGGTGTGGTCGGGGCCGGCAGTAGTGCGGTGGCGGCTGGGGAGGGCGCGAAGCTGTTTAGTATACTGCCGCCCAAGAGCATACTGGCCGACTCGGCGTCGGACTCGGGGCGCGGTAAGGGACACGGCCGGGCTGACAGTTTGATGGTGGAGCCGGAGCGGTATCAGAGCCTCGCAGGCGCCATGGATCGAGACAGAGACCGGGGCGATGCAGAGAGCATATTCTCTGAGTTCAACCAAAGTCGGGGTGTGAGACCATTCAGCCCACAGCCGATACGGAGGAATCCTACAGATGTCATACTGGATCCAGACTCACTTTTCCAAGGAGAAGGCGGAGCTGAGGGGGCGAGAGATGTCTCGGCACAGGGACTAGGGCTGGAAGGGGACGAGGCTAGTAGGGAAGGAATGTCGCCTTGGAGAGACATGGGAGTACGGAAGGAGAGCGAAGATGGAAGTGTTTCAACTGAGGTGGATACCGAGACTTCGACTATTAAGGATAGAGCGCGTCGGTGGAGCATCACAGAGGACGAGGAACGATAGAAATGCCATTGTCCAGAGACTTAGTGACACGGCAAGGTTTTGACGCACCCATATCATGATAAATTGTACTTGACACGATAGACGACGCAACGGGCTACATTGGCATTCATATACCCATGTTCCTGTTCCTGTTTGATACTGAGTTTTCGTATTAGTTGGGTGCCACAGCTGCATTTCGAGATGCTGCAGCCGGCGCCCGTTGCGGCTTTCAACAAGTAACCTGCCTACTAGTGAACAACCAATGACATACTTGTACAAGCCGTACAGTATTCCTTCCTATATTGACCACAGGCCTGTCCCATTTTGTCCGTCAACTCCTCTGCATGATATAACAAGCCAAACCGCCCTGTCCATATTTATCCGCCACATCTCCCTGGACCCCAGTCCCAGCCCCAACAATCCGTAGCTGGCTCAGTCATCCTTATCCGCGCTCACAATCTCATGGCCAAATAATCCGAACCAATAATCCAGGTAGAACATGAGTTGCCAGTACAAACTCGCCTTGGTGAAGTCGAACTCGCCATTCTCCGTCCGCGGTACCTCGTTGCCAATCATGCTGCCGCCGAACCACTTGATCAGTGGGATGCGACTGATGATGCGGCTCACCACTCCAGGTTGCGGCAAGAGCGCCTGTTCGGCTGGCTTGAGCTTGACACGCCTCGCTTGGGGGATACGTCGACAGTACGTGCTGTCCAGCTCAGACTCTGCTCTACCCTCGGGTGCGATAATAGGACGGAGAATCTGCGAGCCCGTCACCGTAGCTGTTGAGGCTGTGCCAGTTGATGAGGACATGGTGGCAGAGTCGATGGTCTGCGTTGAGGTTTGAGATTCGGGAGGGGACCCGTTGAATCCGAGGTCTGCCTTGGAACCACCACTGATGAGAGGTGTGGACCAGTCGCTCGGGATTACGGTTCCTTTTTCTTTCGGCTGGAACGATGAGGTAGAAGGTTTTTGTCGTGAATGGCGTTGGGATTGCGCACGAGGGTTCGGCTGTGCGTCCTGCATCATGCCTACTTCGCCAAGCATTTCTGCCACGGCTGCATCTTCTTTGGGCGGCATGCCACGGTACGGCTCGGCGTAGACAAGGTGGCCGAGAATCTTTTGAGGCGAGGCGAAGATGGCTGCATCTGCTGCGTCGGCCGACTCAAATGTGACCTTGATCCAGTGCTCTCCTCCATCGATTTGGTTGACCTTGGCTCTTTCTTGAGGCGTGAGTGGATGGCGTCTGGTAAAAGCAGGGTCTCGCAGTTCTGACTTGTAGCGGCGCTGCCCGCTCGGCGGATCGCGGGGGTAGTCTTCGCATATTCGCCCTGCCAGTTGTTCGTAGTGGTTGATAGCAGCGTATTGTTGGGATGCTGATCGATAGCCCCTCAGTATCACCTCTGTTGGTTCTTGCACGAAACGCGGTGCCTGCGATGCGGATGCTCCGTCGTCTGCGTTGGTGGTTTGCGAAAGGTAGCTCGGCTTTCGCTGGCCATTGCCCGTGGTGATGGGCAAGCTCTGCTGGTTCGAAATGTAGTCGGAAAATATCTTGTCTGCTGATTGCATAGTCGCATCCTCGTTTCGCTTCGGTACTGGTGTGCCCGTTCTCGAGCGCGATCTTCGCGTCGACTTGCCGAAGGAGCCAGACTCGGCGACAGCACGACGTCGCGGCGAATCTCGCTGGCGGTCCGCCCTAGAGTTGTCACATAAGTTTCTATACATGGTACTTTGCCGCAAATGCGTGGGTTGCGGAATTGAGGTGTAAGTATTTGCGTACTCGGGAAAGATCATAGCATATGGTCTTTGAACTCCATCCTCGCCCGTGTACAGTTCGTCGTCGGGCACATTGTGCAGGATCAAGGGCCTCATTATGCCGTTAGCAACCCGAATTTACAAATATTGAGAACGGTCAAGTCTTTTCAATGAGGGTGGGACGTTCGAGATATTCAAAAAAAAAGTGCCAGGGTAAGGTCGACCAGATTCTCTAAGGCTTGTGTCGCAAATGCATGCAGTTCATGAACGATCCCAAAAATTACTGGCATAACAACCGGGTGGGTCCCTGCAACTTCACAGTAGGTACGTACTTCAAAAGACAGGAGCAGTGCGGCTGCTCGCACAGACCAGCCTATACTAAGAGCTATTAGCTCCCGGACAGAGCTCCATCGAGCTACTCCAAAACGGAAAAAGCTGTTGCGCAACAAGCAACGACATCATCAGCCCTCGAGCTTTAAGCATCTTATCACCCTCGTTCTATCAAGTGCTCTGGAGCCCAACACCAAGTTTAGACCAAGCCTCATTCAAGATGTTTTTCGTAAGTCATATATTCAGCTGCGCATTCTCGTAGGGGTTTATAGCTCACTGTTGTAATCTCAGCACAAGACTAAAGACATCATCACCCTCTTCCACAAGGCAGGCTCTCCAGCTTCAGTCAGAGCTGTAGCTGTTCTCAAGCAGGCGTCGGCCAATGCCAGCCAATCTGCTACCGAGGATCAAGCCAGCGACCACTCTCACCAGACCCACGCCCAGCGATCTGAGTTCGATCTGAATGTCACGGAGGATCCCCCGACGACAGACCAGCTCCAAACCATCCTGGAATATGTTGGCCAGAACAAGATCAAGTCTGTAGTGTCAGGCGCGAATACGGTGACAGAGGCGTTGAAGACGTTCAAGGAGAGTCCAGACAGCTTCAAGCGCCCCGTGGTATGTACACTCAATTATTTCAAGTATAACCCCCTTTCGTCCCATTTCTGGAAGCTGACTAAGACCATAGGTTGTGGACTGGAATAACGGCAAAGCTGTTGCCACTGAGAGCGAATCCGAGATCCTCAAGATGGTGAACGAGCTCAGCAAATAATAAACCAAACCTGTTGTCCCTATTCCCTCCTATTGTGTATATTATTGACTTATGACCTCGATTTTGCCTTGCGATTGTCTCAGCTTCGATTGATGACGTTCACATGATCTAATATTGCTTTGAAGATTATTTATTTTTTTATGAAGGGAGATTTCTGACTTTCATCGATAACTTCTTCGAACAGCGTCAAATCATCAAACCGATTGCGGCATTCGATTCCTAACGACCGTTTACGTTGGACAGTGACCTCGCATCGCACGCGAAGCGAGGACGCAAGCGATGGCGGCGCCGATGGTGATCGACGGGGGACGGGCGGGACTCGAACAGAGTTTTCACCACCCCCACGCCAACGAAAGTGCCCACGCACCGAACGTGGAGCGCACCAGCAGAAAGAACGCAGAGAGGGAAGGGATCGGAAGAGAACTACAAAAGGTAGAACAAGAGATTGCCGACTTGGTCCCACGTGAGAAGATTGAGGTCATGGGGGGTTTGATGGAGCGTTGGCTGGGGTTGAAACTAGCCGGCAGGACGCTGGAGGAGGGGGGCGACAGACCCGCCACACATGCCGACGTACTGGCAGTGACTCTGGCCCTTGCCGAAATTCCTGCGGCGATCCAGACGATGGTTGAGAAGACCATGCAGGATACGGTGAAGAACGTGGCCTTGCCTACAACTCGATCCTGGGCCTCAATCGCCTCAGGATCGGCCCAGGGACGGGGACCCGGTGAAGCCCCAGTGTGGCAGCAGCGGGTTGTAGTGCCCCAGCGAAGGGAGAGAGAGGTAGTGATCCGGGGGACAGAGGACCCTAATATGAAGAACAGATCGGCGGCTGAGGTCGTAAAAGCGGTGAACAGTGCACGCGGCAGCACCGATGCAGTGGCGGCCCGCAGGCTGCGCAGTGGCGATACCGTAGTGACGTTTAAGCAGTCGGCCTCAGCGGCGACCACGGACAGCAGGTGGGTGCGTAGTGCCTTCGGCGATAAGGCACTTCTCAACCGCAGAGAAGTTGCAGTGATCGCGAAGGGGCTGCCTGCGAAACGGCTGCGAGAGGTCCACGACGAGAGCCAGCTACTTAAAGACCTGAAGCGGGACAATACAAAGCACCTCTCTAAGGCTAAAAGAAACCTCCCCCGGGCGCCGCAAGCACCGTATGCGGCCCTGATACTACACGTGGATAGCGTGGAGGCGGCGATGGAACTATGCTCCGAAGGGCTTATTTGGGAGGCCCAGATATTCGATTGCGAGCCGTACGACGGCAATCTTCGGGTTCGGCAGTGCTACCAGTGCTACGAATACGGCCATATCGCGAAACACTGCAAGAAGACGGCGCGTTGCGGCGTCTGCGCTGCAACGGCACACCCAGGGGGTGAAAAAGACTGCCCCGAGAAGGCACCTAGCGGCAAAAAACGTTGTGTGAACTGCAAAGGGAAGCACACGGCGTGGGACAGGGACTGCCCTACGGCAGAACAGCAGCGGCTACGCGTACGTGAGGCGTACGCTCACCGCCCCCGACAATTTGAGGTCCGCAGCTACTCGGACGGGTTATCTAGTGAGGGCAGGCTCACACCACCTAGCTCATTGACCAGCGACGGGTTTACAGTTGTACGACCCCGGGGCCGCCCCCTGGGCGGATCGCGAGTGGAGCAGGAGCGAACCGAACGGTCTGCGTCAGCAATGCGTAGCTTCCTCACTAAGGGACGTACGAACGAAGATATACCATCGACAGCTTAATGGTAGTCTCTATTCTCTACTGGAATATCGCAGATTCAAAGGCGAACGCAACGCTAGCGCTGGATAAGGGGGGTGACTATGATATAATAGCGGTTCAAGAGCCATGGATCAACCGGCAGACGAAGGCGATTTATTGCCCGAAGTCGTCCAGGTACGAAGTAGTGTACAGCAGCGGCAGAGCTGCGCTATACGTCCATAAACGATACGACGTGGCTACGTTGCGACCCCGTACCGGGATGGACTGGAGCAGTATTACGTTCGGGGCAGGCCCGGACGCCCTTACAATCTGGTCTATCTATTCACCAAGCCAGACCGGGAGCCGCTGGGTCAGCCCGCTCCAAGACCTCCCTAATGGGGCGCCGGAGGGGACACAGGTCCTCGTAGGGGACTTCAATACACATCACCCGCTGTGGGACGTCCACGGACGGTCATCACGGGGCAGCGACAACGTAGTGGAGTTTGCGCGACGCTGGCGATTAGAGCTCGTTACGCCGTTCGGGGAAATCACACGGCAAAGGCACAAACAACGAGACTCAACTATCGACCTAGCCTGGGTGACGAAAGGGGCTAGGATTGATTACGATGGGGACCCGGGCCTAGAGGGCTCAGACCACAGAGCGCAAGTGATTAGGGTAATATCCAACGGGGAAGCAGTCAAGGAGGGCCGCCGCAGTGTTGAAGGGTGGAACTGGGCGATGGCGGATAAGTGGCTCATCGTAGCCGAATCAAGCCAGAGATTTATGAATTATTTGCCGGTTGAGACGATAACGGAGTTGGACCAGGCTGTTGACTGGGTTATCCGGAACCTCCAAGAGATCGCCGACGTGGCGGTCCCGAGACGCACCGTTGGCCGAGGCGCTGGGGTCCCGTGGTGGTGCCCGCAGGTTAGCAAGGCTTGCGCTGAGACGAAGAGACGACGGCGGGACTACCTCCAGGCAAGGTCGCAGACCAACTGGGACGAATATACAAGAGCCGGCCAAAAACAACGGCTCGAAATCAGCGAAGCGCAGACGCGTAGCTGGCACGAGAAGCTCGAGGGGACGGCGAAGGATCACAAAAGCCTGTGGGCACTGCAGAGGTGGGCTAGGCTACGGAGCTGGGCCCCCCCTGAGGCCCACGGCTTGCCAGATCTCCGGAGGGACGCCGGCGACACGCTTACGGCACGTACACATGATGAGAAGGCAAAATTACTAGCTGAGAGGTTCTTCCCAGACCCGTATATAGATCTATCGGACCTCGATCGCGGCCTATTACAGACGAGACCAGAGCTGAACGTCCCTAGGGAGGTGACCACAATGGATATCGAGTCTATCATCAAAGGAACGGCTGCTCGGAAGGCTCCCGGCGACGACCTGATCCCCACTGGCCTGCTAAAGGCCTGCGGTGAACCCCTATGGGAGATCCTAGCGGATCTGGCAACAGCTAGCTTTAGGCTGGGGTACCACCCGGAGCGCTTCCGCTCAGCGAGGGTGGTTGTTATCCCTAAGCCTAATAAAACGACAGCTCAGAAGCAGACCCCTGGCGGCTGGCGCCCCATTGCCCTGCTTAGCACGGTAGGGAAGGTAATAGAGACGGCGATGAGCCAGCGTATCACCAAAGTAGCTGAGGCGGCCGGCCTACTACCAAACGGCCAAATGGGTAACCGCGCTGGGAGGTCCACCGAACTGGCAATACGTATAGTTGAGGACGTGGTCTATACGGCGTGGAGACGCGGGGGCATCGCCTCGCTGCTACAGCTAGACATCAAGGGGGCATTCGATACGGTCAATTACAGACGGCTGATTTCCATATTAGCCCGGAAAGGCTACCCGGAGTGGGTTCAGGAGTGGGTACGCAGCTTCGTGGAGGATAGGACGGTACGCCTCCGGTTCGATGGCAAGGAGTCAGAGCCAATCCCCCTACGAGCTGGCGTCCCCCAGGGGTCACCGCTATCCCCGATACTGTTTATATTATACATTTCAACGCTGTACGAGGAGCTAGCGGAGCAGCACCCACTACTTTTAGTAGTCGGGTTCGCGGACGACACGAACCTGCTAAGCGTCGGCACCGATCCAGACACGACCTGCCGCCGGTTGGAGAGCGCATGGGCTACGTGTCAGCGGTGGGCAGTGAGGCACGGGATGGAGTTCGCTCCTGACAAGAGTGAGCTAATGCACTTTACTAGGGCCCGAGAGCCCTTGCCGCAAAGTATTCGCCTTGGGGACGCCACAGTGTCGCCGGTAGTCTCAGCCAGGTTCCTAGGAGTCTGGTTCGACCGCAAACTGACGTGGCACGCCCATGTTGAGCGTGTTAAAACAAAAATGGCAACTCAAAAGCTAGCCCTGACAAAGCTAGTCAATATGTCGTGGGGCTGCGATCTTATACGGGCGAGGCTGTTATATACGGTGGTTATCCGTAGCGCGATTGCCTTCGGGGCGACTGCGTGGCATACTATAAGTGAGGAACCGGCAGGGCCAGCTAAGAGCCTGATGGGGATACAGAACGAGTGCCTCCGGGTAGTCTGTGGTGCCCACAAAGCGACGCCGGTTCGCCACCTGGAAGCAGAAGCAGCAATCCCGCCACTAGACCTCTATCTTAGTGCCCGGGCTGCTAAGTTTGAAGAACGGCTACGGCTTAGCGGGAAGAGAAATCTGCTTCGCAGCGCGAGCGCTAAAGCGTCACATATACTCCGGCAGGATAGGCCGGCGAAGAGGAAGCAGGCGTCGCAGCTACTCCGACCGGCAGGGTACACTATGGAGAAGGAGGCCCGGGGCTCCGAGTGGATGAGTGAGGAAAAGGAGGTCCCGGCTGCCCTCCTCGACCACTGGAGGAAGAGATGGCTCACCGGAGCAGAGCATCACGATCGCCAGCGACGCGCTATCGCTGAGGAACCGGAGGGCCCTTCGATGCAGATACCGAAAGGGGGCAAGTATTTCGGCCTGAAGCGACTGGAGGCGTCTACGCTGTGCCAGATCAGGACGGAAAAAATAGGACTAGCAGCCTTCTTATTCAAGACAGGGGCTTTTGGCGTGTACTCGCCGCTATGCCGCTGTGGCGATGCCCCTGAGACGGCAGAGCACGTAATCCTCTTTTGCGGGCTGTTGGAAGGACCGAGGGAACGATTACGGGCCGCCATCGCACCACGGCCACTATACTCTCGCAGAGACCTCGCAACGGCAACAGGAGAACCAGTAGTTAGTGGGACTATTGTAAGATGGCTGCTAGGGACGGGTCGGACAGCTTCAAGGCCCAGATAGCATCGATCTTCTCAGGGGGGACTTTGTTGGTAGGTTGAGAACCAACGTAGTATGGTAGTGAACGCAACGCAGTCGCCAATAGGGCGAACCGACGACGCAGCGTATGTATTTAGTCCAGCCATTAGGGCACGGTTTGACATACGGGAGTACTAGTAGAGGTACCGGGGGCTTCGAGCCTACGGCGTATTTAATAATAATATTGCTTTAGAAAATGAACAGGTGCCTCATCAACTACGGTCCAGCTTGCTTCTGTGTTGTGTTCTATTTCAGATGACAGGATTCATCTTCTAGCATTATTATCTGTGAGTTCTCGAGTATTGCTCTTCGCAATATTGTTTCAGTTCTTAGCCATCCTTGAATTAAATATTCTTACATGGGCTGGTTACATAACAACTCCGAAGCGATATGTCTTTACTCGACAAAGGTCTCCGTTTGAAACACTCGCTTCTGTTCATTAGCCACGAAGCAAGAGTTCAGGATAATGCATACTCTTTGAGACGTATTTCTTTCAATTGACTAGTCTCATCAGAAACATTCGAGAAGTCGAGCATAGCGTATGAATAATGGCGTTCTGTTTCGAGTATGATTTGGTCGAGGGGATCCTAATTTGGTGGCAGGTTGCCGAAGGAATTCATCACTGCAAGGCTGCACCTACTTCAGATCGAAAACAAGTGATGTGTGGAGATATGAATTGGCAGCCTGGGTTGAAAGGATACCAATAAACAAGTCCATGTTCAGATCTGAGTGTTTATGTTCTGCTGGTCAGTTATCACATATGCCGTTCCTGATCTTTCCTGCATACCAATAGCAACTATGAACCTCTTCTGCACAACAGAAACCAAACTGGTAAATCGTCGAGAACTGACAGCCAACCTCAATCTTTATACCTCACCATTTGGGTTGGTTCTTCGTTTACTTTCTGCAACGAAGTTTTCTATACAGTGTTGTTGTGATCTTCATCGCATCAACAGTGACTTCACAACATCAACATTTTGATTTCACAACATCACTACAGGAGAATTCCGCCATTAACTCCTATATATATTTTCTCAGTGTTATTGCACCCTCAGTCTTGCGTAGGTTGATTGCTTGATTTAACTGACCTCATCTCTGCGGGAAAGTTCGCCATTGCCGTCCACCACGGCTTTTCCTACTGCATGTACTGCACCCGAGCACGTCGATTCCTCATTTTTCTCGACTTAATTTCCCAACCTTGATAGGAGATTCGGTCATTGCCATTTCATCGCATCCTTGATCTGAAGTAAGTTGAATCCTTGATTCTTGGCCTATGGTTCTCGACTTAACACCTTGAAAGGGAGCTGCAGCGTGATCACACCAGTGATTGCAAGCACGTTAATGCCTTAGATTGTCTGGACATCAACAAGACCTGCAGAAAATCTCGACGTTGCCTCAATTTGCCAGAAACCTGAGGTACCAACGAAAGTTGCAATTTAGAAGTACATCGCCCGCCTCTTCACACCACCCTAATCACTTCCGTCCCTCTCCTTACCTCCAACTCCAACCCCATCACAACTTCACTTGAGCATCACACCATTACAACGCAGGTGAAGTAGAACAAGCTTTTGATCTTGTTCATCCATTTGCATCGCGTTTGCACTTTTTTGCTCTCTGCGTTGGTTTACGGCATCACGACTTAGGTCAATTGCATTTCACCCGACTTCACCTCACCCCAAACTCGTCCTTACCTTCCCGATCCTACACACATCTCGTTGTGCAATACAACTTGGACTCCTCCTACCATTGCAACGCGTCACAACGCCATAGCTTGCCACGATGTCTTCAATTTCTTCTCCCGAGTCATCGTATGCCCAGGCTGGCCCGCCTCGATCGCTTGCTATTGATGCCAAACACTATCTCGATGGGGAGCCTCCGATGGGATTCTTTCTCAATGCTCCTAGTAATGCTCACGCAATGTTCTCGACCAAACGAGGCAAACAGCAAAAGAAAAACCTGACTGATATCGTTGCCCCTCGCGTGATCTACCCTTGGTCAGCCAGACAGATCGACGAGGTTGCCCACGACATTCTGGCTTGCAACCGTGAATTCCTCAAATACCTCTACCGTCGTCAGCCGGTCTGTTACTTTGATCTTTACAACTGTAAGTCAAACCGCCTACCTCATGCCTATTCCATTGTGTCGAAGTTATTTACTAACACATTAGTTAATAGATTGGGATACCTATGAGCTGTGGCACATGGGTGTCCAGAACTGCTGGAATGTTCTGAACCATCTACATTTCCTTGCACAGCAAGAAACTCCCGTTCTCATCAAGAAAATTCGTGGCTTTCTCGAAGAGTGGCTGGGTGACATGCTCAAGGACTCTGGTCTTCGCATTCGACTGTCCATCTGGGACTCTACCATTGGTAGTGATCCCCTGAATGACGTATTTGAGGGCGACGAGATTGCCGACTTGGACGGTTTGGACGCTTGGTGGACTCCTCTTGTCAACGAAGTCATTTTCAACGCTCACAAGCAGCTTCGAGAAGGCACCTATGTGCTTCCTGTTCCCACTACTGATGAACCCTCCACTCCTTCCAACCTTGAAGCTATAAAGGCCTCTGCTGATTTAGACACACCCACCTCTGTCGATGAGTCTGCGACTGACAACAAGGCCACCAATGGCATTGTAATTGTTGATGGAACTTGCACAACTGCCGCCAAAAGGCTGAGGGCCGATGCTGTTGCTGCTGCTGCTGCTACCGGTATTGAGGGTGTCGCTTCTACCACTACATCAGAGGCCATTAAGGAGCCGCAGGCATCCACAGATGCTGCCATTTCGTCTGGCACTGAGTCGGCTGGATCGATTGCTCGGATCGACAATCCAAAAGTAACCGATGAAGCAGAAATTAACAAACTCCGCCCGGTTTCCGCAGTCACGACTGCAGCCCCAAACCCAAACGGTACTTGGTCTGGCCTCGCTCCGCCGGCTCCCACCATTCGCATCTCAAGCGCCCCAACCATTGCAACATCTTTCGACAATGGTGAACCCTCCGATAAAAAGAACGAGAGCAACGCGGGAAATCAGAAGTCTGCAGATGGAGACTTCCTCATCCAACCCAAGGGACCTGACCCTGGCATTGAGATTTACAGTGACAACCCACCCGTGACAGACTACCGTGAGTGGGAAGGCTCACTAAATGATTATCGTTGCAACCCTGACTACTTCGCGCGTACCAGCCTCCAAGCTGGACCCATTGAGGCCAGAAAGATAGGTATGCCAATGGCCAAGCCCACTTTCGCTCGCCAACCTCCAACAGCGCCCAGAGCAGATCGCCTGGCCTTGCAGCGTGTGTCTTCGAACGAGTCGTCTTCTGGCTCCCCGGGTCCTCGAACGCACGTACCGGCCTACTATGAGAGCCGCAACCAGTTCAAGAAGGGTGGCGCAAATTACAAGAATATCTGCAACAACCACAAGTGGAATCGCAACGTTTCTGCTTTCGACCAAGTCGGCTTTCCGGCTCAACAATCGCATCGCTCTGCGAATGGGTTCAGTGGTCCTTACTACCCTTTGCAGGGGCAAGGCCAAGGCTTCGGCCAGCGCAAGCGCCAAGCTGAGCCTAATTATGACGGCAGTCGTCTTTCGCGACCGGACCGTCACGCCGATTTGCATGGTAGTGTCTGCCGACACGCCGCCGCGACCCAGAATGCACAGTCTGGTCTTTCTCAATCACGAAACCAGAATGCTAACGTTTCCAACCTTGCCAACGATGTGGCTCCTATAAGTGGCTCCGTAATGGGCCCCAAACCTGACTTTGTTACCAGTCCACCGTATGCTCCCAACCAGACCAGCAATGCAGGCCCTCGCTTCTCCTATGACGAAAACAACCGAAGTCGTCGGGACACAGACTCGTCTAGAAGCTCGCGAACCCCTCGGTTCTCCGACTGCAAGAATTATGCCAAGCATAAACATGGTGACGGGCCCAAAGGGCGACCCGAGCACCAAACCTACGTCGATTGCGCCTGCTTTAGATGCAAGAATTTGAATCGCAGCATCTGGGTTGGCTCCTTCGATGATCGATTCACGTCCATGCCTGAGGCCCGGAGCGCGCTGCTGCAACACTTCTCTCCCTATGGCCCAATTGAGGCCTACGAAGTCAAGTCTCAGGGTCGCGGCGCTCTGATCAGGTAATAAAAAACCCCTTTGATGCCCCTTCGTGCCTGTTGTTTCGTTTGCTAATAGGCGTATTTCTAGATTCCTTGAAGAGCGTTCCATCTGGGAAGCCATTAAGGCCAACAATGGCAAGCCTATTCCGGAGATATCGGATCACCCGGTCAGAGTTAATCCGCCTATTGGATCCATGCACTTCGTCCCCTTCCGCCCGTTTACGAAGGGTCAGCAAAATTCCCAAGGGCATCATCACCACTCGGATCATACCACTCCCAACGCTCATCAACCCCATGAAATGCCAACCTCGTTCCCGCCTGAGGGCAATGCCACATCACGAAATATCCAGGGACCTGTCTCACAATCACTTGCAACTATATTTGTGGATCCTGTTCGCGTGGACGATGTACTTGGCCATCGCGGCTTCCCCACGTTGTCCACTATTAGTGATGTGCCGACTCAAAGTGAAGAGTCTTCTACTGAAGGTCCTGGTCAGATGAAGCAAAATGCAGCGTCGCCACCTCCTGTTGAGAATGAGCAAGACCCGATGTCCGCAAACCCTGAGCAGAATGAGGAAGAGACCAACCCAAACCTTGTCGTCCCTACTCCAAATGACGATACCACAAAACCCTTTCCCAATGAGATGACAGGGCAAGATGCGGACGCGCATATCACTACTCTTCCCAGCGACGGCCGGCACAGGCCTGCTCACGACTCAACCTTGGTGCTCAAGAATACTGAGACATCAGTTGTCACCCCCAAGCGAAATGCAACTTCAAGCGAGAGGAGAAAGGGCTCGGATTCTAAGAGTTCAAGGTCAGATGAGCTTGTTCGCAAGATTGAGGAGGTCTGCGCCACTGCTTCTAGACAAAGCAGTCGTTCTGGGACCCCGACCCGTACAGAAAGGCGTACTCAAAAGAGCTACGCCTCTGCTACGCCTGCAGCGAAAACTGCTGCTTCAAGTGAGAAATCGCTTGATCAGGGTGAGGACTTATCTCCCCCAAGGAACGGGTTCGATCTGAAGAAGGAGATTGGCGGTGACATCGCCGATGGAACATGCACTGTCGTCCGTCGTCCGCACAAAGCCAAATACTTGCCTCTCACATCGGAGATCTGGGCTCAAAACACTTCCACGGATGATCATGGTCTTACATCAAACACTGTCGTAAGTTCTTCTGAGAATGCAGATGCCAGTGAGGCAGCTTCAACAGGTGTTGTCAATGAGGCTCAAAATGGCAAGAACAGGCGGAAGAGCCAGCGCAATGATGGCATGGCATCCTATGCGCAACCAACGGGCCAGACTCCTTTGCAGGAAACCCCTGCCGACTCAGAGATACTCAAGCAGCATGCGCCCGGTCCTTAGCAAGGAAAGAGCAAAGAAGGTTTCAGTACTTTGAACCCGGCGGGCCACGATCTCCACCATCAGGGTCTCTCAAGCAATGATCTGAGATCCAGTTCTGGTTCGCCGTCCAAGAAGCCATGTGAGAAAGGCCTCTACAGCCGCCAGAATCGAGCAGGTGACTACAATAGCCAGAATAACAGCAGCGTGATTCGGAAGCAACGTGGCTTCACCAACCGCAATGCATATGGAAATCAACAATCCGGGCCTCGAAGGAGCGTACCGCAGGAACCGTCATTCACGTACCATAACATGGACTTGCAGCCCCAGTTTACCAACCCTCCATCGAACACAAGCGCTGTCCCCATGAGCTGGAGCCCGCATACTCAACACTTGGGTCACCTTCAGGAGGATTACGACAATCGTGTTCGGATGATTCCATCATACTATGGCCCCGGCATGATGCCAATGTATATGGCGCCACTAGTGCCGATGGGTCACCAAGACGTTCCTGCAGTTGGCTTTCGAACGGCCAGTGCCCCAATCCAACAGAACAATGCCATGACTCCTGCCAACGTGAATAGCTCCCCAGTTCGCCAGAATGAAGTTTTGGCTCCTTCCGAGATGAGCAGGCCCCTTGTTCATAAGAGTAAGGCTATGCCTCCTTCGAGCGTGAATACCTCTCCGGTTCACACAAACGATGCTACGGCGCCTCACAGCACAAACAATTCAACCCCGGTTCATCCTTCAGCACTAGAAAAGGACGGTTGTCCTGAGCCATTCCCAACATACCGCGACCCCATCATGTATCCTCCAAGTCCAACGCCTAAAGGTCAATCCCACTCTGCTCAAGTTACTACTATGATTGGAGATGCCAAAGGCAAATCTGGTAATGTCGCTGACATGAAGACCAAACTGAATCCATGTGCTGCCGTCTTTGAATCGCCAACGCATCCAGCAAGGACAAAACAGCCAAGCAAGGGTGACGGACTCGCGGATGCCTGCAGCCAAGCAGCCTCGACGCCTTCCAAGGAGCAGGACAACAGAGCTATTTCTCATAACGCGGTGGGCGCCTCGTCGTTCATCCCGTTATTGCCACCCCCTCATGATGTCAGTGACACAAGCTCCCACACCTTGTCTGCGGATGAGCAAAGTGTCCATGAGAGGCAAGAAAAGAGTGGAGAGGTCAAGCATGATGTGGCCAAACAAGAGCCTCCCAAGCATGAACCGATTAAGCATAACGTACACCGACGTTCTCAGTCTGACATTACCCCTTCATCGACAGCAACGAGCTTTGGTGTGAACCAGTGCAACAAGGAGAAGGATGGCAAGAAACCTGCGAAGAAGAACAGAAACAATGGCCCCAGCAATAAGTCTTCTGGTGACGACACAACAGATGCCAACAGCGGCCCCAAGTTACGCAAGCCGAGCCGTAAGTACACATCACAGGCACAGAAACGAAGAGACAACGTCCCGAGCCATTTAGAGAACAAACATGACCAAACCCAGAGCCCCCAAGAACCGTCACCGAAGGTTGGTCGCCCGGATAATTACGACGAAGAATTTCCTGCTCTGGGATTCAAAGATGACGGTGCCCAGCCGGGACCGACAGAACCAGTAACTCGTTTCTTCCGAAAGCCCAATCGAGTCTCCACTGCCACAATGTCAAACTCGGCGATGTCCACAGAGGATGAGGTGCCTGGTGCTGCCAATCGAGAATCCTCGCCGACAAAGGTTGATGAGAAGCCCGGGGCAACTGAGAAGACCTCGTCTAGCGATGCTCCTGAAGCGGCTCAACCAGGCGCTTACATGCAGACGGACACTAACAACAAGCTTTCTGGCAAGCACAACCGTAACAAATCGGCCTGCAAATCTCCGAAGAAGGGCAAGGGGAAGCAGACAGCTAAGAAGAGAGCGCATGATACACAAGCTGCAATTGCTTCCACCTTGGCTTCTACGGCTAGTGTCGTTGACAGCAGCAAAGGCAAGCTCTCCATGACAGATTTGTCTTCAAACAACCCTCAATCTGAGGCCCCTTCTTCCACCGCCCCCAGTCCTTCCAAGACAAAGAAGAACAAGAAGAAGTCTTCTGGCAATAACTCACAAGTCCTACTTTCCTCACAGGAACAACAGCACCTTGCTGAAAGTATAAGATAGCGACATTGAGCCCCGAATCTCCTTCAAGCGCTCCGACGGTGGACGAAAAGAAATGTCCAGCAAGGCCGACGGCCGCAAGGGAGGTTAGATACTCGTTGGTTGGATACCCCAGTGACCTGGTATGATCTCTTGGCTATAGAGCGTTTTCTGGAGAGGTTGATACCCACTCATTTGCATTCGCATTGCGATACTCAACTTGATCCACCTTGATGCATCGTTGTGTCATATGACACAATGGTGTATGTTTCTTTTGGTCCCCTCGTGAGTTGCCGAGTTGGCAGTGTGGGGGAAAAGCACAGGAACGTACTCTCTCAAAATTAAACCCTTCGCAGAAACGCCGACGTAGGCAGATGAAGTATAACTCTCTCACTATTTGCGCCCTCTCCCTGAGTTCCGACATTTTCGGTCGTAGACAGCAAAAACAAAGAAAATGATATGATCAGCGTCAGTCAACGTTCAGAACCTATGTGGTTTCTGTATATGGACAAGGCGCTCGGAGTTGGGTCTCTGGATCTCCATGGGGGAGAAAGAGATATTCCTTGTTACGTAGGAGTAGTCGCCACGAGGCAGGACAGGGCTCCCTTTACTCGGTAGCTGCATCAAAAGCCGTTGATACCCCATTTCCATCCCTGACATTGTGAATGTTCCCGCGACTTAGCCATGAGACTTTGCATGTTCCCCATACTTCTTGTATAGACTCCCAATCATGCTTTTGAAGAATGTATGTATTCACAAGTGATACAATCCATCGTACTGAACGCAGCCCCTAATCGTGAGCCTGCCTCTATTCCCGCCATTTGTTTTTTCTTTGCTGCACCCTTTTCCTCTTTTTGGGACCATATCATACAGCCTCCTCCTTAACGAGCGTTGTGACAGCGTCCTCGATCTGCTTATCCGACAACCCCTCCAAGCTCTGGCTCTTCTCCTTTCCGAGAGCTGTGTCCCAGTATGTTAGCAATCGAGCCGAATCGAAGCCCCAAAGGTGATAGCAGCAGGCTGCGGGAAAGGACAATGGATGGACGGACCGTATCGTGCATACACCCTGGGCAGGGTGCCAGCCGCTTCGCGCAGCATGATGGGGGTGTTGGGGTTGCTCTTCTTCATGGTCGGATATGCTCTCATCAGGAATGATCTGTACACATATAGGGACTCGTTAGCATGGTTTCCATTGATGTGAGAAGCTAGGGTGGCTCCTCCCCAGGAGACGTGGACTTGCCTCGTCGCAGCACTGTGCTCGCCCGTTTGGCAGAAGAGGAATCGGACCTCCTTGAGAGCCGTAGTGAATGCATATTTGCCCGACATGTTGGTTTGGTGTATGCTCCAACGGTCTCTTCAATTGCGCAGCGAACAAGCAGTAGCAGCAGTTCTGAATGCGACGTTGGGGATAGCTCCAAGGTACCTCTCGGGTATGTGTATTGTCAATAGCTTGACGTTGAGTGGATTGCATAAACGTTGGTCCAGTGCCCACATGCAGTGTTATGCATATATGGCGTAATTATGAAGCTCAGAGTCAATTAATTTTCACAAAATTTCTGGCACTGCTGCTCCAAGCTCAACCCCGATTATCTCCGTGGACAGGAGGACCCCAACTGACTGGCCTGCCAATATCGGACCTCCAACCCAATCCAATCCAATCCAATCCAATCCACTCGCGATTCTTGCTCACTGTCCTACTGCCCATCAGAGCCGGGTTAATTGTCGTCATCATCCCATTCCCGACGACGACCGTCTCGTCTTCCGCTTTCTCCGCGAGACTTCTTCCTCTCCACTCCATCAATCGGTCCGTGTGAAGAAAAAACCCCCCCAAAAAAATTATGCCAGCCACAACGACCCTCTTCCGCGCCGCGCGGCCCATCTTCCAAGAATCAGCCTTCGCCTCCCAGACTTCTCGGACGGCCTTCTCGCGCTCGACGGGCTCCCGCAACTTTTACCAGAAGACTGGCAGCGGCCGCCGGTACCAGAGCACCGCATCCGATGGCGCCGCTCAGGCGAGTTGGGTCTCGCGCATGTGGAACAGTCCCGTGGGGTTGAAGACGGTGCATTTCTGGTAGGTTTGTTGCTCGTCGCTCCGGGTAATCATGTTTTGAGCGTTGCGGATCGGCGCATTGAGAACGATCAAACATCTCGCTGGATATTTGACAGGACGTGAAACTGAAAGAAGCTATTTGGATGGTGCGCTGACGGGTTATAATAACGCAGGGCCCCTGTCATGAAATGGGCACTCGTCCTCGCCGGCGTCTCCGACTTTGCGCGTCCCGCCGAGAAGCTCTCCCTGACGCAGAACGGCGCCCTGACGGCGACTGGTATCATCTGGACGCGGTGGTGCTTCGTCATCCGTCCCCAGAACTATCTGTAAGCTTCCCTTACCTGCCGTTCTTCTAGACAATCCCCAGACGCTGTTTTCGCCCTGTGCCCACGCATAACTCAGAACTGACGGTTCGTGCTGCACAGTCTTGCAGCAGTCAACTTCTTCCTGGGATGCGTCGGTGTAGTCCAGGTGAGCCGCATCCTCATGTGGAAGCAGTCGCAGAAGTCCCTCCCAGCCGCCGCCGCCGACGTCAAGGCAGAGGCCAAGGATTAGGTCGAGCAAGTCAAGGACGTTGTTAAGTCATAAGACGGTACATATGTTGCCATGACACGAGCAGCGAGAAGACGGGATTGGGAGAGCCGCAGAAAGGATCGAGAATCCCCCCTTGACCTCTGACTGGCCTACAACCCAAGACTCCCCTGTCACCTAGCTAACTGTTTTCTTGTTCATTATATCGGGCACAGGGAGTTGGGCAGTATGACTGACCTTGGCTTCCGAATGATACTTTTGACCTCTTTTTCCCGGGGGGTTTGGTAGGAATCAGTGAGTGACCATGTTGTTCGCCGTGAATTAACTTTTGAAAGAGAAACCTTGCAACACTCTGAAATTCACCTATCACACCCGTGGTTTACTTCAATTTTGAGTCAAGGAAGAGCGATCAGTGACCACTTACTCACCGCGGCCCCCGAGTACTCTATGCGGGTCGAGGTCCATCATTGATGGTCTACATACACTCCTTTCGGATTCGTGACTTGTTCTCATGATTTCGTGGGCTCGATTCTCAAACATCAATGGGGAATGGATATGCCAGCTCTCGTAGAACCTTGCCAAGTCCAAGCGTGGGTGTAGTGTAGCAGGACGTGGACTATGTGCTCCATTCTTGACACGTCGTTAGAGTCGGACTGCTGCTGTAGTTCTCTTCGCCAAAAAGGGAGAGACCACTGTAGCAGCAAATTATCTGGCCGACACATTCAAAATAAGAGTTAAATGTAGTAATCAAAGTGATTATATTTGCTGCCTCTCATATCTCAAGTCAACAGCTCAGCTTTTAACTACGGGGTATTTCTCAGCAATTAACTTCCCGATTCTCCCTCCATCCGAATTCTTTCGCACGTCTCCTGAAAACACCAACGTTCCTCATGCAAGCATTGTTGGTCAAGGTGTGTAAGGAAAGACAAGGGAGAGAGAAAACCAGACGCCAGGTCCAATGGCCCCCACTCCTCCCCCCTCTCCCCCTTCTCCCTTTTCCTGTTGGTGTATCCTCGAATGCCATACCATTGGGAGAAAAATTAAAAACGCTCGAATGCGTGTCGCAAAAAGAAGCCAAGTAGTACTCTTACAAAGAGATCATGGGGGTAACTAAACAGCTTTCTTGTTCATTCAGTCATGTCGTGATCTTTATTTTGTGTCCTTTGGCCCTTTCCTGGCCGTTGTATGATGCGAGTCGACTTGAGGAAAAAAAAAGCAGAAAATGATTTCCATCCATACCAAACCAATGCCGTGATCATCTGTGTATGAGGTCTCATTAGAAGAAAAGAATTGTAAGAATCCAACGCCTCGCCAACCCGTGTTGCTCTAGGAAGCCTGCCGTGGAGCGTGCAAATACGGGCCATGGGTGTGATTCCGGTATCTACACAGTTGGCGTCTTGCGATAAACCTGCTGAATGAACTCCTCGACAACCGGTGGAGCGCTTAGTAGTCTGGGGGGGCCTGGAGGGAGATCTTCGCGGCCAAATTGGTTCGTCAGCTCTGGAGGGTCGTCTTGGAAAGGATCCTCCATAGCCGTAGACGCTGGTACTAATCCATTCTTCGGCTCCGTCTTTGGATGGTTTGGCCAGGGGTACAATGCTCGGAGCGAAGAGTTTCTTGGTGGGTGTTGCAAGCGCTGCGTGAGCTCATCGGTGGGAGGAGTCGGCAGTGTGGCCGGAGTGTCCTACATCACCGAGCACTCGCCTTCTTGCTGCTTGCCGATCTTACTTCGCGAGATGCGCTCTCGTGGTCGCGGACCATTCTTCCCGGCTCGTTTCAGATCTTCCAGGCGCTCGCGAGCCTTGGGGAAATCTTGGGCTGTACATTGTCAGTCTTGTATATACTACGGGGTTCAATTGTGCAGAAACTCACCAGCAGCTCGCCAGTACCATCGCTTTGCATCCTCCAAATTGGCAGGAACTCCGATGCCGACTTCGGTGAAATAGCCCATAGCATACTCCGCCTTCGCCAGGCCGGCCTGCGCTGCTTTTCTGGCCCATAGGTATGCTTCTGTGTCACTCTGTTGGAGCGTTCCTTCGCTGCCAGTCAGATACCAACCACTCAGAGCCAGCTCAGACTGATGTTCCTCCTGGGTTGCCGCCCGGGAATACCACATTATAGAAGTCCTTGGGTCGACTGGGCAACCCATGAGGCCGTATTCGTAAGCGCAACCCATCCTGAACTGGCTGAACTTGTAGCCGAGTTGCGCAGCTTGCTCAAACAGGCTCAAAGCATAAGGTTCGTCCCGAATAATGGTATCGTTTGGCTGAGCCGACTCGTACAACAGACCAAGCTCGTGTAGCGCATGCGGGTTCTCGGCATCGGCACGCTCTGCCGCCCTCTTGAGCCAACCGACAGCCTCGCGAGGGTTCTTAGGCTGACCAAGCAGTCCTTTGAGCATGATCATTCCAACCTTGTACATCGCAGGCGTGTCGCCGAGCGTGGCGGCTCGCTTGTACCACTGAATCGCCTTGAGCGGGTCCTTACGCGTACCACCTCCATCTTCGTTGCCGATTTCACAGCAAACAGCCGTTCTGTAGGCGGCTGCAGCGTGACCCAACTTGGCAGCAGCCTGGTACAAAGTGAAGGCCTCCTTGTTGTCAGGCTCCGTTCCCATAATGCCTCGTCCCATGGAATCCGCCAGGAAGAACATGGCGTCGGAATTCTGAGCATTGACGAGCTTCTTCAGAATCTTGTGCGCGTCCATGACATAGCGTTCCCGAGCTCTTGATCGCGACTTGGGGTCTGGAAGTCTCGGAACGAGGACGTCGGCAGCTTCAACCAATTTTTTGGCAAGGCTGAGTGCCGATTGCTGATCGTTGGGATTTGTCTTGATGGTAGCACGCAAACGTTCCAATTCTTCCACCGTCACTGGAACATGTTGGATCGAAGGCGGCCGCCCAGGCTGCCCAGGCTGTGGAGGCTGTGGAGGCTGTGGTGAAGGTCGTCCCTGGGCCATAGTAGCTGCTGGAGGCGGACCATTGTAGTTACGCTGGGGCGCAGGCTTGTCGTTCAAGTTGACCATGGAGCCCTGCATCAATCCAGGTCGAACCGGAGCTGGATGGCCGTTGCCTGGGCCAGTCTGTGGTTTCGGAGGCGCGGGTCCATTAGGCAAACCTGCCGGTTGTCCGTTGTACGCTTGAAAACCGCCGCTGGGAACGGGCGGCATCTCGCCAGCCATCTCGAAGACTGCAGCCTGTGGCTCACGCAAATTCGGTTGGGATTTCGTTCGACTCATCTCAGGGACACGAGCAGGACCTGGTTGAGGCATGCCAGGCATCGCATTAGGCATCGCACCAGGCCCAGGTAGCATATGTTGCTCGAATGAGCTTCGCGATGGCTGGGCAGGTGCCGCGTCAAAATCGGGTATATCGGTGGGCTGTGGTCCAGGTCCGGTGCCATTCTGGGGAGGGTATTCGTTGTCGCTGTTTTGTGGGTGATAGTAAGCGTCATAAAAGTCGCCGAACGAGGCCCGCACTCGTGGCTCGTTTGCCCACGACGGATTCGGAGCTTGATAGTCGTCGAATTGCGGCTGGGGCTGAGGTGGAGGAGGAGCAGGAGGCCCTTGGTTCGGGTACATTCTGTGCGGTGGCGGACCGCCCCCTCCAGCTTGCGCAGTCGACGGTCTCGGAATGTTGCGACCGGCCGGGCCGTTATAAGGAGAACTGTCGCTGCGGGCTGGCAATCCACCATTGCGCATGCCCATCGGCTCGACATTGTTTGGCATTGTCATGCTTCGTCCTGGTGGGCCGAATCCATCCCGTACAGGAGACATTGGCGCGCCATATCCGTCGTCACGATAGCCTCCGTAGCCCTGGTCTTGAGGTGGCCCTCTTCTTGGATCAGGGTAGCCTTGAGGTGGTCCTCTCTGACCGTCCATGGAAGGCCTCCCACCGCCGCCATAATCATCCATGCTTGGAGCCCGCCGCGGCGGTCCTCTCATCGACGGGTCGCCGCCTTGGCCGGGCGGAGGTCCCGGCCTTCTTCCACCCGCACCGCCTGGCCCTGGGCCTGCACCTCCACCTCCACCTCCACCTGCACCTGCATTCATGTTTAAATGTGCCATGTCATCCAGAATTCGTACTTCTTCGTCGAAGTCGGACTTCCTATTTCGGCCGGGAAATACCGGGAAAGGACTACCAAAGTCTCTTTCGGCAGGACTCAGTACAGGAGGTCCTACCCGATTTGCTGCCAGGATTAGCGTTTGAACCAATTGCCGTCACCATCAATGCTTGCAGCTGCTTACCACTCGGATCTGACGAGGCTGATCGGTCGAGGGGGCCAGGTCGACCTCCTCGGCCAGGCCCTAGAAATCCACCGCGCCCTGGTCCCGGCCCACCGCCTCTTGGTCCTCCTCTCGACATCGGCCCTCCCCTTTGCATAGGTCCTCCTCTCCCACCAGGTGGCATGGGTCGACCACCTCTGCCGGGACCTCCTGGACCTCCCGGACCCGGGCCATAATAATCTTGTTGCCGGTAGCCTTGGTTCGGCGGGGGACCTCCTCGTCCGTAGCCCATATCTTGCGGTGCACCGTAGTCAGGCCCAGGTCCAGGCCCGTACCCATTATCGTATTGATCGTATCCATAACCATATTCTTCTGGATAATGCTCAAATTGCGCTTGCTGCGGTTGGGGGAAGTTGCCTCCTCCTTGAGGAGCTGGACGCCGTGCAGCTGATCCTGCGTAAGGCCGCTGCTCTTGGTATCCTCCGTTGTACGCCATCGTCCTTGGTGCGCAAGTCGTATACTAATTGGCGACGACGTCCGCTCTTCCTTTCTGCGGTGTAGAAGGCAGCGACCAGCCTTACTCGCGTAATGCAACTTCAGATGTTCGTTCGCATAAGACCACCCTTTGCGTCCTTATTAGGCGAGCCTCGGGTTTCTGTGCACTCATAAACATTCCATACGGTAAAGTTGTCGGTTGCCGATGTGGGGGGGGGGGGGCTGTAAAGCGTCGTTCTGGTTAAAATAATAGTAAGATGCCGAGCTCAGATGCAGGTTGCGGCTGTCGCGTAGGCTGGGATGCAGTGGGATCAGTGGGATATTTCCAGTAGACCACAGCTGGTGTTTCGCCTCGGTGTTGATCGCCAGTTTCGGCAGGCCTCTGAATGCCGAAGCGCAGTGGGTTCGGGGATTGGCCGATTCGAGTTCGACGAGACAGGCGTGTCGCAGCAGTGGGCGTAAGGATGAAGAGGTTGCGGGGCCAGAATTTGGTGTCTGCAGGTGTCAAATCGGGCGCGAAACTACTGCTGCAGCCACCAAAACGGCCAGACAAGGCAGGAATGGAGGAATGGGGGAATGGGGGCGAGTGGTTATTTCAGAGTACTAGTACTCAGAATGGCGCGAGATGACAATAACGGCGAGAGGAAAGCCCGGTGTGTGATACGTCACAAAACGCGACGTCCTCCAGGGGGTTCTCCAAAAATCGAGTTTGAGAGTTTGATGTGATATGAAGGGCCGGAATCCACAGTCGCCGTTCGTCGGTGAATTATGTAGCGTTTTGAGGTCTGGGGTGTTTGTTGACTCAGGATGGTAACATCGGCACCTGAGTAGCTTGTAACGCTGTGGTGGAAGGGTGCCAGTGATGGTTGGGACGGGACAAGACTGCTCAAGCTATAAGTCCAAGAGTCAGAGGAGATGAAGAGGGCTGTCGAGGACCAAGAAAACACGGAAACAGCCTCGAAAGAATGTCTGAGACCGCGATCGATTGTCTTTGGACCGGGTGCCGGCTACAATTCAAAGAAAGACCAAGTCCTCTGCAATGCACGATGATTTTACGGGGAATCCCAGCGTCTATTAATGTGTAGATGCAGCGAATTACTGTACTGGCGTGACTTTTAGCACTTGCGGGAACAATCCACATAATGGATGTCATCAATCAATGCAGCAGCTGCGCCTAACCTCCCAGATTACCACCGCCTATGTGCCTTACAAGTAGAGAGCCCGTTATAGCCATGCTCCACGGCATACATTCCTCGAGCTCCCGGGCTGTAGGTTGGCGGGGCTGCTGTCCACGCCTCTGTCGTCCATGCATCCATGCATCTTGTTCTCCCCATTCGTCCATAAGTTGTTGTTATTCTGAGATTGCCGCCTTCTTTGAAACTTTTGACGGCTTCCGAATTGACTTTGGTACCTCGTCCCACCGCAGCATTAAATATATCAATATGCACCGAGAGCTGATGAACAAAGATGACAACAGGGTGAAGACACACAGTGGTTCCAGTCTAAGACACCTAAACCTAGGAGATTCCCGGGGGTCGGCTGGGGTTGGCGGGGGGAGGTTTTTCGTACTTCTTTCCTTTGTCCCATCACGCACGAAGCTATCTACACAGTGAGAATCGGTGCATTGAAGTGCATTTGTGGCATCTAACCATTGCTTCAATGCCTCGCCGGGAGGCAGCTTGTCCTACCAAGTGGTGTATCAAAGTCGACAAGGGTTTCATGTCGCAACGGCACTCATTGGTGGCCTGAACCCTGCCTCCCTGCAGCCTCTATCTCTGTTCTTCTCCAACCCCTCTCTACCCATGGCCGGGATGTCAACTCAAAAGCTGAGAAAAGTCAAAGTCGTCAGATATCCAGGGGCCTTTCCAAACGTCAATGCGCATCTCATAGAGATTTGATGTTGGCATTGCATCATGATACATAGAGGTGTCGAAGCATCTGTTGAATGACGGTGTACAGCGGCATCCATGAAGTGGCTTTGCTTGCGTCTTTGATATCATGGATGCCCTTGGGACTTCGGAGTAGATATTTGATGGCAAGTAACTCGAGTGGCTCGCTATGGCCTTTTGACTTTGTACGACTTTAGGATTCAGGATTCAGGATCCAGAACTCAAAATATCAAATACGTCTTTGCTGAACGTCAACTGTAAAAGTCAGAACGGCTGCCCAGACATGCAACTCGTGTATATAGGCACAGCTATGGATGGAGGTTGCCAACAACCAAACTCTGTTCATCACATCTGATCTTCGTACAGCCAGCACACCAGCAGTTATCGTCCGTGTGGCTCTTCGCGGGATGAACGACTGTCACTGCATACTGGACTCGGAATAACTCTTGGGCCAACATGTTGTGAGGCCAAACAACTTCGCCACCGTGTTCACCAGGTCAGGCCCGATGGACAGGAATTGGAAGATGGCCATCCACCAATCTACATGACAAAAGGGGTATCGGGAGGCCTCGTACTGCTGCGTAGAGGCGCAGATCTTTGGAATGCTATCAAAAATATCACCAACCACCCTGCGTGACCAATTGGCAACGAGAGAACATCAACATCCAACAGATGGAGGCAGCACAAGAGGCCCGTTTGCGCTAATGTCCGCTAATGTAGCCACGGGCCGAGGAGGTCGTTTAAGTCCAACATTCCTAGCTAGGGCTTGCGCCGCGTAAAGCGGACGCCACCACACGGCATCTTGTTCCGCCGCCAACGATACTAAAGACGATTGGATGCTAGGCGCCCAAGTGACTACGGCGCAGCACTCGCGACATCTTGGAATCCGGTTTTGTGGATCATTTTCAGCTGTAATAAGCTGGTAGTCGCACAACGTCACCCCTGGGAGCGATCATGCAACGACCTTCCATGTCATGATTCTATGCAATGGAAATCGAAGACGCCCTGGCGACCAGGCAAGCAAACTCTAGTAAGTTGCAAAGTTATCGCTCGGGTAATGATTCTCCGACGTTCGAAGAGGATCTGCGAATCACAATGGGAATGAATTGTCTCGCTTAGTGCTACCTGGGAACCACCCGACGCAATACCTGTTTGGTAACGGGTAACAAACAACCGCGATGTGAACTTGGCCATCTTGTATAATGTAAAACAAGTAAAGCAAACACATGGAGGACATGGGAATTACTGTCTCTCATATTTCAATATGTTGCCTTTTCCGCCTGGATCCAACCCTGGAGCAAAATGGCCATCCATCTTGGTTAATTTGAGTTTGAGTTGCAGGGAGCAGCCACACAACCCAGCCACAGCCGGTGCATTAACCGCTGAACCCCGGATTTGAGCTCGTCATGGAATTTTGTACTTATCGATTCGATTAGCGCGGTCTATCGCCGCGGCCATTTGGGTCACCCAAAATACCCCAGTCCTCGCAACCCTTGGAAATCACAAACAAGATGGCGGGAAGGCAATCCAAAATAGGCACATGGCTCAAGATGCTGGCAGTGTAAGTTCAATGCTCCTTCCCTTCCCTTGGCTCCATGTCCCCCATAGCCGGTGCGAGCGAGAAACGAGAACTTGCGGCTAACCCACGGTTGTCTATCCGCAGCGGCGGCGGAGTCTGCATTGGTGGTCCAGCATTCGTCTTCTGGGTCCAGCCGAGCGACGAGGAGCTCTTTAAGCGCTACAACCCCGAACTACAGAAGAAGAGCCTCAACCGGAAGTTCGAGAGGCAAAAGGAGTTTGATGATTTTGTCTGCCAGCTGAAGGAGTTTTCCAAGTCGGACAAGCCGAGTACGCGACGCCTTATATACACGCCCCGTTTCTGTTGCGAAGGAATGACGGCTAATTCTTGGAATTGCAGTATGGATTGTACAGGAAGAAGCGGCGCGCAAGTTCAAGGAGGCCAGGCTGCAGGAAGATGCTAAGAAGGCAGAGGAGGCCAAGGCAAGGAAAGAGGCGATGCGGAAGGAAGCCGGTATAATCGGGGACGAGTAGTCGAGGACGCAGTGCTAAACTGCAAAACATTCTGGTCGATGTATAAACAAAGGGAAAGGGTACGGCTTTGCACATCTCTGGGGCGTTCTGTGGAATTATGGGTTTTCAACGGGAAGAGGAGTGGCCTCGAACCAATTCTCAAGGTAGAACGAGAGGCTCGGTTTGGAAAAGACTCAAACTGGCCGTCGTCAAACGGAACACTCATCTCGATTATGTATCACCAGCTGTAGCAGTGGCAACAAGATCAACCATGCCATACGATCGTTGCTGTCTTCAGCTTTGATGAGTGGACGCGGGGCGTGTGCGCATTAATAATGCCCACTTCCAACATCGAATGGCGGCTTCGCTATTACCAATTCCAGACAACTTCATGAATGCGATTTCAGCGCTTCGAAAATTAGACCACTCACCAGGTGTATGAAACTCAAAATGATGGTTCTCGAAAATGGCAACAATTTCTCTTGACAAACACGGAACATCTCATACACACCCACCTTGAGCGCATCCCAAGTACTCAAGCTTGAGCCACTCACTCACCCTCTCACTCTGTCACCAGTTCAAAATGGACCCTCTGGACGAACTGCTCCGGTGGGCAGAGCCCAAGGGCGTTGCACTAAACGGCATAAGACCACAGCGACTTCCCGGTCGCGGCGTAGGCGTCATTGCCACGAAAGCACTCCAGGTCAGTTCCATTCACCCGCTGTGCACACAACTTCAAAACATATCCCTAATGCCCTTCCCTTCGCAGCCCGATGAGGTCGTCCTCGAAGTCCCCATCTCCTGCTTGCGCAGCATAGGAACTGTCCCCCACTCCATCACCAGAAAATTACCCAAATCACTCCCCATCCACGGCCTCCTAGCCGCGGACCTCGCCCTCGACTCCTCTCCCTCTGAAATCTACGCCCCTTGGAACGCCGTCTGCCCCACCCCTTTCGATCTATCCTCCATGCCCCTCCTCTGGCCCTCCGCCCTGCAGGCCTACCTCCCAGGCACCGCGAAGTCCATCCTCTCCAAGCAGCGCGCCAAGTTCGTCCGCGACTGGGCCGCCGTCTCAGCTGCGTTTCCGGATCTGGACGAGGAGACGTACCGGCACGCCTGGCTACTCGTAAACACGCGCACGTTCTACTATCTTAACCCCAAGCTGCGGCGGCGGAGGAAAGAGGATCGCATGGTACTGCAGCCTGTGGCAGATTTGTTCAACCATGCGGAAACGGGGTGCAACGCCGCATTCAGTGCTGTGAGTTTTGTCGTGCGCGCCGATCGGGCGTATGAGCAAGGGGAGGAGGTGCGGATTTGCTACGGGAGACACGGGGGAGATTTTCTGGCGGTTGAGTATGGGTTTGTCATGGCGGAGAATCGGTGGGACGAAGTTGGACTGGATGAGGTGGTGATGTCAAGGTTGAGCGAGAAGTGGAGGGAGAGGTTGGAGGAGGTGTCGTTTCTGGGGGGTTATGTGCTGGATAGGGAGACAGTGTGTCATCGGACGCAGGTTGCGCTGAGGGCGCTGTGTTGTGAAATCAGGGAGTGGAAGAGATTTGTTGATGGGGAGGATGATGGAGACGGGAGTCAGGCAAAGGTGGATAAGCTTCTTGTGGAGATGTTGGAGGCGTATAGGGTGAAGATTGGTGAAGTGGTATGCGAAGTCCAGGGTCTGAAGGAGGGGGAGCAAGAGCAGAGGACGATGCTTGTCGAACGGTGGAGACAGGTTGATCGGCTTGTGGAGATGAGTATCATGAGGCTTCGAAGTCCGAGAGTTGAGAATGAAGCCAATTAGACTCAATTGCTTCATGGCAAAGGCAATAGTAATGTGTTGTTGTGTGGCATCTCTTATGTCAAATTTCTCGTTAGTACACTTCTTTGCCATGCGCCCATTTGACCACATGACCAGGCTACAGGCTACTTGCAATTTTGAAATGACTATTGGAGTCACGTTCTTTCCATGATTCTGTGTGCACTCTATTTCGATCTTGTTTCTACGATGAGGTACAAAAAGCCGCATCACCTCAATTTCTGCCCTCCTGGGCAAAACGACGAGCCGCAAGGATTCACTACCTCTAGCCATCATCTTCTAGCTATTCGGCTTCAACGACGAAGTTACAGTCTTCAGTGAGGAAATCACAAAGTGCCAGATGATCTCAAATCACTGGAGATTGACGGCAGAACAGCTCGCGGTACCGAAACGATATGCCCGGCGTTGGGCCCTGGGCCGCTTCCACCAAGGGCCAACGCTCACAAGACTGAAAATGGCATCAAATAAAGGCTGATAGCAACGATCCCGAGCCTGTAGTAACATCTCTTCGTGAAAACAACGAGGTGTTTAATACATGGCTAAGCCCTCTGCTACAAGATCTTCCCACTGTCAGGGATAGGGGGAGAAAATGACATCCAAAAGACATTAAACATCACGTGCGCATAATCGATGGGAGGAAAAGGAAACTCGTTATTGTACATGTCTATTTAGCTTTTGCCCCTCTATGACGTCAGTGCTTTCTGAAGGGGACAACCCCCAATCCAGATTCGTCAAGTCGCAGAAGCTGACTGAATTCTGGATTGGTAGAGAGGGCAGGGGCAGTTCGTCGGGATACTCAGCGGGGTTTTGGTAAGATGCGTCCCATTGCATATCGAAGATGATAGGCGGGGAATTGGAATGCATCTTATTGAGAATGCCACAGCATTGTCTGTGTCTTTCTATCGGCTTTCAACTCATCCTAACGGATGCAAAGTCGAGTTGCATGAACTCGAGTTGATCCGAGTCCGTCACTGTGTATGTTCTGGGTAACAAAGATCCAAGAGTCTTCCCATCTTGTAATGAAATGCGCTCCATGAAATAAATCTGCATCAGGGTGGGGTTTTGCAGGAATGCATTGTGTGCAGAGCCATGGGCTGGCGTGCTGATGATGTAGTAGTTTTCTGGTTTTCTTTTGTTGAGAAGTAGGATAGGGCTAGAATCGATATCTAGCTTCGGCATCATTTCTCTGACGCAGCTGACAGCTGGAAGTTCGATATCTTGTGTGAAATTGTGGCGTTGTTTGTACATGACCTGATCCAAAAACGTGAAGGTGAAACAAGGTTTAAGACTTAGATCCCTTGTTTGACCGACCATTCTTGTTACCGCGGTGCCCCTTACGACTTCCACGGTAGTCTAATGGCGTTGCAGGCGGACTATGTTCGGATGCTGGTTGATAAGGCATGGATTGCTGAGGATTTTGCGGGGCAGAGCCGTAAGAAGACTGCCTTTGCGGCGGTGGTTGAGTTGGGGGTAATTGAAGAGGCTGCTGAGGAGTATACGTCACGGGGCCGTAGGAAGGGTACTGTGGCGTTGGCGACGAGGCAGAATCATGTCGCCAAGGTGTTCGATCGGTAGGTGTACCTGCATTGGTCGCGTTTGGCTGCCCCGGAAGGCCAGAGCACGGTTGAGAATTCTATTCCCCACGCGGCCTCTTAGCACCGTGAGGATTCTGCCATTCGTTGCCCCCTGATTGAGTTTGGCCAAAGAATCCAGGATTAAATTGCGGCGGCATGCCTTGGAAGCCTATCCGGCATGTAAGTAGGGGTATCCAAAGTGCGGAAAGTAAGAATGTGAAAAGGAAGGAAAGGGAGGGAGAGAGGGTGAAGCCAAAGTTGGGCGAACGAGGGCATTAAGTCCAGGTTAGTGTCACCGGCAAGGACCAGGGTTACAAGGAGACACCAGGAGTGAATTCGAATATGTTGACTCGCAGAGGACAGACGTACCTTGCATGCCACCACCCATCATACCCATACCACCGGGCATACCTCCCATCGGCATAGCACCCATGGGACCCATACCTCCCATCATGCCATTGTTCATGCCGCCACGGCCGCCACGCATAGCGCCAGGACCACCTCTCATGCCCCCGCCCATCATACCCCCGCCGCGGTTGAAGCCGAAATTGCCGCCTCCCATGGGATTGTTGTAGCCTCCACCCATGTTATTGTTGAAGCCACCGCCGTTGCCTCCGGAGAAGCCACGGTTGAAACCACCACCGCGGGGTCCATTGAACCCACCGCGACCTCGGTATCCGCCGTTGAAGTTGCCGCCAGTGTTCTGGCCACCGCGATCATTGTAGGAGCCCCCACTGGAACTGCCTCGGGTGGCTTGGTCCCTGTTGCCTCTTGCCGGTGCGTCCTTGGGCAAGGTGCGGAAGGGGTTGTTGTTGGGCGACGAGTATATGACGCTGTACTTCTTCGCACCAGGCTGAGCTGGGTCAGATGCATCAATCTCACGCTTTGTGGCGGTAGCGGCCTGTTGCGAATCAAACTCCAGATATGCTTGACTATGATAAACCCAGTTAGTAATGGTATAGGAAAGTCATGTACTGCCATTCGCCAGAATTTGACAATGGAACGCTTAGACCAAGCGATTGACAAGAACCCACTTGTCACAGCTTTAGGTCCACCAACTATTGAAGTGGGGATGAACTCACCCTTTGCTCTTGCCGTTGACCTTGTGTTCGCTAAACGTAACGTCCTTCAGCTCACCCTCGCAGTCTGCCTGCCGTGCCCATTTGCGGACATCGTCATCTGTCGTCCACCAGTTAAGTTCGGAGATCAGAAGCGAATTTGTGGCGCCTAGGTCGACAGGGCGACTGTCAGATTCTGACTTGCGCTTGACTCCTTGCTGCGGTTGTGTAGGGGTGTCATCATGTGCTGTGTCCATGTGATGTTGGTCTTGCTCATGATTGTCGTGGTTGTGGTTATTGGACTGGTTGTGCGAAGAGTTGTTAGAACCATTCGCCACCGTAATAGCGGCATTGTTGTCATAGGCTTGCGTGTTGGTATCTTGCATGTTGGACTCATTGTCGCCGGAGTTGCCTCCATAGACATCGATCTCAAAGTCCTCGTCGGCCATCTTGAATTCGGTTCAGAAGACCTATAGTTCACGAACGGAGACAAAGGTGACGTGTGATGAAACACAACTTTGGGAACCTGTAGGTTTGTTAGTGAGATGGATAAGTATGACAAGCGTAACTAATTCAAGGAACTGGTTGGCTGCGAAGGGACAAACCTTGGTGTGGTATTGAAGTGTTCAAGGTATATGCAGAGGTATTTGTGCTGTTGTGCCCATAAGTTAGTTCTAGTTCTGCCACTGTAGTTATTGCTTGGGCGGTATCTTTCATATATTGCCAGCGGCCAATCCTGGTCTGGAATACAACCCGAACCTGGCCAGGTAGGTGATCTGATAATGAAGGGGAGCAGCGGGAGAAGGGTAGCAGGTCTAAGTGCGGGCATTACCGGCTTAAGTCTGCAGATCCCAAAGGTTATCAGGAGATGTGCGAGTAATGCCCAAACATGCTCTTCTAAGCACACTACGCAGTCGTTTGGGGAGATGATTACCTCTCAATGTTGCCTATGGAATGAAGTTGGCCCAAACCCACACAGAATGTGCTACTTCGAGATGGATTCTTCAGAAGGAAGCTGTAGCTCTTGTCAAGATGGTGTATTCAGAGTAGATACAGGAGGGTCCTGTAGAGTCTTCCAATACCATGATATCAGTAAACCTGAAACACAACATTCCTCGACAACAGGATGAAGAATGAGAGAAAAGAAATAACAGGAGCAAATCTCACAGGAATACGTACACTCCAAGCGCTTGACAGACCGCGCGCCTCTGAGATAGATGACTTGATGAGCAACACCCCTCTGGTTCTCTTCCAATGCTCCGTCTGAGGAAAATGCGAAATGTCAAGACGAAGCTCTATGCTTGCAATCTTGATCGTCTCCACGATTTGGTTCTTTCGTGATGCCTTCGTACTGCACAGGGATGCAGTATGTGGTAGAGTACAGGTAGTGAGATATTTGCGACGATGCTTTTAAAGCTGATCGAACCTGAATGATTCTTTCCCCCTCTAGAAACTTCCCTTCTCGAACAACGTTTAGTTCTTATGCTTGCCAAGTTGAACAATATCCCATAAACTTTCTAGGGCCGGTTGCCTTTGGAGACTTGCCAAAACAGCAAAGAGCCGGACAGTGGCGGTTCGAGGAGCGTATCAACTGTCGGTTCCTGCGGTGTCGCGAGTGAGATCCCGCGATGTAATCTCTTTCACGATGGTGCTATCGCACGGAATGGTGTCGGATCTGTGTGTTGGCGTATGCTCGAGCTGGGCGGGTGAACTTGGGGTCTGCGAGGCTGAATGAAAATACTGTCGATTTTACTCAGGATACAGCGGGCTCGATGTAGTTGCTATACAGCCGTCTCGTTTTGTCGGGGTTTCTGATGTCGAGCCTTCCGCCGAATGTTGCATGAGACCACAACGTGACTGCGATCTGAGAGCCAGCACTCCAGGGCGCGGCTTCTTGATCTTGCCAAGTACAGATGCGACGTGCTCTGTTTCGGTCAGTATCAGATCACAGAACTCTTTTCTTTGGTGGGCAGAATGTTGTTAAGGTCGCAAACGTGTCCTAAAGGCAACGTTTGTATCGTTGGTTGGGATTGAGAATGGGAGGACATCTCCAACCCGTCAAACACGTTCGAGGTCTGGCCGCAGGCTTTCGCGTAGCTGAAGGAGAAGCTCGGGCCGCAAGATTGGGGAAAGGGGTCATCAGGCCCACTTCAAGTACTCAAGTAAGTGTGTAGGTAGTCCATGCATCCTTCCCCCAAATCCTAGAGAGTCTAGCCAGCTGTGGCCACTTGTCTAGATCATTAAGACCCCTGGTCGGGATTTTTCGAACTCTGGCCGACCACCGAGTCGCAATCTGGCCCATTGATTTCATTTACAAGAATCTCCATTTCCATAAAGCCAGCGCGACGCCCTTCCGATTTCCTCACGCGACAATCCCTCGATCGATTCTCTCTCCCTACCTGAAATTCATCCATAGCCAAACTGTTCGCTTGTCCCAGGTGTCCAGATCACTTCCCAACACATTCATCAAAATGGCCGACCAAATGCAAGAACTCCTCGACATCCCCAAGGACTTCGTCAAGGATGGCACGCAGTTCATGAACCGTTGCACTAAGCGTTAGTAACATCAACCCCATGTTTGAACTTGCAAGAAGACCTCTCGACTAATGCAACGAATCTCACAGCCGACCAGAAGGAATTCATCAAGATCTGCCAAGCTGTCGGTGTCGGTTTCCTGATCATGGGCGCAGTGGGATACGTTGTGAAGTTGAGTAAGTCACAGTCAAGACCAGCACTATTTTCAGCCTCAGAGTCTATACTTATGGCCTCGAAATAGTCCACATTCCCGTAAACAACATCTTAGTCGGTGGCGCATAGACGCATTTGGCTAGTTGGAGGATTACAGTGAGGGGTGGGGTCTTGGGATAACCTGAGATGGAAGGGGCGACAAAAGCATCATACAGAGCTGGTAACAACATGGCGCAGGACACGATACAACGAATCGACATGCCGATGGAATTCGAATACATCATAATACCCGCGGGAGGCACCTCTCACGCTGTGGAATCGATAAATCGCATAATTACAGGGCGGGCAATGAAATAGCTCCCACTGTTGTAGGCCACTTTCTGTGACCACCGGTGGCGGAACCGAAAACGAATGGGTGGATTTCCCACAAGGGATCTGGGCGTTTCATGAAACGCCTTTATGTACAAATATGAGCCAAACAGTGAACAATGAACGCAATCGCTGAAACATCTATCCAGATGCGTTGGACAGTCTGGACGGTATCTGTCCGCCAACATCAGCGTAAGGGGGCTAATCCGACCAAGTACTTAAGTCCAGATGCGCCATCCGTACCCGTTTGCGTTGTCAGAGTCGTCTTCCACATCCTCCCCCTCGTGATACTCATCATCCTCTTCCTCATCACCGCTACCGCATGGGCTAACCTGTCTCAACTTGTCATTGTATCCCGTGCCCATTCTCGGCTGTGCTTCATCGAGCTTGGCCTCGTTATACGAATGCACTGTAACTGTACCTAGAGACTTATCCCAGCCGTTCAACGATGATGCTATTTACGCATCAATACATACACGGTCTCGTTATACCAAATAGTAAACAAGCGGACAGAATAAACTCACCAGCGATGAACGGTGCGTTGGGATGCCAACTCGCATCCCGTACACAGGTGCTCCAATTGTCAAAGCGCCGTCTTTGATGATACCGCCTCCAGCTACGTGGTAGAGCCCGTACATTCTGCGTCGTCTTATTGACGTCGATGGTGCTAGCAAGGGTAGCATCCATATTGTAGATGTAGACCTTACCATCGTGACTGCCGCTGTACACGTACCGCGAATCTGTACTTCCCGGAGGCGAGAAGTGACACCTAATCAGCGTGCGAATCACCTTATGACCGCGGAACGTGACTACTGAGTTGTCGTTTGGGTGTGGGAACCAGTCGGCGTCGTCATATGCTCCAAAGCGGTAGTCGAAGTCGCCATCCACGTGCTGCCTCGGATTCAACTCGTTGAATCGGGCGGTCGTGTACATCATCTTCAGATCCCAGAGCTTCATACTCTGATCTTTGCCGTTGGAGAGGATATACCGGCCGTCCCCTTTGCTGTCGATATAGGTCAAACCCTGTCGGGATTTTGGTCAGCAACCGAACCTAATGGACTGGATAGGGATCTAAGTGTTGCTCACCTCAATGTGGCCTACAAAGGCCCCTGCCTCGCGGCCATCGCCCATACTCCGTCGGTCCCAAACCTTGATTGTTGTGTCATCCGATCCGGAATACAGGATATGGGGCGAGGATTTGTCGGCGAAACAAACCGCATTAACATCGTCAAAATGGCCTTTAATGCTGTGGAGCACACGCCGCGATTCGATATCGTAGACTATGATTGCGTTCTTGCCAGTGCCGGCGACCAGCTCCCGGCCGTCACCTGAGAATCGAATCGAAAAGATGCTGAAGCGATTTTCGTATCGGGAAGAGCTGTCTCCAAGATCGAGGAGGTAGGGATCACCGGTATCATTCGGGTCCGTTGGGGCCAAGCAGACATCTTTCTGGTGCGTTGTGTAGGCTAGCCACTTGTTGTCAGGGCTCAAAGAGGCGTCTGTTAAAGTCCAAGAACCGCCTGGATAGTTTACTGTTTTATAGTGCCTCCACTTGTACGGATTTGACGTGTCGTACATGCGTACCTTCAAGTCCTTGACAACCGCATAGAAGAAATTGCCGTCATCCGAGAACTGCCCAGAGTAGACGGGGTCGTCGTAGTTGATAATACTCTCACATTCAGTAGTGGGGATCATTGATTGTGCCATCAGCTTTTGGTTGACTCGCCGGTAAGCCGAGTTACCTATGCCCAGCTCACGATCTAGCACCCTCCGCGCTATACGTTTCCTGTCATTGAGGGAAGTGCGAATATCAGTGGAGCCGAAGGTACCCGAATTCATTAGCTCTCGTCCCTTCTCGCTAGGGACTTTGGGAAACCGATCTGGGTCTTTTGCTCGTCTTCGCCGCCTCGGCGGCCAGGCGTCTTCGTCCTCGTCATCATCGTCAATTAGCAGGTGGCCCAAATTGGACATACGCAAGTAATTGAAGATTTGGCGTTGGTTAAGCAATCCGGATCTGCTCCCTATGTATACCATGTAAACCTCGTCTCTTGATGTTTGCATTGCATTTGTACCCACTTGTGATGAGGTTAATCAACCTCCTCTGAGTAGCCGTTCGTTCGTGCGTAGCCTGAGCAGCTCCGGAGTCGGTATCACCCGCAGCTTGTACCTCAACCGCAATTTCTAAACCGGCATCTTCTTCAGCATCTGATTCGCCTGTTAGCCAATGTGCAGACCTTTTGGACTATGAACTCTAGTACCATGGAACTCTTCATCGTCTTCGATTTCGTCGTCTTCGTTTGCGTCGTCCTCGTAATCAGGATCATTTTCGCCATCGTCGTATTCAGCATCCACGAAGATTTCGTATTGTGGCAGATCCTCGTCAAGAGGAGACTCGGAGCGTGCGCTCATGTTGGCGACAAAAGGAAAGTACGGGAGGTGTGACAGCTATCGGTATCGGTAAGCTCTCGACACGGCGGGATCATGAAGTTAGCCGTCCGGTGCGGAGTTATGGCTTGGATCGCATCATAGACAGGCGAATTGAAGGCACATAAATATAAAGTTAAGAAGGTAGTTAGATACTTGGGTGATGATGAAAGAATATGTAACCAATGGGCTGAATTCATGACGCCACCATAGATGTATGTCGTCGCGGGGTCCGTGAGATAAGCTATGGCCCGGCGATAACGCGGACTTAAGTTCCCGTGCGTTCAAGGGCACGGGTTCGTGCTTGGGACGGCATTAGAAAGTTGCTTATGGATTACGATACTCGAGAGAATGGAATACATGGAGCCTTCGGAAATGATTATGACTTTGGTGATGTTATCTTGAGTAAGCAGTCACGCATGCTTTGAGCTGCACCAACCTGGGTTAACCAAATCCAGTTTTTGTCAGTCCGTTGTGAAGATAATCCATTCATTGCGAACGAGGTGAGGATATATTATGCTGTAAATCTATGGTTCGGCTTCCAGAAAGTCATCATGCAGTACGTTACAGTTCAGGCTGCTTCTCGCCCAGAGCTGGCAGACAAGCTTGCAAAAAACTCTCCACCTCGTCAAGCTCGTCCATGCATGCCGCATGACCCATGTCGCTGATATTTCCTTAGCTGGAACAACTTGAAGAAATAAGAAAAGGGGAAAAGAAAACTTACGCGTATCGGGTGAACGTAACATCGTATCCCATCGCCTCGAGAACCTTGGAAGACTCCACGCCAAGGACTGTCGGGACAACTAGATCGGCTGTTCCGTGACACATCAAGAAGGGCGTCTTGGCATTAAGTTCGGCCTCCTTGAGGAACTCGGGGACTTTCTTATCCAAGGGCAAGTAGCACGACAAGCCTACAATACCGGCAAGCTTGACCTTCGCAGTCAAGCCACTGAACAAGGCCATGGCACCGCCCTGTGAGAACCCTCCGAGCACTATACGCTCAGCTGGAATACCAGCATCAATCTCGGCCTGAACCAGACCGTGCAGATATTCCCGACTGACCAGCATGCCCTTCTCGTCCTGATTCTTGCGGATGTCGTCCACAGCGCCTCCCAAGGCAAACTACATTTTGGGTTAGACTTTCTAAACATGTCCCATGGGAACACAGTGGTGACTTACAATGTCGTACCAGCCTGGCATCGGCATGCCGCCATTCTGCAATCACATTCAGTACATCTTTCGATGTTTTCAGTAGGGGTATGGACATACGCAGGTGATGGGAATCTTGGGCGCATGAGGCAAAATAAACTTGACCTCATCGAGCCGCGACCGACGTCGCCAGTTCTCTACCGTTTGAGCCCATCCATAGCCCGTGTCGCCCAAGCCGTGGACGAAGATGACGGTAGCCGTGTGCCGCGAGGCGGGCGGGAACAGGAGCGGCGGAGCTCGTCTTAAGGCGCTGCTCATTTCGGCGTTTGTGGACGAGTTCAGGTTCAAAGGGAGACGGATTATCGCCGAGATGGCCACAGCGCTAGACCTAGGAGTATGGCTGACGGAAAGGAGAGTACCGATAGTGGTGTGTTCATTATAAACAAGCGGCCAAAAACGACAACCCAGCCACTTTTACTCCACACTAACACCACTACGCCACACTTTTCTAGCCGACCAATACTAACTGCGTACGCCTGTCACGGCCGGACGAATGTAACGGCGAAAAGGCTAGCTCACAAAGTAGCGAAGGGTAGGGGATCCGGGCGGGTTATCTAGAGGAAATATTGGGAAACCTTACGGGGCGTGATGACGTTGTCGCAATTGACCGGTTCAGGGTAATGAGCAGATAGAGACATGTCGTGATTGGTGGGACATATGAGGTAGAGTTCAAGCTGGTGCAACTATTTTGTTGGTCGGGACTTGCAGATCCATATTTCCGTCACATATTATCATTCAATTGCGACATCCGTCGCCCAGGCCTCTTGCGAGTCATTGCCGACACTTAGCGGCCAATGGAATCCTGGATCAGTCTCTCGCTGACTGATCGTCTGTAATCAATTCATTGGCGGCTGAGAAATCATCGATTTCATGCATGGCTTCGATCTGACAGGTGCCGAACTTGAAGAACCTCTGCGACTTCATGATAGGGATCAACATACAAGTCTCATGCGGAATTTGATCTCTGCATGGCTTCAACGACATTGCTGAGAGGATCGTTCATTGTTGTTTCTCTTGCTGTTTTAGCAATTGCAGCTGTCCTTGCATCATCTTCAGCAGCTCAAAATTTCATGTCAACTTGGACAGGTTGGGCTTTCAAGCCAGTGTCAACGTTGTTAGCCGCCTGTCACTTGCGTGCGAAGACTCCGGCTGCAACAGGCAAGACAACTGCGGCTTCTTCCACAACCGAGAGTTCTGCAACCAAAATGTCATCAAAAGCTCCCGTATACTTCTTCAGTCATGGCGGTGTGAGTAAACACCAGATTCATCAAATGACCATGACCACTCACTCTAACGTGGTTGGAATAAGCCAACTGTCATGTACGATAAGGAACACCCCGCGTACTCAGTTCTGCAGAACATCGGCAAGGAGATTACCCACAAGGTGAAGCCAAAGGCGGTAGTTGTCTTCTCGGGTCACTGGGAAGGAAGCCGCAGCACCATTGAAGTTAATACCGCCGAGGAGACCGACCTGATATATGAGTAAAACGACACCTCATACTTGCTTTCTTGTAGCTACTGTGACTCACCAAGCCGGCAGTTTCTATGGCTTCCCGGCACATTACTACAAGGCCGAGTACCCGAATAAGGGCAACCCCGAGCTTGCGTTCCAGATTCAGGTGCTTTTGGAGAGATTTGGGATTAAGTCCAAAGGGGTGACCCGCGGCTTAGACCACGGCGTATGGGCCGGGTTCCACGTCGGTAAGTCGTCTACACCCAAACTCAGCCATGGCTAAGTTGCTGATGCAAACAAAGCATTCCACCCGGAGCACAATCCCCTAAATTGTCCTCTGGTTCAAGTAAGCTTGTACCACAACGAGGACCCGGACATGCACTATCGTCTAGGTCAAGCGGTGGCTTCGTTGCGTGACGAGGGTATTGCCATCATCGGTGCCGGTATGTCGGTCCACAACTTGAGGGATTATATGATATCGCGAGGGAGCCCACAGCCAATGCCGTATACGGTGTCGTTCGACGAGGCCCTCAAGGACGCGGTGGAGGCCGAGCCCTCGGAGCGGCAGTTCGCTATGGCGCAGGTGACCAAGCGTCCGGACGCCAAGCAAGCTCATCCGGTAAGTTTTGATTACTTCATGTCGAGGACTTCTAGTTTCTGACAAAGAGTATAAGTGGATGGATCACTTGATGCCTGTTTACGTCGCCGCCGGAGCCGCTGGGGAAGATGCAGGAAAGCGAACATGGACGCTGCACGAAGGATCCATGGCGTGGGCACAGTACAGATTTGGCGATCTTCAGACAACTGATTCAATGGCTAGGTCTTAGGGTTTATCACATACACCCAAGTACCCTTCATCTTTTTAAGTATTATCTACTCCGTGTTATTACAAATTACAACCTTAGAGCATAACCAAGAGGATGCAGTATTGACAATATTGTCAACTAAAAGAACTTTGGGGCTCACCTGTGTTGAGCTCTGCGAGCGACCGCGCCCAAAGATCGTGTTGCTTTTACTCCTGTAGAGTTAGACTTCACGGCACACGGCAGGACGCGAGATGATACAAAACAAGTAGGATACGATGAGCTGAAGGATGGTTGTAGACTTGATCCCAAACTATTCCTTTCGATGTTGAATGGGTTTGATTTGGGCTAAGGCAAGGTCAACTTACCACTACCCGTGCCGCATCCCACTTATTTCGTACTCCCTTGAGCTCACTAACATAAGTTGGTGCTCACCACCAAATTGGCCAGATCACCGACTTGGCCAGTTTTTCACTACTTTCAACTTTAACCTATCCTATCTTTATCAATATACCAGCTTTTTCTAATCACAATAGACTTACAACTGTAAGAAGCCGTCCTCTACATATAAGAGTATCCTTATGTTAAAGTCACTAAGATTACGCGTAAAAGCGGCGTAAACGCGAGACCCTCTGATACCGCGTTAAGCAAGTCGGAAAAACTAAAACCAAGGACGACTTAACAAACTGCTATCTAAAGCCGAAGAAAAGGCCCTCTATAATTATATCAACCGCCGTAATAGGATTAATCTTACGGTTCGCGTAGAGTTTGATACTAACGCTACAGATATGATATTACGTAAGAGGGTTAAGGTTCTACTAGATTAGCTACTTCTACGCTTCCTGTCACGACCTGGGTTGCATCGCATTGGTATAGACCTCGATTAGGTGCTATCGACGAAGATTCTACTCTAAGGAGCGAAGGAAAGAAGATGACAACTTAGGTTTGAGGGAGCGCGACTAAGTCATCCACGCTTGGCGGGGCTCCTACAAGGGTTATGATTGGCTTCCCATCTCACACTGCCACGGCAGGTGTTCCAGCTGTAAGTCACCTGGTTGTAGTGAGTCTGCGAGGGTTGACCGTCACACTTCCTAGCGAAAGCTCTATTTAGACCGCTAGACTGCTAAAGACCTCGATACTATACGGGAATATTTTACGCGGCTTAAGAGAGTCCTGTCAGATAGGGCACCTGGTTCCTAGGTTCAGAAATAATATGGCACTAGAGAAGACTATTGTCATTTAAAGTTCAGAAGGCGAAAGAAACCCCTCTTGTTACACGCAAAGGTGGTCAAAGATTTGTGAGGTTGTAAAAGCATGACATTCTATCTAGTCCTATGGAGCACGAAGGTTGAACTTAGTCCCGAAGGGCTAAGTCACGTGGTAACCTTGGTGGTCTTGGCAAAGCCCACCAAGGTTGCCTAACACCTCTTCTCAAAAGTAACACCAAAGTTACCGACATGTTCTAAAGAATCTATAAAAGGCAGAGCAACGGGAGTTCGCGAGAACAGAACACAGAGAACAGACCTCATTCATATACAATCTTACGCACTTCTGACTACTCGATTGGACACACGTGATATTCGACAAGTCCTCCGGGATAAAGGAATTGACTCCTTTAATCTCTAGAATATAGACGAGACTAGCTTCCGGATTAGTATTAGTAAGGATTAACTTGCTATCACCAAGCGTAAGAGCTGTCACGACCTGGGTTGCATCGCATTGGTAGAGACCTCGATTAGGTGCTATCGACGAAGATTCTACTCTAAGGAGCGAAGGAAAGAAGATGACAACTTAGGTTTGAGGGAGCGCGACTAAGTCGTCCACGCTTGGCGGGGCTCCTGCAGGGGTTATGATTGGCTTCCCATCTGGCACTGCCATGGCAGGTGTTCCAGCTGTAAGTCACCTGGTTGTAGTGAGTCTGCGAGGGTTGACCTTCACAAGAGCGCCTATTACTTCGGCCTACTAGATAATAGAGAGACGGTAATAGCTATTAAAGCTATCTCTACTACTAGTAACGTGATACTAGCCTTCTGTCACAAGGGAGGACCAAGCCCCTAGGCCAATAGATCAAAAGATCTAGAACGCCAGTGGACCACTGGCATTTGATCCCACTAACTGCTATATACAGCACTCTATGGCTCTGTAATCGCCAGAAATAAGTGGGGTGTGGCACGGGTAGCCACAGCCCATTATGAAATCCATTTAGGCCCGCTCAAGGTGCCCCACTTGAAGCCCAGTAGGCTAGAGCATCCAAGACCCATTCCGTCCTGGAACGTCAGAGCAGCAACAACGTGACAACCCTCCTGAGGACGGCAGCAATAGTCTCAAGACACTGACACTGGGGTGCATTCGAGGTCGAAAAGACCGGGTCAAGATGGCGTCGCCCTTCTCCTTGCGGCCCTGGCCTATGGGGGACAAGAAACCCAAAAACCTGGGCGAGTTCATTGCCCGCGTCAATGCCGAGCATGAAAGCTTCCGCCATGTCACCGAAGCACAACTGCGTGAGGAATTGGCAGCCCAGACGGATGGCCGTCTCGACAACGGCAGCCTGGAAGGCAACTCTGAGTCCGACTCCGATTCTGAGACCGACAAGACCAAAAACGTCTTAGCAGCACGCGATGAGATCCTACGGAGTATTGACTCTGCGCATCAAGACTCCTTGATGTGCCTCGACTTCATTTCTCTCCTACTCACCAAGGAATCCCCCGTCACGGCAGGTGTGTCGCTACGCCCAGAAATGCGCGATATGGTCGGTATTGGCACGTTGGGCGCAACCAAGACGAAAGACTCGAATGTGACCGAGGCTCGCAAGAATGATAATCTCGCTGTAGCCGCTGGTTGGAGGGTCATGGGCATCAACAAAATGGTCGACTCCGTCGTTGCTGCTGCAGAACGCCTCGAGAAGGAAATCACCCTCGAGACTAAGTACTGGGCCGACATTCTTGCCGTCAGTGAAAATGGTTGGGCCGTCTCTGCTCTGCCTCAAGACCCGCATACCCTTGGTGTCCGCTTCGGCTTTTCTGAGGCTGCCACTGAGTACCGCGACAATAGTATTGCTCCTCTGCGGCGGAATGATGACGGCACAGTGCGGCTTGCCCATGGCCGGGTCGGTGCGGGATCGCAGAGAGTTCGCGTCGTCATCGAGAGAAACAACGAGGTTATAGGAAGGTCCTCCTTACCACGACGCACGCCAGACAATGCCCCTCTTCAAGACCGCGTCCTTGAAGCGCGTAACACAATCTTTGCCCAAGAACTCTGGCATGAGATCAACCGGGAAGCCCGCACGCTTCTATCACTGGGCGTCCGTTCTGACGAATCCAGCGTCACGTGTGCCGTTGACGCCAACACCAAAGCCATCTTTACCCTAGAAGACCTAGGCGAAGAGGCTTTGGTTGAGACCTTACCCGAGGATGAAACAGCAGAGGCTGTGACTCTAGCGCTTTGTTTCTGTCTTTGCCATTCCCACCGGCAGAATTACAATAGGCGGTCGAGGGTTTCTCAGTCGGCTCAAAGTCGTGATCCATACAGCATCCTCCGCCACATCATCACGCGCTTCAGATATAACGCGGCTTGTTCCGCCCTGACGTGTTTCCTCTCCGGGCTGGTGGAAACACTCAATCGAGCTGGAGTTTCGACCGCATCATGTACTGATTCTATACCCCCGGCTAGCTCCCAGCTCAAGATGCAAGGCCCTTGGCGCACCTCCAAATGCGAGGCACTTCTCGGCAATGTCATGTACAACCTCGAAATCACGGCCGAGCTTACGACGACGCCCGAGGCACGCATATTCATACGTGGCAAGAGCTTCATTGAGCCCTATGTCAGTATGCCGTTTCAGATAAGACTTATTGGTCCCCCAGCGCAGTCCCAGGATCAACCACAGGATTCGGTAAACCCGCTGCACAAATCATATCCGCCGGTAGACAAAGATCCATACTACCCCAATGTTGACGACGCGATCCACTACATCCGCCAGGCCACGATCCGCGCCCTCACAGAGAAATTCGCCAAGGTGGCATCAGAGCGTCTACAGAGAGACGACATAGACTGGGATGAGACGACGAACGGTGTCGCCATCATGGATCGCTTTGATCGCGAAGCCAGGATCGATTTGTTGGGGTCGACTACTCCGGTTCTCCATCTTCGTTTCGAATGGCCAAGCGATAACAACGACAACAACAGCAGCGAACATAGCTGGGAGGCTAGAGATAGAGACTCACAAGATTTAGACCAGATCGAGGGCCTGATTGTTCAGTTCTTTCGTACTGAGAAGTTCGAAGGAAACGTCTAGTCGGCGTACATTGCGGCTTCTGAAACACTTCTGATGTCTCGTTTGGTGAGGGAGCGAGGGGAGATGACACCTCGACATTGTAGGCAAGCTCGTGTACATCGTTGGATTCAGTTTTCTTTCGAATACGATATGAGGGTCGTTCGTAAGGAACTTCGAGCCAATGGGATCATTGGTAAGAATGGTGATAGGTGTGCACAAATGTGATGGTGCTCAGACTTAGTTAAATGGCCCCTAGGCTCGGCGATACTCTAGGAGAGGCAGGCAGAGAATACCTGTCGTTGTGAATGTTTCGTTTGGTCCGATATACCACCATCATGACAGGCTTCTGTATAGTAATAAAATGAAAATACCCTTTGGTTGCCGAGAAGTGGCAGGATCATACCTAATAGTCTTGGCACTCAAAGAGTTGTCATATTAAGAGCCAGCGCCTAAGCGGATATGTTTCTACTCATGCATAGTAGCTAGGTAGATAACAAGATCATTTGTTGACAGGTCTAGTGCTTTCAGTCATGGCTTACACAGTTGTCCGCCCTAGGCGAAACGGCCACCCAAGCGGTTCGACATCGATAACATGATAGACACAATAGACAGCTGTACACGAAGACAGTAACTTAGAGGGGGCTTGAAAGTTGATTGTAACGGTGCCTCAGCTCGTAGCCTGTCTCGCACCAGTACGCCAGACTGTACTGTCACGATAATGGCTTAAGACTCAACATCGCCACCTTGCGGGCAGTTTGCATCTGAATAAGCAGTCACAAACGGTAGCAAAAGACACGAAAATTCATCCTAACAAGCAAATTCTATTAGTCTTGCCGAAGACAAATGCTCGTTTCCTACGAGTGAAAGCCGTATGCGGCAAATGGATACAATAACTTAAACACCTTTCGCTACATATCAGAAGCCATCTTAAAAAAACTGGACGAAAAGCCAGTATCCACATCTGGCATCGATGTTTCCTGACCTGTTTGTATGCCGTGATCTACGCTGTATCGTGCAGCACACCTCTGTGCTACTCCGTTGCTGACCGATGCAATGCTCGTTGAAATAAGACAGAAATTACGATCCGTTGCACTGTGGAGGTGGGAAACGACACTGAGCTGCAAACCAGGGTCATGTACCTGGAAATAGGCAGCATAGAGAGTATTCGGCGTTGGTGGGATCTGTATGGATATAAGTTGCATGGTGGGGCTGCCATGCTACGAAGATGCCACAATGATGTGGCCACAAGACCGATGAGGCGGATATGTTGTTGGTACGAACACAAGTCTCCGTTCGGAGCAGACGACTAAGCGGCTAACGCCCACCGCCAATGCCAAAGAGATAAGCAAGGTCGTCGGCATTAAGACGTCCAATGTTCTTGGCCGCACCTTCGTCCAGTGCTGCGTCCACCAACTTTCGTTTCTTTTCTTGAAGAAGGACGATACGATCCTCAACCGTATTCTCGATCAGAACACGATGCACCTTTACAGTATTCTGTTGGCCAATACGGTGAGCACGATCGATGGCCTGCATTTCAATGTAAGGGTTCCAGAAGGGATCCATAATGATCACCTGTGATGCCGAAGTCAGGTTGAGGCCAGCATTGCCAGCTTTCAGAGATACCAGAATAACCTTGACATCGTCGTTCTCCATAAAGTCACGAACAGCATGGTCTCGCTGAGTTGCAGACATACCGCCATCGTAGCGGCGGTAACCAAGCTTCAGCTCGTGCTTGATTGGGATCTCGAGCAGGTCAAGTAGCAGAGTCCACTGTGAGAAAACAATAGTCTTTTCACCAGTCTGTTGGATATCGGCGATCAACTCCTGGCACTTGGTTACTTTGGCAGACGGGAGCCAAATCTTTTTGAGATATCGCATGTATCGCCGGTACGCCTCTTGACTCTTCCCAGCATCTTTGCGCAGATCCTTGAGCATATGCGGCTTCACCTCAAGTTCCTTTTGCTTTGCCTTGCCCTTGTTCTTCTTGGGCCTCTTGCTTTTCTTCGTGGCTTTCGACTTTTCAATGACTGTTCCAAGCTCGTCATTCAAGTCAGTGGTATCGGGGTCAACATCATCTGCATTGACACCATCATTATCGTCATTGACGACGAAGTCCTTCAAATTGCCACGCTCATCCACGTCGTCGTCACCCATATCATCGTCAGTCTCGTCCTCGGAATCAGTTTCATTATTATCTTCAGATTCGCTCGCAGTTTCTTCTTTCTCGGCCGCAGTTGTAGTAGCCTCGTCGGGTTGAGGCATATGTACTTTCTTGAAGTACTCATAGGTGATGACTTTTTTTATGTCGATATCCCCCCGACACTCGGGACAATGAACTTTGCTGCCACCCTCGTTGCCATTCTGCAGGTTGCGCTGTTCTGCGTTGCCCGTCAGTCGGTCCAAGCACTCGGCACATGTGTCATGGCCGCAAGGTAGCATGATCGAAGGGTTGTCTACGGCATCGTAGCAGATGGGGCATTCAAAACCCTCTGCCTCCTTGATGCGATTAACCACAGCAGGCGCGAGGGTCTTCGCGAGCTCAAGCATTACGTCCTCTGGAATTTCGTTGTTACCGTAATCCAGGTCGGTCAGATGAAGGTATGGATGGCAACACGCCTGGCGAAGGCGCAGGAGGAGAACCAACGCGATAGAGTAGTGTTTCCCGACAGTACCCTCTCTGAGATACTTGCTGATTGTAACTCGACTCTCTGTTTCAAGATCCCGGTAGAATTGGCCGTCATCCTCGTTAAAGACAACATGGTCCACGGTCTCGATCTTGGGCTTTAGGTCGATGATCGGCTTTCCGTCAATTATTGAAGTCTTGCTCCGTCGCATCATAATCGCCTTCAACAGGGTTTGGAGTTGTCTCATCGCCTTATCTCGGTTGTGCCCCCCAGACCGTGTAGCACTGAGACAGCCAAAAGTCTATCGAGGGTTAGCTGGGACTCATGTCGAGACTCGGACGAGTTAGACTTACCCGGCTGAACTTATCCGTCTCACAATACGGCTTGATTCTCAAGAAATTAATCAGCGATGCCAGTTCACTCACACTGTTCATCATAGGCGTGCCAGAGAGGCACCATCTGTATTCTGCAACGATCCTACCAGCTGCCTTGGCCGCCTGAGTCTTCTTGTTCTTGATACACTGTGCCTCGTCGAGGACGACGCGGTGGAATTGACTCTTGGGACTAAGGAATGGGCAGAGTTTTTGCAAGTGGCTCTCGTCTATCGATTCGCCTCTCTGAGTCGATTTTTTTACGTACTCTTCAAACTTCTTCAGTTCAGCACCGAGAGTACCATATGTTGTCAATACAATATCTTTCTGACGCAAGGTATTGTAATCGACCTTCTTGCTATGATAATTGTGGACCTCGAATCGATGTCGGTAATTAACCTTTTTGTCAATCTCGCGTTCCCACTGTTTGATGAGCGCAACAGGACCAACAATGACGTTGGTCTGTAAAGGTTAGCGGTGACCTGACCTGGAACTTGCGGATATACTCACTTTGACCGGTCGATTACTGCTGTTGAAGCGGTCCCATTCGACACGACGGCTTAGCATTAGGGCAATAGTCGAAACTGTCTTACCCAAGCCCATGTCGTCAGCCAAGATTCCTCCTTTCTTCTGGTTATCCGCTTCCATGTTTTCCATCCACTTCAGGGCCATCTTCTGGTGACGGTACAAGAAAACTTTCAGTCCATCTGGTGTTCCCTCTTGACCCTCTGGCGGGACTTCCATGTCAGGGGAAATGGTAGAGAGCAGGTTCCTGATTTCTTCCGCTGTTTTCTGTGGGTTTCCCATATAGTCCTCTACATAGTCCCTGATCTGCTGCGGCAGATGCGGAATAGGGTTCCCGAAGCCATCAGTGCCATTCTGATAGTCGTAGTGGTTTGTACGATTAGCAATGTCGAGAAGAGATCCGCCTGAGCCAGGTGTTCCATACGGATTACTGGTGGATCCGTTCTGAAGCAGAATTGTAGATCCATCGAATAACATCCCCGGTCGTGACGCATCCCATTGCTGTGCGCCAAACGGAGTGTACGACGAAAACTCGGATGGCTGGAGAGAGCCGGAAGAGGCCAGGTTTGAGCCGGTGGCATTACTGTCGAAACCTAGACTAAGTGTTGACCGCAGATGATCTTGCCGCTGAAGAGCAGCTTGGCGAGCCAATGCTCCAGCTTGGACCAGATTATTACCAGCATTGTTCCCATACAGGGAAGATGCCGGAGAAAACCTCGGAGAGAAAGTCCTGTGTGGCTGAATGGAAAAACCGGCAGGGGGGCCGTCAAGAACTTCAAGGTCGCTGTCCTCGAAATCGCTGTCGAAAGAGCCTGGCATCCGAGCTCTGCTTGAGACGTTTGACAGAGAGGGACCGTTCATCGGAGATTGTCGACCGAACTTATCAGTCGAATGCGATGCTCCAGATTTGACGTGGCTGGGAATGCCGGGTATAGTTGACAAGGAGGGGTTCGGACTGTTGAGGTATCGAGATTCCGCCTGGCCACTTGGTCCAGCTCTTGATTGATTGTATGACTGGCCCTGTTGAGAGAATTGCGATGATCGATCTACCATTCGGTTGAAAGCATTAGGCTCAGAGCGTGAAGGCGTGTGATTCACGGATTGAGGATCGCCCCCATATTGCTGCTGCAGCTGTCTGGCGAAGCGCGCATCTTCCTCTTCTCGTTCCTTGGCCATGCGAAATGCATATTCCCGGTTTTCGTATCGACGGCGCATATCTGCCACATCCTCGTCATGTACCCCAGTAAGGTCAACCACGGAGGATCCGTCAGAGTAGTTGTTTCCATCATCGAAAGGACTGTCGAGATTGATGTCTTGCGGACTCGGTGTGGTCCTGCGCGACTTGGACTCGGGCAACGTCGGCTGGCCTGTGCCGAGGTGGTTGCTGTAGGTGCGTTTTCTAGAGCCATCATCTCTCCGCGGGTAGGCCTGGCTCCAAACGTCGTCTCCGGAGTCGAACATGTCAGGTTGTGTGTTGCCGTTAGAGTACGCACGAGATACTGTACGAAAGGAAGGTCAGCTCCATTCAGGCGAACCCAAAGAAACATAATGGAGTAGCGATCACGGGTTCAGGGACAGCTTACCATTACTGTTCATGCTGGAAAAGGCCGCTGAGGCTGGGGCTGGGGCTGGTGAGGACGAGGTTAGAGAATTCCAGGCGCGAGCAAAGGGCTGTTGGAAAAGGTTCAGAGATGGTAGGAATGCGAATGAGGATGTACCTGTACCACGTTTCGCAGCGCGAAGCTTCTTAAGCTTTTTCTGTAATGATTTGATCTCAGCTTGGATTGCGGATCTTCTCTCGATCGTGTTCTCCTCGGGCGAATCTCTAAGTGAGGCCAGTAGGATCTCCTGCAATTGCAACTCGTCCAATAGCTCTGTCTCGGATTCCTGACCCCCAGACTCCTCGAATGAAGTCGAAGCAGGGAGGGAGTATTCGGGCGATGCCATGTTGAGCAGCCACAAAATAAGGCGGACAGGCTAGAAGTGAAGAATTGGTTCTGCTCATCGAGCTGCAGGTTGTCCGTTACTCTTGCGCCCCTCTGCGATGCACGTCTCCGCTGCAGGAATTGGATTGCTGTTCAGGCTCGTTTTTCCAGCGGAAAGTGGCTATCGGCTGCATCGGGCACGCGAGCCTTTTCAATGCAGGCTGGCTAGAAAGAGGCAGGCAGGCTGTGATGGAAATTTGATACGGGCGCGAAAGCTCTAAGTTCGCCACCGCCAGCAGGCTGCTGGTAGCAGTTACTAAGAAAGGGCCTTGCACCTCTTGTTGCCTATACTCGGAAGGAGAAGGGACGTTGCAGGCTTAGGGCATCCAAGGAGACGAGGTGAACTGCAGAGTGTTGCAAAGAGTCGGCTACCACAGCGCTTTGTTGGCTTTCCTATGCACTTGAGGATCTAAGGCTTAAATGAAAGGGACCCCTCCATCTTATTAAATCAATTAAATCTTGAGAATCGCGTTGCTGCGCGTCGGCCCCAGATTGTGCTTTCCCTTCATTTTTTTTGGAGCTTTTAGTCAGTCACTAACGTAACCCACCCATAAGCGGGCCACACCCCTTAGCGGGCCACCCATTTCGGCTCTGTCGAATTGGCTCAACTTAACAACATCATCAATTTCTACGTCGATTCTTATCACTAGGTCTTTATTCTTTCGTCAAATGGATCAGGAAGACCAGATAAAGAAAGCCATCAAGTCTATTTGTTCTGGGGAAGTCCCTAGTATACGTAAAGCAGCCGAGCTCTTTGGGGTCCCCAGAACAACCCTCCAAGCCCGAATTCAAGGCCGCCAGAGCCGGACCACCGCCCACCAACACCGACAGCGATTATTACCTGCCGAAGAAGCTACGATCGAACGAGCCCTGCTTCAGTTAGCTGCGGGGGATGGCCCTTGACTATCAAAGCAGTGGAAGGGCTAGCAGTGAACCTGCTGGAAGCGAAAGGAGATACAGACCCCCTAGGGGTCAACTGGTACACTAGCTTTCTAGACCGCCACCCTAAGCTGAAGACCTATAGGGTTCGCAGTCTAGATCAAGCTCAAAAGGATGGTATCACGTACGATATCCTCACCAAATGGTTCGACCTCTACCGACGAGTTAAAGAACAATACGCGATCACTGACGATGATACCTACAATATGGACGAGAAGGGGATTAGCAAAGGGATCGGTGATAACCCTAAAGTTATTAATATCGAGAGGACGATCAGGCCTTTGCTAACCAGCCTGGTAACCGTGAATGGGTCTCTATCATCGAATGTATAGGAATCAACGGCTACTCCCTACCGCCTTTTATCATATTCGAGGGCAAGAGGATTCTGCCGTCTTGGATAGACGAGAGGATCGATCCAAGGACTGTTATTCAGGTCAGCCCAAATGGCTGGACCGATCGACAGATTGCCTTGACCTGGCTACGCCATTTTGATACGTATACACGTCAACAGTGTCGTGGTCAATACCGCCTTCTTATTCTATATGGTCACTGTCAGGGTACGGCTAGGCCGAAGGCAATAGTACAGAGTGATGGGGAGTAACGGGCGTCCCTCCTACGTAGCACCGGGTGGTCACTGGCGGTCTCAGGTAGGGGTGCCCACGATGATGCATTGATCTCTACTCTCTCTATCTTCTTCCCGGGCCTCCGCCCCTTACATAGATAGCTAGAACCCGGCGTCGGAGCCGCGGAGCACTAGTTTCTCCGATTGTTCCGCAAACCAAGACCCCCATATCGTGTCATGACTCTCACGTCCCTACACCAGAGCCCCATCGGTGTCCCACCGGTGCATATGGCATTCTGTTCTCTGACAGTCACGCAAGCCACGTATCCCTTGAATTCGTCGAATACTGCGAAGCAAATCAAATCATTCCTCTCTGCCTGCCCCCCCATTCGACCCACGAGCTTCAACCCCTTGACAAGGGTATCTTCGGCCCTCTGGCAAAGGCGTACAAGTCCCTGATCACTGAACGGTCTCTCTTCGGTGCCGTACGAGTCGACAACCAGCAGTTCTTATTATTATATTCGGCTGGTGTAGTTGGTCACTTCGCTGGTAGATAAGTCCCGATTTGAGCCTCGCCCACTTGGGTCGGTGACGAGTCGCGGGTTCGAATCCCGCAGCTGACACACAAGGGGGTTTAGTCAACCCTTACGGCGCGCTGCCCACCTTGTTGACTTCGCCTACCTAGCGATAATAGGGAGATTGGTGCAGTTTAGGATTACGAGCATCCTAGCCAGTCGACCGTCAAGCACTACGTCGGCGGAATATAACTCGACAGCCGGTCCAGAATTCGAATCGTTAATCCGACCCCTTATCGGACCTCGCCTTTCCGATAACGCTCGTCGGCGAACCCGTCCCCTCACGATAGAAGGCGCGCAGCACGCCCTCTCGCCGCGATTCTTGCGAGCGTCTGACCACGTTACGGTCTATCCACTTGAGCGTATGGTTGAGATGTATACGCTCGACGAGAACCCCAATTAGCAGATACTACGACTTGTCGCGACAAAAAAATAGTCGAGCATCTTCTGCACATCAGCAGCATCCCACCCCTGAGGACGAATTTAAGTGCCACATTACCACACTTATCGGTAGTTCAGGCAGGGGTTGTAGCACAGACTTAGGGAGGGACAGGAGGTTTAGTAGTCATTTGGCTACAAGTTTACCTGTATAACCGCCCGACGCGGCTTAAGGGCCCGCTATATCATCTATAGCCCCTTAAGGGAGTACTTGTAGAGGTACCGAGGGTTAACACCTACGGCGTATTTAATATTATTATTTTATTATTATATCAACAAGCTAGATCTACTATCTACCGCAATATCCCGGGCGCTTGGAGAGGTACTGGCTTATCCCCACTAGATCCGTCGAAGATCCTCGCCAAGTACCGGCCAAAGACCTGTTCCGAACCGTTGGCCCTAGACCAACATTACAGGCCCGTTGGCAGGCCAGGTGGATACAGACGCTAGGATCATGAGACCCCGCATCGGAGAAAGGAAAAGACCGACAGATCACGTGACCTACAGGGGTGGATATGTTGGTCAACTACATATCCAACCAACAGGATATGTTGGCAGACACTGAACAGGAATGTTAGATGAAGACAGTCCCCTGTAACATAGATTCGACTAGCATAGACCATGCCGGCACTGCGCCCGGCACGTCTCACGTGATGAGACGTTAAATTTCAATCAATCAATCAATCGATATGTTGGCAGAGAACATATCCAAGTGGGGATCAGTGAAGGAGAGATGGGTATATAAGGGACAGGACTCCCAGGCATTTCATAGATAGACAGTCTCTACTTCAGTGATCAATCTAAGCATCAATCTAACCCATTTGTGAGGCAAACTGCCTTGACGACTCTATTCCCAGTTACCCTACTTGAATACTTCAGTTACCCAGAGCCCTCCATACGTCAAACCCCGATATTATTGCTTGAGGACTCCGCAGCAGGACTTACTTACTAGCACAAACCTTTACAGACTCTTTAGTG